TGTTTTTTTTTTTTTTTTTTTCTGTTGTGGGTCTGAAAGTTATCCATTAAATTTCATTTTGTTTTTTGGATTATAGTTGACAAAGAAAAAGAAAGATCTCACTTTATTCTCTATGAAGAATGGAATAGGGAATATTATCTAGACCCAATTGATGGAAACTAAAACATCACATCAACTTTCATTTTTCTTAGCAAAATAAATTGGGTTTATTATAATATTTCAATAAATATTATTTCCGAGTTAATTATACTTACTTATGGGTTTAGGTCTGTTATCCAAGTCAAGCAGTTTAAATTACTTGGTAACAAACATTAAAAAGAAATATGTTGATGCATAAATTTGCACCAACCAAATATACGTGATTAACAACATTAAAACCATGTAAGATGTGTGCGTGATCCCGATAAATCAGTAATGAAACAATATAATGATAATTATGCAACGATTAATACAAAAGAACAAAGAAACAAGAGACTTTTTAAAGTGGTTCGGCTGCTCGTAATGCAAGGCCTACGTCCACTGTTATGTTATAGAGTGCGTTGAAAAATAATTCGATTTATAAAGAGTTTGCAATTTGCTTTCTGTTGCTGATTTTTCATCCCTAGAAACAGATTATAACTAGGTTTATATAGTGTCAAATACATGGTTAAGTTGAAGATAAACTCAAATTCGATTAAACGAGGAGTTGCATGATCTTTGGCCTTGATTATGGGATCCACATCGCAAGATATTTGCATGCCAAAAGGGGATTTGATCAGCTCCAGATTTCCCGCACAACAACTACCCCCAGTTTTTGGATATCAATTTGGGTTTCAAAAACTACGAGCTTTTCTACCTGAGCTGGTGATGTGTAGTCTAAATGTTGATGCTGAGCAGGTGGATCTCACATATTGAGGTACGATCGGATGCTCCTGAGCTCTTAGAGACGAGCTTCTCTTGTCGTCATGAGTTGCAGACGAGCTACAACAGTGTGCCAATGACAAGCTATGACCCGAGGAGAGCGTATTGTTTCATTGATCCATCAGGATCACACACTCATCTTACGTGATTCTAACACTGTCAATCACGTATCTTTAGTTGATACAAATTTCTGCATCAACAAAATAGAAAATTAAGGGATAAAATCTGAGCTTTTAAAACTAGGACAATATGAAAATGATGGTCATTCTGGTATGTAAACAATAAAAATCCTCTCAGTTAATCGATTAGGTAAATGTTTGTCAAAATTAAGAATGTAAATCTTTTTTTTTTTTTATAAATTTATTTAACAAAAATATTACATATTCAAAACAATATTAATTACAATGAAAAGTTGCATTCATATCATTGCAACTTTAAGATTATTGGAGATAAAATATTGATAAGCTAAAGCTGCAAATAATTGCATGTAATCAAGAAGCTACAGTTGCTATTGGTGCATAAAAAACACTTTTTCTTATATTAATTTTTCAATCTTTTTATTCACTTTCAACCCAAACAATACCTCTAGGGATTGGCTCAATGGAATCCATTCTTTTTGACCCTCATTCTCTATTGGCTTCTTTCTATTTCTCTCTATTTCAACAATAAAATCCAAAATCCCAAAGTTTTAACCTAAAATCCCACTTTTTACATGTGCTTGACAACTGCAATTCAAAGGGTTTTTCTTTTTTAAAATTTTTAATTTGGTTTTATACAAATATAAAAAAAAAAATTAACTTGTAACAATGACCGTAATTCTACATATCATAAATTATTATATGATAGATACTCATATTTATCACGTAATAAAATTTTAATTAAACGTGTGAGAATGAAAGAGATATTATTATTATTGTAGATATTTAGGTTTTTTTTTTAATTTTTTATTTTAATGTAAATCTCGTCATATGACATTAGTTTACAGTTTATTATCGTCTTCTGATGTTACCGTAGGCATTTATATATTTACCTAAAGTGGAAGGAAAAAAAAGTAAAAGGACAAAGAAAGAAAGAAAGCAAAGCCTAACTTATTGACTATATAAACAACTTTATGTATGAAATAGAAACACCATGAATTATTAAACCTTCTTAGATCATCAATTTGGACCACAATAATTCATGCTCCCAATTTATTTAAGGAATTAAACAACACTAAAATGGTCCAACAAGGAGATGCAAATTATCAAAATGAAAATGACACTAGAATTTGCTTTGGCTTTTCTTGGATATAATAATTAATGTTTTCTCCACCCTTCCTTGTTTCCCACAATCAAAATGGTGAAATCATTTGAAATTGAGTGTGTGTGTAAGGCAATAATAATTAACCATATCAATGGTGGGGTATATTTGGCTCTTCCTCAACAATTAATAATTGTTGTTCATATGGGTTTGAATTTTAGTGTAAGATTTTGAAACTTCATCTTATCGTATGAAATACCTATGTTTTAAAACCCAGTCTAGCTCGATCAGTTGAACTGGGACTCAGGGCCTTCATCGGGCTCATTACCAATTTTGATTGTTCATGGCAAAACCCTAGCGATTAGGACGATGATTAACAAACAACTGATGGTTGGGATGTTAAGGGTTTTGAAGATGAAGGGCTGATGAGTCGAAAGGTGGCGATGGAGGTGATTTCTGATGAGTGAAACGACCGAAAATCACAAAAATAGATTGGTGGCAACGATAGATTGTTGCCAGCGATTGGCGAGGCAAACGGGGGTGGGGTGAGATGGGTTTTGGTCAGGAGGCTACGAGGATAGTTTTCGTGGTGATGGGATGTGTTGCTGACGCCGAAAATAAGCCCTATTTGGCATGGGTTTTCGATGTTGGTGGTGTAATTTGAAGTGTTTTTATAGGTTTTCAAACTTATAGGGGCTTATGTGTAATTTTTATTAGTGTTTTTGCTGGATTTCAAATCTTTGGACATGCTGACATCACTGGTTTGACCTATCAATCAAACCGGTCCAACCACTCAATTGCTCAACCTAGCCACTTTACCGGGTTTCACCACGGGTTGAGTTTTAAAACACAGTGAAATACTATTATGTTGATATCTATTTTGAGAGATATTATCAAATCCCACATTGTCTTAGATCTTTGCGACTATTAGTTGTGTGAAGTTTGAAGGTAGATTCGTGCATATTGGACCAAAAAAATGAACAACATATATCTAGTTAAGCCTAAATAGTTGCAACTGGTATTAAAGAGAACTCTCATTCGTTAGCAACGTGGGATGTAATTGTTATAATACATCAATGTGTACTATGATAATTATAATACAATATCAAGGTAACCTCATTATTCGATTTCTCCTAGTGAATTTTTTTTTTCTTACCAAGAATCAATGATTTTACATTTTTGACATGATGAAATTTCTTACCAAGGCGGGATCCATTTAAGAGCTGACAAATTGTAAGTTATCACGTTAGAGGTTGTGACATTAGATTGTAGACCTAACATTACTTATGATGAAATTATAATTTATGAAATAAAGGGTTGTTAAAAAAAGAGTATATCATTTTAATAAATTGTCCTTAATAATAATTATTAAATTAAAAAGCATGATATTAATAATAAGGGGACGAACAATACGAAGAAGAAGCTAAAAATATTTAGATAATGTGGAATTTATTATCTTTTATCATATTATAAGAATATATATATTATATTAACTATAAAATTATGTCACCATTAGAGAACCTTCCTTATAATTCTTTTGATTTAATTATTGGACAGTGGCCTCTAAGTTGATCATGACATCACATTAATTACGTCCACAAGAATGTCGCAAGGTTTTAAAACAAGAAGAATCATCCTTTATTTAACTAAATTAATTGTATACATTTATTTATTTTAAGATCTCAAATAATTTAATTTATATCATATGGGCTTTGATGCATGCATGAGATCCAGTTTATATTTATAGAAAGTAAATGAAAAAGCACATGTAGCTTTTTAATTTTTAATTTTTAATATTGAAAAATTAAAAGTTGTTGAGAAAAATTGTCCGTTTATTAATACACATGCAATTTGTGTTTTTTTTTTTTTTTTTTTTTAAACGTAATCTAAACGATAATATTAATAATATAAAACACCCACTTGTGACTTGATGGATAGAGAGACACACGGTTGAAAGCGTGCGAGTTGTATCAAAAGGTTGGCGAATTACCATTCCTAGATAAAATAAAATAAAATACGAATTATAATACCAAAAATATAAATCATATAAAATTAAATAATAATTAATATATATATACACATCGTTGAAATAAAAATTGAAGAAATGAAAATCGAAAAGACATATAACTAGGCAAAGTCAAACAATATTATGGTAAAATATCAATTTTTTTGGGTGGATTTTGTTACTTTTTCCAAATCTTGAGGAGAAAAATGCTGTAAACCCAGTTGTAGAATGATTATTACAAGCCTAACAAGACCTTGTAAAGGGAAATCCTTGGTGTTTTATTATTATTATTTTATTTTTTAACCACCTAAGGTATTCGGACCAATTTACGCGTACATTAACTAATCTCTCGAAACCTTAGAACTATCGGTTGAATAATAACTCTAGTGGTTACACTATTAGTAATTAAAAATGGACTCGAACTTAAAATCTCTTAAGTAATACACTCAAGAGTCTTTTTCGAATCACTCAACCACGTAGAATTAGGTAGGTTTGTTCGAGAGGCAAGAGCTAAGATCCTTGGTGTTGAAGCACAAAGATACTGTCTTTTAAGGTTGTTCAAAAACTGAAAGGGGTTTGAAAAAATTCATAAATTTGAGAAAAGGGATTTGATTTAATTTAATTTCGTACAAGCATGATAAATGATTGAGCAGTTACAGTTTCACCCAACTGTAAAGACCGGACAAGACAGCATCCCAGTGGCCTGGAACAACAACACAAAAGGTGATTGAGTTTGATCATTAACTTGTCTTGATCCTAAACAAAGTGATGTTCATGTTTAATCCCATTAACGCCTTTGAATTCATCAATCACACTCAAAAATCCCATTATAAGTAGACCTAATTCATAGCACCAAAATTAAACCATTGAATACTTTGCATTTGCATTTGCATTTTACCTCTGAAACTAAAAAGATTAGTTTTTTAAGGCGTGACGGGTTAGTTTGCAAATGGGTTTTGTGTAGGATTCACGTTTCAGTAAACCAATTTGTGTCACTAACGTTCTGCGTACCACGTCTGATTATGCTCTTCTTCTCTCTCTCTTCTCATTCATGAGCTTTCTTTTATATGCTGTCTGGTGGGCGAGCATATATTCTTATTTGATGTTGATGTGCAGGTGGTCTGTTTATTACTTATGCAGAGTCTTTTAGAGTTTACTTGCACAAAGATCTGAGGGATTTTTTTTTTTTTTTTTGGGTTGTGGGGTGGTGGATTCTTAGGAATTGGATTCGATTTCTGTGGTTATTTTTGCTATTTATGTGTCAATTCCAAGTTAAACTTTGGTTCAGTTACAGCCCTTGCTTGCAGCTGTAATCAAGTTCAAGTTCTGGTTTTGGGCTCAAGTTACCTTCTTTGATATTAGGTGAGACTTCTGAAAGCTACTTCTCTCAACATTTTTATTCTTTTTGGAGATATTTCTGGTTTATATTGTTTGATATGTATCACAATTTCACCTTCTTTGAGCTTGTTGCAGAAGAAGGCCACTAGTTTTAAGGCCATTGTTGCTGCTAATGATCCAGGAACATATTTTAAAGGCTTTGTTCCCCAGTGAATGTTTATTTTTTTCCTTTTTTACTTTTTAACTTTTTTTTTTTTTTGTCCATTAGCTATGCTTTTGTTATCACTTGCCACTGCCAACAGTTCCTCCTTTTTTGTTTTTGGCTGTTAGTGTGTGTGAATTTGTGTGTACCCCTAAAATGGAGTTATCTGTGATGGCACGCACTCACATAACAGCTCTTTACTTAAAAGTAAGAAGTTTATATCTTAATTATGTGCTCAGTAATTTTCAAGAATGTTATAATGTTAAGCAGATCTCTTTGAGATTAGGATTCTCTTTGAAGGTTCCTTGCTATTGCTGTTGCTTTGCCTGATGGTATAATAAATGGGCTCTAAACGCATAACCTTTTTCCAGGAAGTGTTCAGCATTGTAAATTAGTTGCATTTATTGAAATTAGACCTCACCAGAGACTACACAAATTGATGATTTTGTTTATTCTACTGGTATTTATGACTTATAGCTTGGTCAACCAGCTAGAAAATATTGTGCTTTCTTTAGTTCTTCATCTTATCCCTCAGCCGTCTCGCCACATAACAGTTATCATCTTATGAAATCAGGACTCAAATACAGGTCAGATTACTGGATTAGTTGATCTTAGGCCACCACTTAAACTTTTAAAATATGATGTTCAGGCCCCCTGGAAGGTATTATCAGCCTTGAGGTCAAGTCAAAACTTGATTTAGTCACATTTCAGGCGTGCCGCAATTCCCTATCCTGATATAGTCAAGAATGAGTCATGTAGCCCATGTTTCTCAATTTATTTAATAATAACAACATGGAGTTGCCGAATGCAATTGTTAAGCTTAAAACCTTACTGTACAAATTTTAGTCCATGATTACTGCCTAGCTTAAGATAAGTGAAAGGAACATCATGCACATGTTACCTTTTTAGGAAATCAAGATTATAATGGTTGCTGGTTGGATCTGGGTAAGTTTGGTATGGTGAAGATCTAACCAAATTAGGTTAATGATAAAGGTGATTAGATTTAAATGACTGGTAGCTTAAGCTTTGCATAGATTTATTAAACTTGGTTTAAGAGCATCGATTTTCAAAAATTTCATGCACTAGTCAATAAAACAATATAAGCAAGTATAAAAACTGAAAGAAAAGCTGACTGAATTAGTGGATTCAGATTTTTGTTAATTAGATAAAAGAAGTATTAATGGAGAACAGTGGCCTATAGTATCAGAAATTGAAGGGGTTGCTTCAAATTGACTCTACAAGTCTTGCTTAATTTAGGGTTAATCATGTGGTGTGGAGAACCGAAGCTGGAGTGGACAGCTAAGCCTGAATGGTTAATTGTTAATACATTGTAAAATACAAGTGTTCATTAAAATATTAAGCAATTCGCATGCTAATAAATTATTCATAAGTTAGTTCCTAATGTGGGACATGAGTTTGTGGATAAAACTTGCATAATTGCTGACATTGCATAGAACTGTGGAGGGTTTGGTTTAAACAAATAACTCCTTGCTTTGAAATTTGCATATGATCTATTTGTATATATATAACATGTGATAATATTCTGCTATAACATTACAGCAACATTATATGAGACTGTCTTCTTGCCTTTCTCATATATAATTTTATCTTTTCCTAAGAATGTTGACTAAGTAGTAGGAAAATGGTATAAATTGATTCATCTTCATCATCTTGGATACATTAACAAAAAGTCTGGGATTTTTTGTTCAGATTTTCAGGGAGTGCTAAGAGCAATCATGAATGCGTTAGTAGCAACCAACAGAAACTTTAAGCTGGCTGCAAGGCTGCTGGGGTTAGACTCTAAGCTTGAGAGAAGTTTGCTCATTCCTTTCAGAGAGATCAAAGTAATTAATCCTGTGATGCAGATTCAGATTACAGCCTATGCTGGTTTTTGTCACTGCACACACCATATTACGAGGCACTCCAAATGAATCCATCAGGCTTTGCTCTGCGAGCAATGGTTGTCTCATTGATAGTTTGTCTTGTGCTTTTAGCCTACTCTGCTCCTCTGAAGATCTCTTTTTATTATTTTGCAGGTTGAGTGTACCATACCCAAAGACGATGGCACATTGGCTTCTTTTGTTGGGTTCAGGATTCAACATGACAACGCTAGAGGACCCATGAAGGGAGGAATAAGATATCATCCAGAGGTTTGTTTCATTCTTGTGTTTGGAATCCTTTTAAACACAAGTCAAGCCTTAAATAGCATATTTGACATATTGCTGGTGTCATAGTCAATTCGTAAAATTTCTCTTATTTATAATTCTAATGGAAAACCTCTATAGAAAGAAAACAAGAAATCTAGAAAGGTTGAATAAATTGTTAATCAAGATTCTGTTAACTTTAGCCTACAAATTAACAATTCCAGTTCTTATGATTTTGTGGATAATGTAGGTTGACCCAGATGAGGTGAATGCTTTAGCACAACTCATGACATGGAAGACAGCAGTAGCAAATATCCCATATGGTGGTGCGAAAGGTGGGATAGGATGTAGTCCTGGCGACTTGAGTGTATCTGAGTTAGAACGACTCACCAGGGTTTTCACCCAAAAGATTCATGATCTCATTGGAATTCACGCAGATGTTCCAGCTCCTGATATGGGAACAGGTCCTCAGGTATGAGATTCCTTATGGCATGAAAATGGGTACATGGTTTAATTCTTTATGCTATGCATGAAAGATGAAATGAAATGTTTGCTATTTTGGGTTGAAGGTGGATTGAGTCCAGATATTATCACTTAAACTTGCTTCTTATGTGGTTAAACAGACTATGGCGTGGATACTGGATGAATATTCTAAATTTCATGGCTATTCTCCTGCAGTTGTGACTGGAAAACCTATTGTAAGTACTGTATATATTGAAGACAAAACCCTGCACCACAAGTATGGTTGTCAGTTTATTTTAGGCTATTTACCTGCACTGTCCGTTTTAAATGTTTCTTCTGATTGGTAGGTGGTTATTGAAACTTGCTTGTTATATATTACTTTTTGATACTTTTTAAGAAATAACAAATACACTGCAAACATGATTTTTCTGTCATAATATTTTCGAATGGAAGGAAATAGACTATTGTTGATTTTTTTATGGTTAAGTTTCACCTTGTTTTCTGATTGATGATATTGTAAAATCAGTATGATTTAACTCATTTTTTTCCATAATTTGAATATTGCAATATTTTCCAAATTAGGATCTTGGTGGATCTCTAGGCAGAGATGCAGCAACAGGACGAGGAGTGCTCTTCGCTACAGAGGCACTGCTTAATGAGCATGGGAAGACCATTTCTGGACAACGATTTGCTATACAGGTGCATCTTTAAATAGGGGAAAATTCAAATTTTTTTTATTGCTCATTTTCATCATGCTCAAAGTCTCGTATTTATGAAAATATTTCATCTCAGGGTTTTGGAAATGTGGGTTCCTGGGCTGCTCAGCTAATCACTGAAAAAGGTGGAAAGATTGTTGCGGTAAGTGATGTCACTGGAGCCATCAAGAACACCAATGGTATCGACATTCCAAGCCTACTCAAGCATGCCAAGGAACACCGTGGTGTCAAAGGATTCCATGGCGGAGATCCGATAGATCCTAACTCAATATTGGTTGAGGATTGTGACATTCTCATCCCAGCAGCCCTTGGTGGTGTTATTAATAGGTTTGTTTTCCTCAACAGAAGTTCTTTCTTCATATTGATCATTATCATAGATTTTCCTTAGCTTTAACTGGAAAGAAATTAGAAAAGAGGGATCTTTTCTTCTCAAAAATGCCAACACTACTGAAATATTGGACTGGCACCCAAAAAAAAAAAAAAAGGAACTGTGACTCTTCAATTAGCTCACTACTATTGAGGGTACCTTTAAATGAGTAGTTCTTAATCGTTTTTCTGTTAGCCAAATGAATTATATCTAAAACCTGTTTTTGGGTCTGATTAAAGGGAAAATGCAAATGACATTAAAGCCAAATTTATTGTTGAAGCTGCTAACCATCCAACTGATCCAGAGGCTGATGAGGTTAGTCATGAATGCTTGCTTGAAGTTTGAAGGAACTTTGCATGACTAGGAATCTGATACCATGATTATTTTGCTCTTCTGCAGATCTTATCAAAGAAAGGTGTAGTTATACTTCCAGACATATATGCAAACTCTGGAGGAGTTACAGTTAGTTACTTCGAGTGGGTGCAGGTATGAAAATCGTGTTTTGCGAACTTTTCTAAACCTTGTCACATATTATTTGATGTATGCATAGTTATCAGGTCTCCCTTATCTAAAATGGGAAACACATATACCCAGAACTTGGTTTTTGTGAAGTCATTTGCATCTTATTTTTTACTTGTGAACACTCCCGACCAATCTTAAAGCTATATGTCAGCTTGGTGCAAAAGGGAATGATATATATTTTCGGGTTTTGTGCAATGCAGAACATCCAAGGCTTCATGTGGGAGGAGGAGAAAGTAAACCATGAGCTAAAGACTTACATGACAAAAGGGTTCAAAGATGTGAAGGAGATGTGCCAAACCCACAATTGTGATCTACGTATGGGAGCCTTCACCCTTGGAGTTAACCGTGTTGCGCGAGCCACTGTTCTTAGGGGTTGGGAAGCTTGAGAAAGAAAGAAAAAAAGTTAGTTTGAATAAAGATTTGAGGCTTTGAATAAGAGGTTTTATTCTTGGTTCTCTTGACCAAGGTTTTGCTATCATGTCTTCCCTAGAGTCGATTACATCGCGAGTTTTACTAGTTCTGTAATTTTATGGTTTGTCCAGCCTGATGGAAACAATATTCAATCAAAGATGGAATGAAAGTTCTTAATGGTTTGTATGCACATGAATAATATCTTTTGAAGTTTTCAACAAGAATAGAACCATATAAAAACAGAATAAAAGATACTCCCGTCCACAGCCCAGAGGCCAGAACGAATCAGTTTATTTATTCCCGAGAGTTGTTCTAAAACACGTTATAGCTATTTGATTCATGACAGAATTTCTTACTTCTTACCCTACCAATTTAGTTAGTCGATTTGCAGTTTCTAAAATGTAATAATCAACTTGGTAAGGAGCCTCAACTTAATTAAACTTGAAATTATTCAGAAAAGGGCATCCAGCATTAAATCATTGAATTTCCTGGGAAATAAATGATACCAGTAAACTGTTATCCGATTATCACTTGGGACAAATTGACTGGTAATTGCGGCAAGAAGGATTTGAAGATATTGCCACTACCACTAGCACGATTCTAAATCCCTATCTGTATTTCAATCGACTTACATAGTTTCTTGCTTAAGTCAATTGCAGACCAACTCAGTTCACCAAGTTCATGAACACGATATGGATGAGAATAATATAAATATGAAACAAAAATTGGTCATTAACAACCAGCAGTCAATACTCAAATCACAATTCAGATTTTGATTGTTGTAAGCCCATTCCAACTTAAGATGAAAACACAAAGGTACAAAAGCACTAGTAGCACTACACAATGTTCTAAAACCTTCCTCTGCCCCTAAAGCCACCACCACGACCACCACCTCTGGGTGGTCCACCTCTGCCCCCTCTTGGAGCACCCCTTCCACGAGCACCACCTCTAAAGCCACCTCTAAAGCCACCTCTGCCTCCCCCACGGCCACCTCTTCCAGCAGCTTGAGGCTGTCCCCTGCAACATTAGTAACATGCCAACATTATTTGATATGAAAATAAACTTGATTGAACTCTACTCATGGACCATATTATATGATAAAACGGGGACAGAGACATTTTTGAAAAGAGTTAACAAAACTTGAACAAGATAACTCATGAATAATGTGTAGAAACTACCTCGGGCTACTAATCATTGTGAGGCAGTTGATAGAAATCAAGCAAAAACAAAGTTCAAACAATCAAGAGTATTAAGTTCCTAAAATTGTACGAATGGTATTAGAAGTACCACAAGAAAGCATGTGTTGTGCAGCCGTGATCTTCGCAATAGAAACATGTAAAAGGCCAACATTTCACTATAATTCCAGCAAGTCAAAAATAAAATATCAAGAACTATGTACATTCCCATATCAGTTTTAATTCCTTTCTTTAGGAAAAGAAAATATTATTTTTCCAGGGAAGTAAATGTTATCCCCTGATAAAGTAGTCTAATTTCCAACAAATAACTACATCCTTACACACAATATGCAACACTTCAGAATTTATATCACACAAGAGATGTACAACAGTATAGCGGTTTCCTAACTCAACCAAGTCAAAAAAACATTTGTGCAGAACGATGAAGAAGAAAACATACTTTGGTTGTGAAAGAAATCTTGCAAGGGGCAAAAGCTTGCCCGGGTCAATGAAGAACTTATCTCCCGGGTTATATGAAGTTGCAATAATGCCTTCCATCATTTTGATTGAAAAATACTGCAATTAAAGTAGAGGAAACCACATCAAAACTCAAAAACCAAAGATAAACAGCTACTAAAACAAACTTGAACATTAAGACAAGAGTACTCACAGATTCATTGATCGGACCAAAAATTTCATCAACTTTTCCTATCTGAGTTTTGTTTTGCAAATAGATTGGAGCATTAAAGAATGGTATTTTCTCATTCGTGAGTCTCGTAACTGCATCACCTTCACATGCGTGAAGAAAAGTAGCTACCTCTGCATATAAAAAAAGGGCTCCAGTAAATTACATACATGCACAAAGTTATTTCATTGCTGGGGACTAAAATGCACCAGTCACAGAATGCCACTGCTTCAGCATTTTATAAATTAATTTCAGAACTCTTCCAAGAAGAAATTGCATCACCTTTCACCATTTTTAAAACAAGAACGTTTCTTCCAAGTGAATAACTACATTTGTTGGATGGTTTTAAGTAACAAATTTCCATAAGAGATTGTTCAGGTAGCATTACCGGACTCCCCGTAAATTGCCATTACCTTTCTAACCATTTTTTATTTAGTTTAGCTCAATGGACCACTCATTGTTTTCTATGATCACTATCCTTAAACAAAATCACAAAGACACTAAAAAAAACACACAAAAAAGCAAACTTTTCTTCTGTTTTCTCATCAACCAAACAGAAAATAAAATAGAAGAAAGAACGAACACAAACCAACAACTTCAGCAGGAGGTCCTTCGTCACGGAACCCACCACCAAAACGGCCACCGCCCCTTCCGCCACCAAAACGGCCACCGCCCCTTCCGCCGCCACCAAAACGGCCACCGTCCCTTCCGCCTCTAAAACTGCCTCCACCTCTCGGGGGTCTCATGGTTGTTGTGGGTTTTCGTTGATTTGAAGAGAAGAGACGTCAATGGCTGTCTGTCTGGCTTGCTGTGTGTGTTAAAGGGGTTTTAATTTAGGGTTTTAGTTTAGGGTTTTGAAGTGGCTCATTGGTGACTAATTGACAGTATTGTCCCTGTACTTTTTTATATATACTTTGTTAATTTTTTTTGTTAATTTTTTTTTTTTTTAAATTATAGTAGAAGTAGAAGAAATTAATTTTCCTTCCCTACCCTTCATAAATATTTCTCCCCGTTCCGATGATTATACAAACAAAATTTTTTAATTAAAAAATGTTAAAATTACTGAATATGTTTTGGGCTCTTACATTTTTCAGGTGTTTTTCTTGCACAAGCACAACCTCATCAAACATAATAATAATATAATAATATTACAGTCATTGAAGTAGAGTACCGAATTCATGTCTCGAATGACGTAACAAAATCATGATCGTCGATTAATATTAACTTAATATTAATCGACAGTCAGAATTCTGTCACATCATTCGGTATATGAATTTAGTGTATAACTTTCGGTGGCTGTCTCTTTTCCGATAATAATAATAACATGTGTAAAAAATATTTCTATAATGCATATAACGCTATCGCTAAGTGACTTAATGATAAAAAAGGAAAGTTGAACCTAATATGGTTTTCTAAGTTCGAGTCTCTTTTATGGTAAAATAGCAATATTAAGATCTAACATAGTTTCTCGAGTTCAAATGATCAGGTGTGTGCAAGTTGGCCCAAACACTCGAGGTCATAAAAAATAAAAAAATGCATACAATGCCACCTTTTATAATAACTTATTAAAGTTGAGATTGAATTTTTTACTGAACTTTGAGACATTCTTTTTTTAATATTGTTTTTTTGGTACTTATCTCAAATTTCAGATCCTAAGTAGAATCCTAAATTTGTATCCCAATACATGTGATAATTGATTTGGTAAAAAAATGATTAGACAAGTAAATCAATTTGCCAACTTAACTGTCACATGGGTCGGGATACAAACAACTTTGTATCTGTATTATTACTTATTGCGAAATAGAATAGTCATAATCTCACTTACAATTTTGAGTTAAATTTTGGTGAGTCATTCATTGCTTAGAAAAATAACTGCTAACTTATGGCTTAGCTGTTAACATCATTGGATTTAGAGGTGTGCAAAAGAATCGGTCAAAATCAAAACCGATGGATACCTAAGATTTCGGTTCTAGAAATCAGGAATCGTTCGATTCCGATTCTAGCTTCGATTCTACTCCTGCAAGAATTGGGAACTAGAACCAGATTCGAGATCAAGGTAAGAACCAAGACTGAATTATAATTTTTGTAAACTATTGGGGGTGTATTATAATTTTGAGAGGGATTATTTGTCATATTTTTTAAAAGTATGGGTAATTGAAATTAACCCAAGTACCCGAAACCAGAACCTATGTTTAAGGTTCTGGTTCTTGGCTTCTAGGAATTGGAATTGGTTGGTTCTGGTTCCGGTTCCAAATCCAAGGAACCAGCCGATTCTAGTTTCAGTTCCTTTGAATTTGGGCGGGTACCGAGACACACCCACCCCTCATTGGATTAATAAAGATGAGTGAATAATACAACTCATTCCAAATATTTATTCTAAATTTCACATCCTCAATAAGGTGTCACCATGTAATATTGTCATATAATTCAATGTATTATCACTTAAATTATATATTATATGTCAATATCACATATGATGACATATTATTTGGGATGAAGGATACATACAAAGTTGCCCAACCCAACCCATGTTGCAGTTGGCAAAATTTAATCTTAATAATATAATTTTCCCAACACTTCTTTCAATTATTGAACTTCAAAATCACATACAAGACATTACAGATTACAATTTCCAAAGCACAGTCTTAGTCTATGATGAAACCGATTAGCAACATTGAAATAACCAACAACATACATAATAATAATTGCCCAGAGGAACCCAACTGGGTAGCCTATCCCAGCAGCCATCCATGAAAACCATCTTGTTTCATTGCTCTTACTCTCCTGGGATTCATCAGGTGGCTGCAAATCTTCAGGACAGATCACCTGGATTTGCACGCCACACAATCCACTGTTGTTTGCATAAATGTTTTGTTCAACCAGTGTGTTCATTTGAGGGCCCTCGGGAATTTTTCCTGACAGCTTGTTGTTACTCAAGTCTAAGGTGTTCAGTTCCTGGAGCCTGGAAAAAGTTTTTGGTATTTCACCAGAAAGGCTGTTATGTGACAAATCCAAGGTCTCTAAACTTGCCAAGTCGCCCAAGGTTGAGGGGATTTTGCCCTGGAGTTCATTGTAGGAGAGGTTGAGGAGTTTTAGCCCTTTAAGACTGCCTAAGGATGATGGTATTTCACCAGATAATCCGTTCATTGACAGGTCGAAAAAAGAATAGAGCTCCAGGTTGTTGCTAGAGAGGCCTTGTTTTGACCTCTTCCAGTTTACTACCAAGTCGTTGATTTCAACCGGAAAGGCGAATATTTCAGGAAGTTTTGATAGGGTATCAGGAGTATCTATCATTCCAAGGAGATTTCCAAGGGTTGGAGAGATTTTTCCTGTAAGTTTATTGTTGGAGAGATCTAGGATTCGGAGACTGCTGAGGGTTGATAGATCATCAGAGACTGAATCTTCCAGGGAATTGTTCCGGAGATTAAGTACTTGAAGAGAGGATAGCTGTGAGAGAAATGGTGGAAATTCTCCTGTGATATTGTTGTCATGAAGATCAAGGTGTTCAAGCTGGCTTAGTTCACTTAGATTTTGAGGTAACTTTCCGGAGAATTCATTTTCGCTCAGTGAGAGCATCATTGTGTACAGACCAAAAGTTGATGGAACCTGACCAGAGAATCTATTGGAAGATATATCAATGTAAGCAAGTAATGCCATGGGACCAAATACCGGAAACTCACCAAAAAAGCTGTTTTTCGACAAGTCCAGCAACAACAATCGGTAAATATTTGAGATGGATTTTGGCACTGTCCCAGAAAAATTGTTACTAGACAACATAAGTATCATGATTGAAGTGGTCTCACCAATAGTTTCTGGCAATTCCCCGGAAAAGTTGTTCCTCGATAAAGCAAGGACTGATAAGTTTCGAGATTGGAACAAACTAGGAGGCACAGAACCAATCAATCTGTTATCTGATAAAATAAGAGTTCCAACATTTAGCTCAGCCAGCCATTGAGGGAAAGCTCCTTCAAGTTCATTCTCACTCAGGTCCAAGAATGTAAGCGCAGTCTGATTGGAAAGCCAGATAGGAATTTGCCCACTGAGATTGCAGGATCTCAATGATAACTCAAGTAGCATACACTTTGGAACCAGAGTGACATTGTTGTTCCATGTAAGTCTGTTTCCTCCAAGGTGCAAATCCTTCATCTCCTGAAGATCGAAAAGCCATGTCGGTATCTCACCAGAGAGAAGATTGTTATCCAAGTGAAGTGCTTCTAACTTGGTCATGTTTTGAAATGATAGTGGAATTTCACCAGTCAATGAATTCTTGTTTAATTTCAGAGTTGAAATATTCACCAATGTTCCAATATCATTTGGAATCTCTCCAGACAGTGCATTGTTCTCCAGGTCCAGTATTTCTAGCTCCCTCAGTTGCAACACTGACGATGGTATCCATCCTGAGAACTTGTTCCCACGAAGTGACAGTTTATGCAGCTCTGTGAGGTTTCCAATCCCTGCAGGAATCTCTCCACGGATAAAATTTTCATCTAAGATCAACTGCTTCAAACTCTTAAGGCCAACGACATCGTTACTTATTGTCCCCTCGATCAAATTATTACTAAGATCAAGGTACTCTAGATGCCTCAGATGTAATAACTGAGGAGGAATGGAACCATTGAAGCTATTCTGCCACATGTCAAGATACACCAGGTTGGATAAATTAGAAAAACCAGTTCCTGGAATTTCACCTTGTACAGAATTGGCAGATATATCAAGCAACATGAGAGTTCTTATACGAAACAATGGTGTCAAAACACTGGAACTGAAACTGGTTTTCAACGCCACTGAAGCCAAAAGAGAATAAAGATCAAGACCAGTAACTTCCTGTGATGATGAACGAGAATGGCATCGTACTCGATTCCATTGACAACAATCTGTACTAGAATTCCATGTCTCTAAGCCTCCAAGTGACATCTCCACAGAAGTATTACCCAAGTCTCCAACTACCAACCTCTTGAACTCCAGGAGAGCTGCTTTCTGATCTTGGGGGCAACACAGACAAGAGTTGTGCAAGATATCTAAAATCAAGAGTGTTGCAAAAAGTAGGCTTAAGTTGGCCATTGCCTTGTATTCTGAGAATTTCAATGCCTGAACTGTACTTGTTTAAGTAGTAGCTTCAGTAGATAAGAGGGGTCAACCTGAAGGATTAAACTTGATGAGAATTTAAAATGTAGGAGGGAAAGACAAAGGAAATTACAATATTTCTTTGTTTATTCAGGATGTTTTCATCTTGTTTCCTAGAGCTGAATGAGTAATTGTCATTTTTTTTTTTTTTCTCGGGGAAATTTCCATCCATTTTCAAGTTCAAGTTTAAATATAGAGACATGAACATCTGTGGCTCTGTATCATTTGTTCACGACTGAATTTGATGTAAATTCAAAGATCAATCTATTTTAATAATGAAAATCAACACCTAAGCTAATTTAATTTCTTGTCCTTTATTCGGTTTCAGTCAATGGCTTGACAAGACAATCAAGTACTTAAAAAATGGTCATTGTCGAGGGAAATTCCAGATTTAATGGGATGGGAGATGACCACAGCTGAATTTGACTACATTTTCAAGGAAATTGCCTTTGCCCGGAATCTTTGAATTGATCAAATGGATGAGAGAAGACTTCACAGGGTCAAAATATGTATTAATTTTATCAAGTGCAATAAGATAAGTCACCAGAGCTCTTATCTTGTCGGTAGTTTTAGGGTTCTGAAAGATTAATTGACATGCACATAAATTGGCTTAAATATCTCCGATCATTAAAAAAAAAAAGTCTTAAACCATATAACTGAAAGTATTAGATTCTTCTTTTATGTCAACAAATTACCACAGTAATCTTATTAAATAGAAAAAATCTTTTGTGCATCCTACTTTAATACAATGATAAATGAAATCTTATTAAATAGAAAAAGTCTTTTGTACATTCTTCTATAATACATCTGGCAAACGTAAAAACATCACATTAGGGCAAGAGAGCTCTGCTTTAAAACCCAAACCAAACCAATCGGTCTGATCGTGACCTGATAGCCTCTCCGATCCGATTCAGGGATGTTTCTTTTATATTTCAAATTTGTAGAAACTAATTTGTAATTTTTTAAGGGTATTTTTGCAATATTTCAAAACTTTAGTGACTGATTCTTTGGGTATTTTTAAAATAAATTAAAGTTTTAGGGACTTATTAATATACTAAAACTTAAGAGGCTGATTATAATTTTTTTTTAAACATTTTTGTTGATAATGTCACCAGTCCAAGTCCAACCGGTTAAACGATCACCTTGTCAGGTCTCACAACAGGTCAGGATTTAAAACAATGCAAGAGAGTACAATTATTTTCTCAATAACTGATTGTATTCCAACATAATATTGTACACAGGAATATTTTTTCCTTTTTCCTTGTGTATCATAAGTGAAATATACTTTGTATGTTACCTCTCATAACATCCAAAAAACCCAAAATCCTCCCACATTATTATGTTACTTAAATTATTTAGTATGATATCATGTGCTCTCTCTCAGTGGTGAGCCCAACAAGCAACCCTTGACGGTTATTAACAAGCTAATTGGGAAAACATCTTTTTCCTGCTTCCAGCAATTTTGGCAAATTATTCTATGACCATTGAAACAATGGAGGTTGGCATGATCAAGATCCTTTTTAATATTGGCAGTTCTGAATGAATCATACAAGTAAATTATCAATCTTCATGAACCTAAAAAAAGCCAAACCATCCAGTTCATTCTAAAAGATACTACTTGTTCAATGCTACTAAAGTTCCTGCAGCCTGAAACTTGAATTTCCGGTGAACATCTGATCAGGCTTAAAGGGTCGGCAACGGCGATAGCTTCACTGATATAACAAAAAAGAAATACACAATACAAAAAGCTCAAACTCAATGTATGTGCAAATGTGCATCTTTACTTTCTGTGGTGCAACAGATGTTAAACTATTGTGCAATTTACTTGTTCCCCATTTGGGATAATATAAAGCACAACAACACTTTAAGAGAACAAATTGGCTGCACTGGCCAGGTTACTATCACATATGTATGATTTTCAAACAAACTGTTGCCCACTAAGCTCATTTGGTTCAGGGCATACGCTTTCCAACTCTCATTTCTATTGATTCTTTCTTTCTTTCTGTTTTTCTTTTGCTTTTTTACATTCAAATTTGCGGATTCTATATGAGAATCCTGAATTTCCTTTTTAACTTGCAGGAGAAAGCTAACCCACCCATTCCGCAATTAAATATGAAATTACCCTCAGCTTTCAAAATTTAAACTCTCTAAATTTTGGAGATATACCACAATATACACTCCACAAATTAGCATACGGTCCGTCCATAACAAATTGATGCAATGTAAAGATTCTTGGACCATTTTTCCTGCAAAACATAATAGCATAAAGCAAAATGAAACTTTCTATTTCAGAAAAGAAAATGAGATCTTGGTAATGGCATTTAAATGGATACCTACCTTTACATGGGTGCTTGGGAAGGCGGAGGTACGCAGAGTTTCTTGAGTTTCATCCACCATTTTTCGTCTTGGTACACTTAGTATGAAGGCTGCTTGGTCAGCAGTGGCAGCCATAGATGTGATCCTGAAACCATTTTCCCATCGCCGATGTATTCCTTCACTCGGGTACAAAAAGTCCAGTTCCACCACCTTGTATAAGTAATATCAAATAGAACAGGAGGAATATCAGCTACTCCATGGTAGGGGAAAAAGAAAAGGTGTGCGTGCATATTTTGCCAAATGCAGAAAAAGTAGACATGCAAAAGTCAACTGGAGCTTATACCTGTTCAGAGAATCCAGAGTTCCGAGACATTACCACTCCCCAGCGGCTTCCAGCAGTGGTCATGGATGTGACGTGAAAACCTTCTTTCCATTTCTTATTAATCCACTTAAAAGGAAAAGATTCACTCACTTTGTATGACTGCTGGGTGTACGGAGTTCCTAACAATTTTAAAGAGTTCATTATCAACTTTGGGAATGGTTCATTCCATTTCATCTAGTATCTCCCAACATAACGATTATTATAGTAACAATAATATTAACCCAATACATATAACTAAAAGCATGTGTATTGTATGAGTATGTATTTCATCCTGACAGAAACAATAACCTAAATTATTATTATAAACGTAAAAATCAATAAAATTATATCCATTTGGAATTCAAGCACTAGTGGTTAGCAACAAAAGGTGGGCTGATTGAGCAAGTCTGCAGCCCAATCAAAAAGCCAAAGAGGGCCTTGGCACATTACCATGGCTAGTTCCTTCAAGGAAAACTTTTTTCAAGTTTTCCTAATGTCATTATTTAATNCAGAAAAAGTAGACATGCAAAAGTCAACTGGAGCTTATACCTGTTCAGAGAATCCAGAGTTCCGAGACATTACCACTCCCCAGCGGCTTCCAGCAGTGGTCATGGATGTGACGTGAAAACCTTCTTTCCATTTCTTATTAATCCACTTAAAAGGAAAAGATTCACTCACTTTGTATGACTGCTGGGTGTACGGAGTTCCTAACAATTTTAAAGAGTTCATTATCAACTTTGGGAATGGTTCATTCCATTTCATCTAGTATCTCCCAACATAACGATTATTATAGTAACAATAATATTAACCCAATACATATAACTAAAAGCATGTGTATTGTATGAGTATGTATTTCATCCTGACAGAAACAATAACCTAAATTATTATTATAAACGTAACAATCGATAAAATTATATCCATTAGGAATTCAAGCACTAGTGGTTAGCAACAAAAGGTGGGCTGATTGAGCAAGTCTGCAGCCCAATCTAAAAGCCAAAGAGGACCTTGGCACATTACCATGGCTAGTTCCTTCAAGGAAAACTTTTTTCAAGTTTTCCTAATGTCATTATTTAATAATAAAATAAATATGAAAAGAAAAAAAGGAAAAAACCTACACAGACAAGATATGAAAATATAAAAAAGATGAATTGATAAACATAACACATGCAGAGACATCCACACAAAGCATATAATTCAGAGTAGATTGTTGCCAACCTTTGGACATAACAACCAAAGAACTTCCGTTAGTTGAACCAGCGATGGAACTGATATAGTAATTTTTTTCCCACTGTTCCATAATCCAATCCTGATGAGAATCCAACCAATGATATAGATTGTCAATATTTCAAGTCATAAATAAATACCTTATAGAAGATAACAGCAATTAATGGTTTTTAATACTAACCTTGTGAAGAAAAACAGCTGACAATTCATAAACCTGGTGACTGAAACCAGTTCCCGCATCCATTATTAGGGCCCAGAGATTAGCTGAGGAGGCTACACAGCTAATATATAATCCATCTTCATTTCCCTTGTCTACGTGCTGACGCAGCCTCGAGTCTGTCACATTATAGTGATATCTACAAGTAAAAAGGATCACTTAGGTGTAAACAGAAGGAAAAAAAAAAAAAAACACATTATATTTTACATGTCATAATTCATGTATCTGTCAGCAACTAAAGAAACAAACTAAGATGACTTCGATAAAACCATCGTGTGATCCAAAACCATATCTTGAGATGTAAACCATTAAATCCAAGTTACCAAGTGTTACAATCAGGTTGATGTCATTCCCATATAAAGCATATATCAAAAATTCGAACATGGAAGACCCAGGATCCTCAGTCATAATTTTAATAACTTCATGTTAAAATGTATAGGACAACTTCCTTATACAAGGTCCACACCATGTTAAAAATAACATGATGAAATCAGACATTCTATTTGAGACAATAAACACCATGGTCTGTATTCAGGTTCCGCAAACATCCCCGCTGAAGATAGATAGCCCCTGGATTAACCTAATACTACCTTCTATTTTCATATTTGTATAATTCACCAAGGTATTTTACAAACACTCTCAAGGCTCTGGTACATAGCAAATTAGTCTCATTATCACCTCAACAGTATAGTCACGTGTAGGTTGGTCCTTAAAACTAGATTCAGTCACAAAACTTCAGCTTTAAAGATGAAAATGATACTTCCCACAGTGAGTAGATATATTCACCATTAAATACACAAGACTCCAATATACTGTCATATATCACTTTACGTTTTTAAAAGGACGATCTTGGAAAAAATAACAAGGCAAAATGCATTGGCAGAGTCTTTTCCTGTGAGGTGCAAAAATGAGGCAACCACTACTTGCTGAAATTGGCTCACAACAAATATATACATATAAGATGCAACAAAATATTCACAATAATCTCCTCAGATATGAATCAATATACTATAGATTTTTGGCAGGATATCTATGGACTGCCATGCAATAAGATTTGTCACACACATCCACTGTGAGTGAAGGACCATCTCAAATACAAAAGTTATAATGCTCCATGAACAAACAAAGGAAAATATAAAATATGATAGTGCCCATAATACAAGCAGGAGTTAAAAAAACTAATGTTAAATTATACGAGAATGGGAAATTCACCTCTGCTTCATAGGACGACGTGCATTGTAAACTGAAATCCACTGGGTAGCAGGGCTACCTAATCGTACTTTTTTCTTAGGTTGCTCGTCCTCTTCCAGATTTATAAGCAATCTGCTACGCTTCTGCCCAACCTAATTATGCAAACGAAAACATGAAAAGTTAACAACTGCGAGCATTCTATACAACTTCAAAAACAGGACGCAGAGGTGGAAAGTTGGAAAAATAATTGTCACCTTAAGCGCTCCATCAATTCTGATTGGCCTTGCTGATGTACATGGTTCAATCAAACTATCGAAAAAAGATATCAACTTCGCATAGTTGGGCTCCTCATCAAACTTCATATTTGTAACAGCTTCAAGAAACTGTTTGAACGGGGGAGGACAAAAGCAACACATCAGCTCTGGAGAAGTGGCCATCTTTTTCTTGCAGACAAGGAAACTTTTGTTATCCCCCTGTGTATTTCAAAACAAACAAAAAAAGTTTATAAAAAAAAAAAATAAAAAAAAAAGCTTGAGATTAACAAATTAACAGAATAGTACAAACTCACCTGATAACCCTGCCATGGTAACCTCCCCTTTAAAAGAAATATCAATGTATATGCCAATGACTCAAGATCATCCCTTCGACTTCCAGTTCGACCTAGATGGGCATGTACACTTGCATACCTTATTGTTCCCCTGCCAAAAGAAAAATATAAAAATAATAAGAAAGGTATTTCAGACCACAAAGATTTAGCTTGAAAAGGGAAACATTAAAAACAAAAAAAAAAAAATCCACACACCTGAACACATCAGGCCTTTGATCATAATCCACATGTAGACCGGATGATGCATCCTTCCATCTAGATGCTGAAACAAGAAAAATGATAACAGAAACAGATATTAATACCGAAAGGAATGGCAATTACACCAAAGAGTAAAAACTACATGGAAGAAAAGAAATTTCAAATTGCAATCTTCCAACAAAACATACAAAATTGTGACATCAATTACATGCTTATGGTTATCTTCAAGAGGAACGTTCAATAAAAGGAATGGAAAACATATGGAGAATAGCATACCCAAACCAAGATCAATAAGGTATAGCTTCTTATCATCAGCCGTTCCAGGCTGACCAAGTAAAAAGTTTTCTGGCTTCACATCTCCATGAACAAACCTAGTTTGAGCAAAGTAAAATATTGTAACCATATCAGAAGCATTAACAAGAGCATGAATGTAATATATAAAAGATAAAGAATGAAATATGTCAAATATACCCCTTCATGTGAAGCTTTTCAAGAATGGATATAGCCTCCACAGCAATGCAGGCTACCATATTCGGTGGCATCCTGTGACAGGTACTAACAAATTAAAACGCTAAAAACTAGCATGGGAGCATGCATGATACGGATTAATATTTGCATGGTTGTTGTTTGCAGAGAGAGAAAGTGAGAAAGTATTTCTTACGATTGTCCTAGAGAATTCCAAACATCCCATAGACTGGGCCCCAGCATGTCCATGACCTGAAACATTTATCTCATTCCCTTTAGAATACAAGTAGGTATTGAAATATGAGTGTAAGGAGCCCGAATCAAGCCTCACCAGGATGTAAAAATCTCCTTGCCGACCCTTGTAATGTACCCAAGGAATCCCATAGCATCCATTCAAAGTACTTCCAAATTCCAAATAAGAAAAAGAATAAAAAGGGAGAGGGTGAGGGAGAGAGAGGGATAGCACAGAATCAGATAATAAATTCAAAAAATTTGAAGCTTCAAACAAATAAAATCTCAGTAGCAAATCCACACATTAAAGACAGTCCTTACTTGTACACCTGCCACTCATAAGGAGGCCCATAATTGCAACCTTTACTATTTCGGTGCTCGAACTTCAAGGCCACCTGTAATAAAAAAATCCTTAGGTGACATGTTTGAAAGTGTTTGGTAATTAATATCCAAATGAGCACAGAATCTTCAATCAAACCTCAATTGCATCAGGACCGGTCCTATCGCTGCCACCATGTACCCTTCTGCCAACAAAAACTTGGCCAAAACCACCCTTACCTAACTTCCTCTCAGTCTTATATACAGGAGAATTACCCACTTGTACCTGCACTCAACATTTAAATACATCTTCATTAATTCCGTCAAGAGATTCCTAACGTTGAACAACTAGCTAAGCATACACATTTTAAGTGGTAATAATCCCAATAAAGAAAATTATATGTAAAATGACATGCTCAGCCCACATTCATTAACGTTCAAACAAAATAGACCATTGACATAAACGGAAGCCAAATCTTGACGTAGACAAATTATCATTTTTCTTAAAAATAACGGTCAAAGGATAGAACAGCAGTAACGGTTTTGTTAGTGATTAAAGTGACTGGCTCCACATCAACTGCAATCCATGCATAACTCTTTCCAATATATAAACAACCCCGGAAGAGAAATAAGCAAATGCACAGTACCCTCTCAGGAACAGGAGTTGTGCTTGCTTCTTCTTCAACTCCCATTATCTTTTCTGCACTCCCACCTTCCATTGCAATATCTTTATCTGCGACCACCTCCACCGGATTATATGCGGGTTCAGCAGCCCGCAAAGCTGCAGCCTCAGGAAGAACCTCACAAGGTTCTGGGTCTAGATCAATCAACCTAATGCCCCTGCCTCTACCAGCAGCTGTAGGCCTCGCAGGTATTCCTGGTTTTGCTACAGCAGCAGCATTACCCCTTCCTCTACCGCCACCAACTCTCCTTCTTGTCCTGTTCTGAGCAGGCAATAACCAATTATTCACTTGATCAGCTGGCTGTGGAGGAGGCTGAAGATCATCAAGGCGTTTTGATCTGCGGGCTCCACTTCTCAACTCTGGCATCGTCAACCCATGCAAATCACATCCGCTCAGTTCCCTGTATATATTCCTTCACATACTCTGTCATTCCAAAAAAAAAAAACCTTTTTAACAAAATAGGAAACAAATACATGTTAAAAGCATAAGAGTGATCATCAATACAGATAGAAACCCTTCCAAACAAACAAAAAATAAAATGATCTTTTGAAACATAACTATATGCTCATAATCAACATTGCACAATAAATGTACGTCATTACCCGAAAACTGAACTTACCATTCATAGAGAAACCCTTTTAAGCAAAATCCCCAGACCCCCTTACACTCATAAACCACATTATTCAACCTATGTTATCACTACAAAATAAAACTTCAAATGGCAACAAAAGTAACAAAGTCAGTGCATAAATTTTCAAAAAGGGAATCAAAAAGCTTAGAAGATTCACTCAGTTGCTAGCATATAGAAAAGTTGCGTACTTAAAAAGAAGTACCCAGAGATAAAACATGCTGTTTTTAACAAATAAACCTCACAAATTCCATTTTTTGATAAAGACCAGTACTTCCCAAGTGAATGTAGCAAAGTATATGCAATAATCTCAACCATTGTACATTCCATTATTGACATATCACTTTATTCCTCCTTCACAAAATGAAAACTTTTCAACCAAACAACACATATTTACAAACATCTATGTTTATATACACATACACATATATTAATACACAAATTAGTATCCAAATTAGAAAAACAAAAATAGAAAAACAAGGCAAACTACCAATAAAACAACATCGAAGATGCTTAAATTTAATATTTTTCAAAAAAAGAAAAAATCTTTTTCAAAAAAGTTTAAAAATTTTCAAAACTTTCAAGCTACAAATCAGATTAAACCATCAGTAACCAAACAATCTCTTATCCGATCATCCAAACGCAAAGAAAATGAAAAAAAAAAAACCGATCATCAAACAAATAAACTTAAAGTTAAAAACAATCTTCAGAAAAACAAACCCAGAAACCAAAACAAAAAAATAAAAAAATACTCACAGATCGATCCCCAGAAACGATCAAAACAAAAAACTCCACCGATCGTGCTTAGATCTTCTTCTTCACTTACAGCATTCCAAACTTGATATTTCACTTTCCTTTATCTTGGGCTAGACATCATTTATCTCGAAAACAAGACCATAAAATGATCTGGGTCAGAAAAAAACAAAACTATTGGCTTAGAGTTATGTTGTGTCTGGAATGAAGAAATGTATCAATGTGTTGTTGTTGTTGATGTGGTTGTTTTTGTTGTTGTGCGGTGTTGTATCTATTATCTAATCTAATCTAATCTAATATCTAATGTAAAAAATCTAAAGACAAAGTTAAACAAAGAAAAGGTTTGATTTTTTGGGTTGAGTTCTTGTGAGTAAATAAAAGTTCCTCTCTTTCTTAGGCTTGTGTGTAGATGAGATGAGAATTGAGATGATGATGTTGATGATGATGATGATGATGATGATAATGGTGGTGGTGTTAGGAGAGGGGAAAATAAATTAAATTAAATTAAAAAAAAAAGAAAAAAAAAAAAGCTTGGTTTATTTTGGTTTTTGTTTGGTGGTAGTGTTATTATATGAGTGAACATGGGACATGCAAATGTGGGCTTGAAAATTTTGACATGAATCTCTAATAAATAAAACTATTTAATGGTGGTTCTGATTTTATCTATCTAAATGGGAGGTCTATATTGGAACCTAATAATTTATTATAATTAGTGTTAATCTTTTGTGTTAAACTTTGATTAAGTTGTTTGATAATGGGGTATTTTTATATTATCTCATACCATTACTACAATTAGTAGGTATACGTATATTTTTTATTTCTTTTTTTATCGGAGGTGTTCAGGCCAGTTTACATGCATTTTAACTAATTTTTGAGACCCTGAAACTACTAACCGAGTAAAACTCCAATGGTTACCCTTATTAACAACCGAGAAGGGACTCGAATTCAAGACCTCTTAAGCAATACATCCTTAACCCCAAGGGATTAGCATGACGGTTAAAGAGGTTTGTTCAATTTCTTGAGTTTCTAAGTTCAAACTTTATGATCACTTACCACAGTAATATTGTGATTTATCTAGTCTTTTAGACTTATAAGGTGTTCAATGAACCCCGATGATTAGTTGAGACGTGCAAGCGGGTCTGGACACCCCAATTACCCAAAAAAATATTTATATACATCCAAGAGTCTCTATTAAACCACTCGACCATCCAAAGATCGTTAGATATAGGTATAATTTTTTTAAAAATTATTGATTACACTTAGATGGGTTAATTAATTAACTTTTAACATGTATGTATAGTAAAACTTTGTTTTAACTCTATAAATGGGTTGAAAATTTCTTAATTAAAATGGAAAGTTAAACTTGTTTAGCTAACTTAAACCTAAATGCTAAATTATCATTTATAATCCTGGTCTGCCCTAATTTGTTGTTTTGACAAGATAATTTTTTTTTTTTTTTTAATAATTGAGGTTATCCGAACCAGTTTATGCACACTTCAACTAATCTTCAAGGACTCTAGAATTATCGACGGGGTAAGAGCTCCAGTGATTACTCCTATTAGCAACTAAGTGACTCGAATTCATAACCTTTTAAATAGCACACTTAAGAGTCCTTATCGAACTATTTGACCATCAAAAGTTTGGTCTTTAAGACAATTTATTTGCTTCGTCAACAATCATGTCTATTATTAGCTTTATTAAATTGACTTTGAAATTGTTTTAGTAATTATTTTGGAAACTTTAATACAAAGGGAAAAAAATTACTATTTTTTTTTCTGATTTAAGCAAATTATAATTATTTTCATGAATTTAAATGTCAACTGTAATTAGGTTAATTAGTGTCATTCCTTGGGGGGCCTATAGAAAAAAAATGAACATTTATTTTAAATGAAAATTAATTAACATATTTTATCAAAATAAATATTTTAAACATAAATTAATCTTTGATTAAATCATTAAAAGGAGAAAATGAAAAAATAAATTATTTTACTAATTCCAAGTTAATTGCTTAACGTTCGGGGAGGTTCTCGAGGGAATAGTTCCCCATTCCATAATTAACGAAACTAATAAATTTTTAAAAATTAATTGGATTTTCAATTTTTAATATTATTATTAATTAAAATTCTAATTAACTAATATTAAATTAAAATTTTAATATTAGTTATAACCTTTATTAAATGGGCGCAAGTCCCAACAACTCTTCAATCAACTCCCAGTAACCTTACCCCGTATTTTATTTAATTTTTTTAAAAATAAAAATAAAATTAAAAAACTATTTTATTTTGACTTCGTGTTAGGCAGGGAAGAAAGGTGGTTGGTCACTATAGATTTAAAAAAATTAATTAATAAGTACAAAATTACATAAATAAAAAGTTTTTTTAATACAAAATAAATTTGGAACTATGTTTATATGTAAAAATTCAAATTTAAATATGGATAAATGCAAGAAATTGAAAAAAGGACTGAAACTAAATTTTTCATGATTTGATTCTGAAATAAGAAGGGTAAATTTTTAACCGTCCCTCACTTTTAGTATAATTATTCAAATGACCTCTATCATTTGGGAATGAGTGTTACTGACCTCTCTTCTTTAGAGTTCATTCATAATTAAACAAAATCAAATGGGATTTTGGTAATTAAATGAAAGCTTCAAGGAATGGGAATGGATGACGTACGTCACAGGCCTAGAGTTTCAATATAGTGTAACGGTCTGTGCGACACCCTAACATTACATAATAGTTGTATTAAGCCTACACATCATGTCATTCTTCGATTTGAGGTTAATTGGTTTTGTTTTGCCTTAAACTTATCAGGCGAATGACTCCAAATTTCGACCAGTTTATGTAGGGGTGACTTAGTTCGTTTTTCATAGTTAATTCCTAAACTAGTGACAACCCCTCCAAATTCAATTGAGTTGACATGTTGGAACTATGAAGAACAATTTCTATCGGCCCCTACACTCTCCTTTTCTAAAGCACATCCCATGTGAAATGTTTCACGTAACCGATCAATCCAGTACGCTCACCACAACATTTTTATTACGATTGTTCACAATCAAATTGTGACACATAATATTTGTTAGAATTGTCTTAACATGTACCTTAAAATCATATGTTAAAATTATAAATAAACAAAACATTGTTCATATCAATATATTAAAAAAGGTGTTATTTTATCTGCCAATATTAATCTAACGGGAGGCTAGTACTAATTGTTAAAATACAGGGGTTCTTTTAAATTAAGATAAACTTAGAGGAGGTCAGGAAATTAGCTCAAATGAATAAGGAAAACAGGGAATATATTTTCTTTCACTTTCTCGAGAACCAACCAAAGACAGCGTTGACATGATGATGCAATTCTCGTCATAACATATTAGGGTGATCAACACCAACCCATTAAAGTACCAAAACGACGAAACCCACATAATGGCATCGTCATCATCACCAACAGAAACTCGGGGCCCCGAACTCCGAAAGGATCCGATTAACAACCGGTGGGTCATATTCTCACCCGCCCGAGCCAAACGGCCCTCCGACTTCAAATCTAAATCCTCCTCAGAAAACCACAATTCTAACTCCAGCTCCCCATGCCCTTTCTGTTTCGGCAACGAGCACCACTGCGCACCCGAGATATTCAGGGACTCGCCCGACCCGAATGTCGACTGGAAGATCCGGGTCATTCAGAATCTATACCCCGCGCTCAGTAGAGACATTGGCGGTGAAACAGAATGTCACCCAGACGGCGAAAAAAGTGGATTTCCGGGTCGGGTCGTACCCGGAGTTGGGTTTCACGATGTTGTGATTGAGACTCCGGTTCACTCGGTTCATTTGTCTGATCTAGGTCCGACACAGGTTGGTGAGGTTTTGCTTGCGTATAAGAAGAGGATTGAACAGATTAAAGAACGTGATTTGATTAAATATGTTCAGGTTTGTTTTTTTTTTAATTCTAATTAAAGTTCTAGATGTTGTATTTTTTAACATTATTGTATACGAATTAATTTAGTTCATATTTTATTTGCAATTTATTGTTTTGTAATGCAGTTATTTTTTTGTTGGCTCATTATGAAACACAGGGTTTTGAATATAATTTGATTTGATTTTGATGAAGATCATGGTATTGTTGAGTCTCGTTCAATGAATGCTTTCTCAGAAGCGAATTTGTAAAATGATAATTTTATTATCAGGGTACATGTATGGTAGTAGTTCTGGAAAATTGTATTGTAAAAGCAAAAATTTTGGTTTGTTGATGATGCTGTAGACTAGTACTCAAGGCTGGACTCATTGGTTTCAGTGTGTTAGTGGTCGAGATTGATAGTATGATGAGGCATTGGATTGCATATATGCAGGGTTTAGCACCCTCGAAATGATGGCAAGGTTTTGAATGTAATTTGATTTCATTTTGATGAAGATCATGGCATTGTTCAGTCTCGTTCAATGAATGCTTTCTCGGAAGCAAATTTGTAGCACCCTCGAAATGATGGCAAACACTATTGCTTAATGGTTGTTTAGGGATGGTTCTTAGATGTTTTGTATGAGCACTTCAGAGTTCAGGAGTAGTTGGCTAACTTACTTGATATAGCGGATGGATGGTGTAACTCTGTTGACAACTTTTATTCTTTTACTAAATTTATAGTATAGCAGTGGTGCCACTATTTGAGTTCAAGGGGTAGGTAACATATTGGATTTTGGGTTTACCTATGCCTACAACTTCTTTGGTGACGTTAATATTCAAATGAGAAGCACGTCGAGGTTGTCCGAAACTCTTAAGGTAGTAAGGCAACATAGGCATGCAAAGTAATCCAGTAAATTGGTTTTCACATTTGCACTCAAGTGATGTTGCTTCTAATTAAGTAATTTCCGCCACAACTAAAGAAAGCCTAGTTAGCTGCATTGTTGGTTGCATGGGAAGGTGCATGTAAAGGCTATTTTCAGGAGACATATTTTTCAAGTGCACAAAGCTTACCTGATTACATCATCCCATTTTTCTGGTTTTTTTTTTTTATTATTATTATTTTTCTAGTTTTTAATATTTTTAGAGAACACTATTACTAACTAACTAACAAACAGACCATTAAGAGCTGAAGATCAAACTTCTGGCGGCTTAGAAGTTGTTGGTTTTCTTTCATGTTTGTATGTCTATGTTGCTTTTCATAATGGATATAAAGCCGAAGTTGGTTTATGCATTAGGTATTTAAAAACCATGGTGCATCAGCTGGAGCATCATTGAGTCATTCTCACAGTCAGATACTGGCTCTCCCGGTTATTCCTCCAACTGTTTCTGGACGACTTTGCAGTATGAAGGAGTACTTTGATCAGACTGGAAAATGTGGTCTTTGTGAAGTTCAGCCAAAGGACCTCCTAATTGATGAAACAACTAATTTCACTTCAATTGTTCCTTTTGCTGCTACTTTTCCTTTTGAGATATGGATTATTCCTCGATATCACTCTTCTCATTTCCACGACCTAGATAGTGAGAAGGTAAGTTATGGGCTTCTTATATTTTTATTCATGTTGCTGTACCAAGTAATGGATTTTGCACCTGATTGAGATGTATTGAGATGCTTGTCAGTTCTCATGTTATTATTTGAAAGTAAGTTTACTGTGGTTTTTGTTCTCATTATTTAGACAATTCTTATTTTCTTCATTTCAGAATGAAACAAATAGTATGATTTATCTTTGGTAAAAAATAAAGCATGTGTTGTTCCATAAAGTCTCTAAATCGCAATGCTAGAGAAACCTGTATCCTTGAATCTTTTAGTAAAACCTGAGAAGCTTTATTTGTTGTTGAGTTTGCTCTTGTTGGCAGTAATTGTACTGCAATGGTTGGCTGAAGTTGTGTGTAAATGGGAAAACATAGTGAGTGGTTAGGTGGTGAAGAAAATCTTGTTTTCTTCTCTGCATTAATTTTTAGTTTGGCAATAGAGCTCATATGAGGACTGAATATTGATGGGAAAAGATATTGGCTGCATCGATATCCTCTCAATTTCAAGCATAATGGTTGAAAGAGAGTCAGCTCTTATTAATGTGTGCTTGAGGATATAATCTTAGTATGTTGTGGCATCATATAATGATTGTAATAAGAGGAGTACCATATGATGTGGGTGGTTTAGAAACACTTTGCTTTAGAATTGTATTTTCATGCAGCCTATAATATGCTTGATGATTTTGTTTAATTTGACTTTGAATAGTATGCAAATTAGCCTTATATCCTGATGGTTATTTTCACAATTTTTCTGCACATTTTACGCTTCACGTTCAGTATTTTAATACTTGTGCCCATGCTTATGTGAATTGTGCAGGCCATTGATCTTGGAGGATTACTGAAACTCATGCTTAGAAAGCTGTCTATGCAATTGAATAACCCACCTTTCAATTTCATGATCCACACTTCTCCACTTCAGGTCACCGACACTCAATCACCATATACACACTGGTATTTACAGATAGTACCTCAATTAACTGGTGTCGGGGGGTTTGAAATCGGCACTGGGTGTTACATAAATCCTGTTTTCCCAGATGATGCTGCTAAAGTTTTGAGAGAAGTTAACATTCCAGTGTAGCTGTGAATTGATTATAATCATAACAGTCTCATAAATCTTAGTGTTACAAAAGAAAATAAAATTCATCATCATTTTAATGAAGTTCTCATCTGGTGAGTCCATTTTTTAATTGCTGTTAGCATGATGGATTTACAGGGTCATTTGCAATGCAAAATCTAGTTAAAATTTACTAATTATGGGTTGTAAATTATTGTAAAAAACGCAAGGGTTTAACCGGTTGGTCAAGTATGTGGTTTAATCTCATAAGGTCAGGGATTCGAGCCCCTCACAGGCGTATGGCCATAGGTCATTGTTTTCTGTTTTCTAAATATTGCTAGGTTCAGTGGGGGCTTCAGGTTCAAATTAAAGCGAAGCAAGTACATTTGGAAGCCTGAAGGATTTCTGGATTATTAGAAAGAAAAAGTCTTATGCAGTCGGCTGTTAACCGACTGGTTGTTGGTTCAAATCCGTCTACATGTCCAAAGGTCATTGTTTCTCATTTTCTAAATATTGCTAGGTTTGATAGGGACCTTGGTTTCAAATTAGAGCGAAACAAGTGCATTTGGAAGCTTAATTACCTGGTTGTTGGTTTGAATCCTATTTGGGGAGATTTGATTCATTTCGGAGAGGGGCTACAATTTGTGATGTTTAGTAGTTAGTATTCATGCAAAAAAATAGTGCTGATTGCCGAGGAAAGAGGAAGCACATTGATTAAAGTTGCACCGCCAAAAAGTTCCCCATGTGCGGTGCTGCAGGGCATCGAACTTTTGATATTTCAATTATGCAGCCTTCAAGCTGAAGTTAAGGTTACTTTCTATCTGAATTATTTTACCCATTTAACAATTTTATCTTTCTAATTTTTTTTCGGAAGGATCAACCATTCTGGTTCTGGGTATCATGTCCATCACAGTATAAGAAATTATTCTGAACACCTTGATCTCATTAGGGCTTTTAGTGAATTAGAAAACAAAAAAATATACAATTCTTGTAAAAATTAATATTTCAATATAACAATAATCCATCTGGTAGGGAGAAAATGAAAAAAAAAAAAAGAATTACCTCTTAGTGGTTTAGTGGTTTAATAGAGACTTTTGGGTGTCCTGAGTTTGAGTCTCTCCTTGAGTGTTAATAAAGGTAGTTACATGAGCTCTTATTCGACTAATAATTCCAAGGTCTCGAGGGATTAGTTGAGGTGTGCCTAACTTGGTTCAGACACACACCCATCAAAAAAAGAGACCACTTTTTAAGTATCTCTTTCCTTATGTGACACAAACAAAATGAAAGAGAATATGTTGTGTAAGAATAATACTTTTTTTTTTTAAATATTATATATATATATATATTTTTTTTTTTTTTTCTTTCAAAACACATTTACAAATTAACGTGATTCATGGAACGATGTATGAAAGTAAATTCAATGCCCCAAGATAAATGACAATAAAGGAATAATATCTTCTTCTTTTTTAATGAGATGGGATATGTGATATTATTCTTTCATGTTAATTTTACAATTTTTTTGAATCTCTCTTTAGTTGTTAATAGAGGTGGTCATTTAAGCTCTTATCTAATCGGTAATTCTAGGGTCTTAGAAGATTATTTGAGGTGTATATAAGTTGACCCGAACAACCTTGTTGATCGCCTTCGCCTCTCCCTTAGGTTTTCGCACCTTTTTAGCCAAATTCTAGCATCTAGCCAAGGTGCGCTCGGGTGGAAAAGTTAAGGGTTTTGGTGAGGAGGATAAGGGGATGCTGATGGTGGTGTCGGGGAGGTCCAATGGTGTTGGAATCAAGCTGGATTTTTGTCTTGGTCGAGATCTCCTCTAGGGGTTATTTGAGAGAAATTTGAGATGTGAGAATTATTTTGAGAGAAAAGTAACGGTGTTAATTTAAGGATGAGAATCTAAGATTTATGAAACCAAGGGTGAAAACTTGCAGATTCGTTAAACCTTGGGTGGGAAAACATCGTTCACTGTATAATAAATATTCCGATTATGAACTAGTATAATCCCAAACATGTTAAAAGTTTGCATGCTGTATTTTGCGTAAAAGTAGTTAAAAAAACTATAAATGGAGGCTGCATAATGTTCAAGATCCAAACCCTAATTTAATAGCAGAGAGCCCAATTGAAGTATCATCCTACGATGAAAATGACATAACCCTTCAAAGAAGAAACTAGAAAACCTAGGAAATCTAATACAAATATTTATTAAATACTATATATATATATATTTTTTTTAATAAAAATGCAAAATTAAAAAAACAATAAAAAGATAAATTATCTTGAAAAGTTGTTAATGTATTATGGGGTGACTCGTGGAAGTATTTGAATCACCTATTGTCCAACAAATAGATAAAAAATAACAAATTTTTTTAATTAAAAATAGTAAATAAATAAACAAACAAAAATTGTCTGTCTCTTAAACCCCAAGAAGTGGGTTTTGGCGGCTACCTCTTTATGTATTTCAAGCTCTCTCTGCTCTTTTAATTTCATTCCTCTCTCTCTCTCTAGGGTTTCGTTATCTCTCTCTAAATCAAGACCGTTAATTTGGGCATGGCAACCGTCTCTGCCTCCTCTGATCGTATCCTTTCTGGGTTTTCTCATCTGGGTATTGCTTTGTTTGTTTTTTTGTTTTGTTTTTTTTTTTTTCTTTCTTGCATATGAGCTTACATGTTTGTACAGGGCTTGAGCTTCTGTGTGGTTTCTTTTGTTGTTTCGGGTATGAAGTGATTAAATATTGTTTTTGAACTATTATTTGTGTGTTTGAAGAGTTCATATATGTGGGTTTTTTTTTAGGTTTCATTTTAGCGTACAAGAATTCATGTACGTGTTAGTTTTGTGTGTTATGTCAAGTTGAAATCATTTTCTTTTCGGTAGGGTCTAGGGTTTATGTTAATGTACAGTTTCATTTTTTTATGTTATGCTAAGTTTCAATTGTTTTTTAGGTGGGGTTTATTTATTTTTAAAGTTTTTCAGTATCTGTTTGTTCTTTTATGTATCAAGTGATTGAATTTTGTTTTCTTGGGGTATGATTTATGTATTGGATGAATTTATTTTGTGGGATTTTTGCTATGTTTTTTTATGCCAGATAATGATAATTTTATGAAGTGGAGGGTTTCAAGTTTTTCGTGTTTATAAATTTTGTTCATATTTTGGTTTTTGTGAATGATGTACTTTATTCAGTTATTTTGTGCTGTTATTTGATATGATTTTTGATTGTTAAGTTTTTTGTTTGTTCTAGGTGGTATGAATAAGGGTATAAATTTGTATAATAATGAAAAATTTGAAGTTAATATAACCAAAATTTTGTTCTACTACTTGAATTCCTTTACTCTTATCTTCACAGAAACTGCAGATTTGCTGCAGAATTTGTCGTTAGATTCTGAAAACAAGACTGCAAAAGCTTACGACTATGCTAACAAGGTACTACTATGATTGATTTTGTCATTACTTAAGTAGTTATTGTCTTAAAGTAGTATGCCTAATCAATTTATATGGTTGATGTGTTCTTATAGATTTCTTCTATTAATTTTGGGCCAATTAATTCCACTGACTTTGTTACAAGTGTGACAAGCCTTCGAATCTGTCTACAACCCCCTTATGATATAAACCTGAATGCAAGCTATTATCCGAATGGGTATCATCAAGGTCATACCGTTATGCAGATGTAAACTTTGGGGATCATTTAAGGTTTTTCTTTTTAGATGTATGCTTTCTGAAATTCAAGAGGGGTTTGGTTTGAATGAGGCACAATCTGCAACTCTTTTTGGGGTTTTTCATGAAAACTAATTTCTTTTGCCACATATTCGTTCTTCGTCAGGTTGTGGTTGGCTGGGTCATGGTGGAACAGTTGCTTTAGATATGTAACTTATGATGAGGTTGAGGTGGCTGATACGAGTTCTACCTATACTTATTTATGTATGTTTGTGAATATTATTCTAAGGTCCAAGAAGAAGTGATGGTGGCTAAAATCTCTTACTTCCAACCTTTGTGATGGATTTTTTTCTTAACCTTGTTTCAGGAAGAGTTAAAAATCAGTTTTATTTGCCCCGTATTTGTTGGCAGTAGCAGTTCATGTTGAAGTTCTTGAACTTGATGAATATTTCTCTGATCATTGCTACAATAATAACGATTTTTCATCATATCTAAGGACTTCCTTGGTTTAGGCTGAAGGAAATATATTAATGTGACTCATTATCATCAAAGTGATTGTAATATTTTTGCTGTTTGTGAGGATCCCATTAGAGTTGCTTCTACTTCTAATAAGATATGATCTAGATTAAGTCATTCTCGACTAGTCCAAAAGAGACGAATAAATTGCACAGATGCTTAATTTTTTCCAACTGTTCTCCACTGACAAAGTGGGAGAAATCTCATTATTGGCTTTTAAGGAGAGCGAATTCTTCATTAAGTTGCTTCTGACTTGTCAATAGAGTTTGTAGTTGAGTTATGATCCATGTTTTGACCAGTATTTAGTTGAATATAGGGGTTGTTAGTTTGTCAATCATGCTAGGCTTGTGGCTTGCGGAATTATGTGGTTAAAAAAAAATGTTACCTTTTGCAGGCTGAGGATTGTATTTGATATGTCATTGTTTACTTACAGGGCCATTATGCTGATAATGCTAGTCACATGTACCACCAAGGCTATGGTTATTCACCATATGGAATATATCCCTCACCAGGTGATGGTCAACTGCAAGGGCTCCAGCAATACCAGTATCCAAGTCCTTATTACCCACCTTATGCTCCTCAAGGTGCAGGTTCAACTTCAGTGACAGCTGAAACTAATAATGGAAGCCTTAGTGCTGTAGCAAACGGTTCCAGTGTCAGTGGGAATAATGGGTCAAAGCCACTTAGACCAAGTTACCAGAATTCAAATTTAGATCCAAATGCTTCTTACAGAAGAGGAGGCTTGTCAACAGCAGTTCCTTCAAGTTATCATGATGCTAGATATAGTTTTGATGGAATTCATTCGCCAACTGCTTGGTATGATTCCTCGGTATTTTCTTCTGGTGGGCAGTCCAAACATGCTGCAAATGCTGGTTTTACTTCATCTCATTCCAACAATTATCCATCTGGGAGGAATCAGAATCATCATTCTCATCCACATCTCATGGTATGTTAGGGATGTTTGTTTTTGGACTCTGGGCTTTTTGCTTCTATTTCTGTGGTGAACATGAACTGAAGCCAGAAGGCGTTTGTTACTTATAACTTTACATTTGGAGGAAAAAAAAAATTGATGTCTAGCTATATATATACACACAAAATTTGGGCACCATAGAACTATCACAAATATTTTAGTGCTAGATCTGTTGTTGTTGTAACGCTATGATCAATATGTTGGCTTGAGTGTACCATATATTATGTCATGCTTGCTTCATTTACTGGGTAACATTTATTTTTTCATCATATACATATGTAAACAAGCTTTTGTCGAACCTCTTTTTATTGTATTGGGACAAATTTATTGACATCTGTTTTGACAACTAACACAGAATCTGCACCATACAAGACCAACATCTGGCTTTGGCGAAGCTTATGATTATATGAATCCGATGTATGCAAACAACACAATGTATGGCCATTACGGAAACACATATAGGGCTGGCTCTGGTTTTGGATCCTTTGGCTATGATTCATGGATGGGAGGGCGAGGATGGTATACTGTCGACAATAAGTACAAACCTAGGGGTCGTGGCTATGGTGCATCTGGCTCGGGCAAAGAAAATGGGGATGGTTTAAATGAGTTGAATAAGGGACCAAGGGCCAAGGACTTTAAGAACCAAGAGGGGTTTGATCCCATTACACTAGCGGTTAAAGGACAGAACCTTACATGTACTGAGAGCGATGTAGAGGATAATTCACCTCTTGTTCCAGACAAGGAGAAGTACAATGGAGAGGATTTTGCTGTTGAGAGTTACGTAGATGCAAAATTTTATGTGATAAAATCCTATAGCGAGGATGATGTTCATAAAAGCGTTAAATATAATATGTGGACCAGTACACCCAACGGCAATAAGAAGCTTGATTTGGCATATCGTGAAGTGAAGGAGAAGTCCAGTGACTGTCCAGTATTTCTACTTTTCTCTGTGAGTGCAAGTAGTTTTGTACCATCTGCTGAGCTTAGTTGGCTAGTGCAGAAACTTGATTGGTTTTACTGAATTTTGTTCTGTTTTTCCATTTCAGGTCAATGCCAGCGGGCAATTTGTTGGTTTAGCAGAGATGGCTGGTCCTGTTGACTTTGACAAAACTGTGGAGTACTGGCAACAGGATAAGTGGATCGGTTGCTTCCCTCTGAAGTGGCATATCATTAAGGACATACCAAATAGTTCATTGAGGCACATAACACTTGAAAATAATGAGAACAAGCCTGTCACTAACAGTAGGGACACTCAGGAGGTATGTGGGCTAGGATTTAATCATTTGTTGATATTTTATTAGTTTATGCTGATTTTGTTATCAATTGTTTTTCACCAAATGTAAATGTTCATTGGCTTGTGTAGGTTAATTTTGACCAAGGCATTCAAATTCTGAAAATTTTTAAGTCTCACTCGAGCAAGAGATGCATCCTGGATGATTTTGGGTTTTATGAATCTCGTGAGAAGATTATGCAGGAGAAAAAGGCCAAGCAAAACCAGTTACCGAAACAGGCAAGCAGCCCTCTTTATGGATTTATGTCCAAATTATTAGTAAGAGTTTCCTTTTGCTTTTTCAGTGTTTCCTGTTCTGAAAAATTGGAGTTACATTGTATGTTGGACTTTATTTTTCATGTTTTCTCATTATCTTTACAAAACTTTTATCATCCAAAACAGGTATTAGATGGAGAGTCTGACAAAGTTGTGAGTGACCACAAAGACAAAGATGCATCGATACAAAAAGATAACGTGCAAAATGAAGCATTGATAAAGGACACAGTGGTTACAACAGCAGCACCAGCAGATGAGACAAACGGAGAAGTGAATAAGTTAGAAGAGGATGAGTCTGCTGCAGCAGTTGAAGATGCCGCTACCAAAGGTTCTAAATCGGCTGTTGTATTGTCCGGCAAGACGGGTTCTTCCAACGGGGTAGCAAGTGCTTGCTAATTGATTCCCTGGATTGTTTTCTTTGAATTAGGATAGAATTGAAGTTGGTTAATTCCGTGACATCATTTACATAAGGGCTGTAGGAAGAGAAGGCCCCTCAGCTTTCTTATACATAGTTATTGTGAGAGACAGGAAGACTGCTCTAAAACCTAAAGATTACATAATATGTTTTTTTTTTTTTTTCCCTGTTTGGATGCCATTTTTCTTGTTGCTGTTTCAGCTCTTAAATTTTAGTATAATTCATGTTTCCACTCCTATTTTAATCAACTTCTTTTCTTTGTTCATATGTAATTTTTTTTTAACCTAGTTATCCTGATCCCAGGTGGGATTTTAAATGAGAAGTTGGCTTGTACTATCCTCATAGTAAAGATTTTCCAGATGGTATTTTTTTCTTCCTGGCGGTATTTTTACCTGGTTAAACCTCTAACCGACTTGAATATCGAAGAGTTCACATTAATAAAGCTTTTAATCTGACTTTGTTGTTTGTCGTTGATAATAGTTTCAATCTCTTTAAGTAAGAGAAATTTGAGGACTAAAAACCAAACAGGAATATTTGTGTTAATCAGGGGTGTGCGAAAGAACCAATCGGAACCGGAACAGATCGATGCTCGAGGTTTCGATTTCGATTCCTATCCAAAATCGAACCTCACATGGTCGGTTTCGGTTCTAAAAATCAGAACTGATACTTTGTAGTTCCATCACTATAGGAATTGGGACCGAGATCCCGGTAGGAATTGAGACTCAACTGTAATTTTTGTAAACTTTTGGGGCTGTATAACTTTTGTGAATATTAGGGGGTAATGGTGATTTTCTCATATACTTGAAAGTTGAAACTAGAACCAAAACCTGTGTTTCATGTTCCGGTTCTAGGCTTTTAGGAATCAAAACTTGTGTTTTCAGTTCTAGTTCCAAATCCCAGGAACAGGCCAATTCTGATTCCAGTTCCAATTCTATGGGATTTGGGCGGGTATTCGGACCGCCCATCCCTAGTGTTAATAGCTAGTATTTGAAATAAAAGTGTTTCTTTTCAAGTGTTGAAAAATAAATCAGCAAATAAAAAGTATTTACCAATGATATTAATAATATTTAAAAATATTATATTGTATATTTTAATGTCATTTTTGTTATTTTCAAAAAAACAATATCAAAAACATTATTGGATTTGGATCTTAAAAGCACTCGAAATCTGAATTTCATAAATACATTAACAAAATAAGACAATAATACCACCAATTCAATAAAACTTTTCATGAGTATAAAATTTTATCATAAAAAAAAAAATAGTTTAAAAAATTTAACTGTTTTATAAAACACATAAAATAAAATGAATAAATAAATGAGCGCCGAGATCTTTCCTCCTTGTCTCTAGGCTTAAACAAAACTACGTCGTTTCATTTTCAATTTCTAGGGCATTCCTTGCAGGTTTAATTGTTTAAACGCACAGTCACTACACTCTGAAGAGAAACAAGAAAGACCCATAATCGTTCTTCCGAGAAGTAGGGTTTCTCTTCGTATCAGAAAACAGAACAGGTGATTCAAAAAATGGGGTTCTCAATGCAACCTTTTGGAGTACAATCTATGCTCAAAGAAGGCCACAAACATCTCTCAGGTCTTGACGAAGCTGTTCTCAAAAATATCGATGCTTGCAAGCAACTTTCTGCTATCACTCGCACTTCTCTGGGACCTAATGGTACATTTTCTTCACTTTGAACTCCTTATCTTGCTGTTGTAAGAAGTGGGTATTTAGTGTATGTGTGTTTGCTTTGTGGGTTTTTTTAATTTTTTTTTTTCTTTTTGGTGTATTGTGATGCTAAATCTGGATCAGAAGTTTGTTGTGCTATTTCTAACTTTAGCTGTTGATTTTTTGACTCTTTATGAAAGCTGTGATAACGACATACTTTCTAAACGAGCGCAGAAATGGGAAATGGGTATTACGGGTTACATTTTCTGAGTTGAAGAAATGCGTTGCGTGATGATAGTTTTAAGTGGAATAAATCAATCTATTATTAAGGATTTTAAGTAAGGGCTTGCGGATATTGATGAAAGATTGGGAGGCTTTACAAGTGTATTGTGGATACTTATGGGTCGTGATGATTTAGTTGTTTTCTTTTGAAGAATATTTCGTTTAGATTGTTTTTAGGTGCTTTATTGTGTTGGAAAAACTCAGATCACTTTGGGGTAAATGAGAAGTGTGCATGGTGGAAACTCTTGGATAAGTTGATTGGATTGGTTTCTTTAGGAGAAGATTCGGTTCAGATTATTTTTCTTGGTAATCTAATGTCTTGGAAAAACTCAGATTAAGAGGGGCAATTTTGGATACTACTGGTGTATGAACGGAGGTGATTTATGACTTAGTTGTCTTTTGATAACTGTTATGAATCTGTATTGTTTAATAGACTTCAGTTGTAGGTAGGGGGACTCGGGCAAGCTTTTGAGTCCTTGATCATTTCCTGGAAAATGTTAACGTGAATTTAGATTTTTTTTGTCTTTTTCTTTTTAAAATCTAGTCACAAGCTTTATGGAGAATGAAGTTGGAATGATCCTTTAAAGAAATAATGCCAGTGAAACTTGGACCTTTCGAGTAAATTGGTTTCATGAGAATCCACTGTCTCAAAAATGCTCAAGTTCAGGTGTTTCTTTGTCAGGAATAGGGAATTCACACGTGAGGAAAATGTACGATCGATGTTTTCAATGGATTGTTTATGATAATTTCCACTGCTTATTTATTTGAGGGTTGATATTGGCAAATAAATGAAATTTCATTGATTTATAATGAAAAAGTAGTCAGCTATTTACTTTGCAAAGACCTCCTATGTTCATTTTATTAGATCTTTGCTTAGATGCCAATTCTTTTAGAAGTTAGCTCATCTTTTAAGCATTTAATTTCTTATGTACTTCAATTCTCAGGTATGAATAAGATGGTTATAAATCACTTAGACAAGCTATTTGTCACAAATGATGCTTCCACTATTGTGAACGAACTTGAGGTTCAGCATCCTGCAGCCAAGCTTTTGGTCCTAGCCGGCAAGGCTCAACAAGAAGAAATTGGTGATGGAGCTAATTTGGCTATCTCTTTTGCTGGGGAGATTCTTCAGGGTGCTGAGGAACTTATCAGGATGGGGTTACACCCAAGTGAAATCATCAGCGGATACAATAAAGCTATCAACAAGGTTTTCATATGCTTTTTCAAGTGGCTTAGATAACCAGTTTTATTAATAAGAATAACATACTGATTTACTGATTTTATTTTTTTCTTTAATTAATTATCAGACAATTGAAGTCTTAGATGAACTGGTGGAGAAAGGTTCTGAGAACATGGATGTAAGAGATAAGGAGCAAGTTGTTTCTCGAATGAAATCTGCTGTTGCTAGCAAGCAATTTGGACAAGAAGATATTTTATGTTCCCTTGTTGCTGATGTAATTACTTGGCCTATCTTGTTTGTTGTTACTTGCTTGTCTTTGTTAGCTCCTTGTGTGAAAGATGTGCTTTTGCCTTCTTTTTCTTGCAGGCATGCATCCAAGTATGCCCCAAAAACCCAGCAAACTTTAATGTTGATAATGTTCGCGTTGCAAAACTTTTGGGAGGAGGTTTGCACAATAGCACAGTTGTTCAGGGTATGATCTTGAAGAATGATGCTGCGGGAAGTATTAAGAGAATCGAGAAGGCAAAGGTTGGCCCTTAATGTTATCTTTCTTGTCATTTTTTTTTTAAATTAAATTTTATCATGAATTCCGTGTCTGTTATTTATGTTTCTTACTTTCTCACTTTCTTTTAATTGTGTAAATGTGATTATTATATTTGTTTAAACGCTAGGAATTGTATTTGGTAGTTGGTGATTTTCACTTGGTCTCTGGCTTTAGTTTTGTCTAGTTGCCTTGTAGCCCTGAGCTCTCATTGTTGATATGGCTATCTTTGTCCTATGTGGCTAAGTAACTTAATCTTTGGAGTGCTGAGAATGTGAAAAATAGATCATTGTTATCAATTCAAAAAAATTAAAGCTATAATTGTATTATTGTATTTTCAGCTCAAGATTTACTAGCTATTTTCTGTTAAGGATGCTTCTTGTTGTAATTGTAATGTGAAGAGATATTACAAAAAATTAGGTAAAGATTATTTGAGTTGGGATATAACTGGACCATTATTATAGAAACTAGATATTGTTGTGATAAGAAATCATTTGACATGGAATGACAGCAGTGACTGATAATGGTAACCGTCAATTTGTGTCTTGATCTGTGATGATGACTTACCATCACTTGCATTGTCTATTCAGGAAGTTGAATTTGAATATGTCCTCTAAAATACTTTATTAATGAATTTTGACGACGGGAGATGTTGAGATGTACCTTGAACTTTACATATTGTAAAGTGATATTTTAAGCATTCTCTGTTCAATACTCAAATTCGCCTCTAATGTTGTTCTTTCATGAAAAAAAATTCTGTTCGAATTGGTTTACTTTTGTACTTCTATGTTTGCTTTCTTGGCTTGTTACATAAACTTTGTTTAGCCTTGTATTTTTATACAAATGGCCATCTTATGAAGGTGTGTGTGTGTAAAGTCGAAATCCTCTATCACTCAGGGTTTTTGTATTTGCTTTTATACTGTTTTAGGTTGCTGTGTTTGCTGGTGGTGTTGATACCTCTGCAACTGAAACTAAAGGAACTGTTCTTATCCAGAGTGCTGAACAGGTAAATCTTGACGCAGTTCTCTTTCTGTTGCTATTCAGCTATCACCTTTGAAACTATTATGTATGTGTACATGTGTACATATGCTTTATATAATATCTCTCTTGTGGCTTATTTGGTATGAGACCATTCATTTGTGAGTGATTGTGAATGGAAGTAACGATGGTATTTAATTTCCTTCATAATGTATCTTGAGAAAGTGTGGAATTGTGGTTGAATGAAATCTCTTAATTCAATAAGTGTCTTGGCTCTCCGTATGATGCACTCTAAAGTTTGTTTGGTATATTAGGTACTGAACAGCAATATGATGGTTGATGATGATTGAGAATTCTCTTTCTGCTTTATTTTCAAGATTCCTTTAGATGATATTGAAAATGGATAGTTTTTTACCCTTCCCATTTTTTTAGTAGCAAGTACTTTTCATGATGGTTGTTGCACATCACAATAATTTGTTTACTAATGGTCTTTCTTTGTTTGGTACTGCCCTTTCTTTGTCATGTAATAGTAATTTATTGTAAAGTTCCTTTTACATACTTTAAAGCTAAACCTTTTTCACTGGTATCTCTTTTTAGCTAGAGAATTATGCAAAAACTGAAGAAGCAAAAGTTGAGGAGCTTATCAAAGCTGTTGCCGATTCAGGTGCCAAAGTAATTGTTAGTGGAGCTGCGGTTGGAGAAATGGCATTACATTTCTGTGAACGTTACAAGTACATCTAGTCTCCTTAGTCTGTTATTTCCATTTTCCTTCCTTGATCGGAATATCCATATATTCATGTAATTTGGTCATTGTTGCACAACTTTGGACCATAACACTATATATTCTCTGTTGGTACAGACTACCATTTCCTGTCCTGTTGTTTCAAACTTTAATGTTCTTGATTGCAGGCTCATGGTTTTGAAAATCAGCTCAAAGTTTGAATTGAGACGTTTTTGCCGTACAACGGGTGCTGTTGCTATTGTAAGTATACAATCACACATGTATGATCATGCAAGAGAATTGTTTATTTGATTCTTAATCTACTTTTCATTCCTCATACAGTTGAAGCTTAGCCAACCAAACCCAGATGACTTGGGGTATGTGGATTCTGTTTCAGTTGAGGAAATTGGTGGTACTAGGGTATGTTTAAAGGATTTACTCTCTCACTCTCTTTGTGCCAGGTATTTATTATTTATTATTTTGTATCATGTTTCTTATCTCCTCTTTGAACAATGTGATGCAGGTCACTATAGTGAGAAATGAAGGCGGAAACTCTGTTTCTACTGTGGTTTTGCGAGGAAGTACTGACAGTATATTAGATGATCTTGAAAGAGCTGTTGATGATGGAGTGAATACATACAAGGTGATTTCTGTTAAATATCTGGACTTCATTTTTATAGTTTGATATTTTTCTTGTTTCACCTGTTTATTATTGTCAATATGTTATATTTTGAGATGATTTGGCAATTGAATTGATCTCATGTTTTCTTGATACTTCTTTTTGTTAGGCAATGTGCAGGGACAGTCGCATTGTACCTGGAGCTGCAGCTACTGAAATCGAGTTGGCTAGAAGACTGAAGGAATTCTCTTTTAAAGAAACAGGGTATTTTTTTGTTTCTTTTCTTTGTTGAATTTAATTAGTGTTGGTTTTAGTTTAACCTCTACCATTTTGGGAGTAAACAATGTTCATTGAACATCTTTTCTTCCACAATTTGGTGGTGGATAGAAAAAGAATAATAATAATAATGAAGACAAAGTATGGCATTTAATTATATCGTTTTTCTTGCATATATGCTATAATTTGGTTTAGGCACTAGTACAAGCAGCTATTGATGTTAAATTTTCATTGGTAGTGCAGATTGGATCAATATGCTATTGCTAAATTTGCTGAAAGTTTTGAGATGATACCTAGAACTCTAGCTGAAAATGCTGGACTAAATGCAATGGAGATCATATCTTCTCTCTATGCTGAACATGCATCTGGAAATACCAAAGTGGGCATTGACTTAGAGGAAGGTGCGTGCAAGGATATCTCAACCACAAATGTTTGGGATCTATATGTGACCAAGTAAGTTGCTTTTAATTGTTTTTTAGTTTATGTGCAGTATTGGAATGTTGGTTCTTTTTATATGCATGATGCTGTTGCATTCAGTTTTAGAGATGCTTCTTTTATTATGTGAAAGAGTATGTATGGAATCTTATGTTTGTAGGTAGAATCAGTAGTTTATACCAACAAATGATGTGTGAGATGCGACCATAACTTTGTCTTTTGCATTTGTGTACAGGTTTTTAGCTCTCAAATATGCTGCAGATGCTGCCTGCACTGTATTAAGGGTAGACCAGGTAATTAATTATTTGTTGATTAATCCCGACTCACTTTTCGGTCATGATTGTTCATATACATTCGCGTCATGTGTATAGTTCTTACAAAATTAGGACACATGATTTATTAAACTGAGACTGTATTTTTTGCCGCATTCATTTGCCTCTTCTTAGCATAACTTGCTTGACTCTGCATTACTATTCTATGATGTAGATCATAATGGCAAAACCAGCCGGTGGCCCGAGGAGAGATCAAGCTGCTGCTGCTGCTGGAATGGATGAGGACTAATTGTAATATTTGGCGATTGATTATAGCTTTGTACCCTCTTGAAATTTGGTTAGGGATATTCGGTTTTCATTTAGGTGCCCAAATTTTGGCTTGAAAAAGTTTTGTTAGATGGAATTGAAAGTGTTTGTATATGCCACTTTGTGTGAAGATTGTTGTTGATGGTGGTCTGTGATCTGTTATTTTTGGCATTAATTTCTCAATTTTACTTCCTCTTTCCCCTTTTCCACCTTTTTCTTCGACATTTTCTTTATCTGGGTGAAGATTTTATTACAGGTTTAAGTATTCTTAAACCGTGCCATCAGATAGCAAGTTGTATTACTTCTTAGCATTTGCAGTTTTGATGCTTTAATTTAACAATATCTGTACACAATTTGTGGTACAAATTTCATGTTGGATGAATTTTATACACCATTACAAATCTTCCCAACCCACTTCTAACATGTTTTTTACCAGTGTTTTAAAACTGGGCCTGGTCCGGTGGATTGAACCTGTTCAATTGAGACTCTAGGCCTTCATTGGGTTGGGACAATAATTTTCTTATTCATTGAAAACGTTAGAAATTGGGATGGTGATCGATGAATAATTGAAGGTTGGGATGTGGAGACTTTTGAAGAGGAAAGACGGGTGAGTACAATGGTGGTGACGAAAGTGATTTTCGGTGAGTGAATAGATCGAAAATCGAAAAAAGTCTGTGTCAGCAATAGCTAGATTTTGTCGATGATTGGCAAAGCGAATGGGGGTGGAGTGAGATGTGTTTTGGTCAAGAGGTTGAGGATATTATTTTCGTGATGATGGAGAGGGTTGTTAACGTCGGTAGTGGTGAGATTCGACTTGGATTGTCAATGCCGATGGTGGTAAGATCGATTTCAACCAGATATTGGGTAGATTTTATGGGGAATGGTTCAGAGAATGGTTGAGATTCCATTTGTTGTGTCACCGTCGCTAAACAGTCGATCGCCAATTTGTTTTTAGGATGTGTTTTCTAAATTTAAAACTTGTAGGGACTTAATTGAGATTTTTAGGGGTGTATTTTTTTAATTTTAAAATTTTGGACACTTGGTTTGACCGGCCGATCAACTTGGGACCATTGTTTTAAAAACCGGATCGGAGGGCAAACCACTTTGATGGCCGGGTCACAGTTTAACCGATGGTTTGACAGGTTTAAAATCTAACAAAAACACCCCTAATAACTACATCAGACCCTAAAGGTTTGAAATCTAGCAAACACAACCATGGCCAAATACAAATTGACGATCGATTGGGAGAGCAGCGACGACACACCAAGGAGGGTAGATCGGATGATGGGGAGGGCGAATTGACAGCTAGCAAGTAGAGGCATCGTCGGAAAATGACAAATCGGTGGTAAAGTCACTGGTCGCGGTTGCTTTTTTTGGTGAGATGATTGGATCTTCATGAACAACGACAAGGGAGCTTGGGAGAAGGTAAATTGGTGGTTGAGGAAGCCTGTCGATGCCGAGAAATGGAAGAAAAATCTCGCAGCGAAGATGGACGATGAAACATCAAGCGATAGCTGGAGATGAAGCGTGACAGTGCCGGAGAAAGTCAGAACTCAGAATTTGGCCAGAGGGTGTGTTTGCTAGATTTGAAACCTTAAGAGACTGATGGAATAATCCGGAGTGTGTTTGTTATATTTTAAACTTCAAATAGTTAAAAAGAGTGAATCGACCCGGAGAAAGCCCCGGGTCTTGGTCCAACCGGTTGGACCCGCAAGTTTGGTCCGGTTTTTAAAATAGAGCTTGGGACCTGACAACTTTGTCAGGTTTCACCTTGGGTTAAAACATTACTTTTTATAGCTTAGAAAAATCAAATTTTACCTAAGTATGTTCTCATAATCATTGTTTTAAAACCCAAACCAGCTTGGTCAATTTAACTGGTTAGACAAGGACCCGGGGCCTTCTCCCGGTTGGGTTACCATTTCAACTGTTTCAAGTTTGAAATCTAGCAAACACACCCCTGATTAATATGCATTAGTCCTTGAAGGTTTGAAATCCAGTAAACACAACCTCTGGCTAAATGCAAATCGGTGATGACCTCCCCTTTTCTGGCGACCTTCCCTTTCCCTTGCCGTCGGAAACTACCTTCTGACTTTCTCCGAGGTCGTGACACCTCATCTTCCGTCACTGTACAATGTTTCGTCGTCCAACAAATTTTCTTCCATTTTCCGGCATCTATCGGCCTTCTCTAACATCGATAGGCCTCCTCAACCACTAATCTACCTTCTCGCAAGCTCCCTTGTTGTCGTTCACGAAGATCCATCGTCATCTCCCCAAAAAAAAGCCACCATTATAGTTTGACTTACTGATCTGCCATTTTCCGGCGATGCCTCAACTTGCCAACTACCGATTCGTCCTCCCCATCACCCGATCTACCCTCCCTGGTGTGTCGTTGCCATTCTCCCCATCGATCGTTGATTTGCATTTGTCTAAGGTTGTGTTTGCTAGATTTCAAACCTATAGGGTCTGATGGTATTTATCAGGGGTGTGTTTGCTAGATTTTAAACCTGATAAACCATTGGTTAAGTCGCCGGTTTAACCGATTAACCCGTGAACCGATCGCATAACCGAGTCACCCCCCAGGTCAGATTTTAGAACTTGCTCATAATTCTGAAAATAAATATTTATCAATACAAATTTAAAAAATTTAATAGAAAAATAGGACCAAAAAAAAATTTGTCGGTAGATGACTTGCTAATGTAAATACTTCTATGTATCATTTTTCTCATAATCTATCCTATGTTGCATTATTTTTGAAACTTTGGAATTCTCCTTACATTTAATATTTATGTTAAAATTTCATATTTTAACCTACAATTTACAACTTATAAATTGTGTAAAGAATCTTCAAATTTTTTTTTTTTATAAGTACCTGGTGGTCGAATAGTTTGATAGAGATTTTTTGGTGTATTACTCAAGAGGTATTGGGTTCGAGACACTCCTCAGTTGCTAATAAGGGTAGCCACGGAGCTCTTACAATCGATAGTTTCAGGGTTCTGAAAAATTAGTTAAGATACGTATAAGTTGGTTCAGACACCTCCGATCATTAAATAAAAATAAAAAATTATGATAAGTCTCTTCTTTGATTTTACCTTGAACGGGTGAAGCAGAAACCTGCATGAAGTCAGTTTAGGCAATAATATTTTTTGACAGAAAAGTGCGACTATAAATCCAAAATACAGAAGCAAACAAAAGCTGATAGTGAAACTAAAGATGAGCCTAGCAGTCTGCTCACTGGTGTGTGGAAGGTGTTAAAGACTTCTCTTCCATCATCCACCTATGGCTTCTCTTCTTCCTTTCTCTCTTCCCAAACCAAACATTATCAAGGCTTCAACTTCAACTTCTGCTCCTTCTACAACTACCCTTCTCATTCCAGAAAATCTTAATGAAAAATTTGGCAGAAAAGGTATAAAATTCTTGGAGTCCAACAACATTCCTATGGTTGAACTGACTGTCAGAAATGGTAGCTCTGTAAAGTTAAGTATCCCTGATGCTCATGTCACTTCATACAAGCCTAAAGTCTATTGGAAAGATGATGGCTTTGAGGAAGTTCTTTATACAGTTGGAGCTAATACTGCCAAGGCCAAAGGTGGAATTGGTTTGGTCATCAATGATGCCTCGGAAAAGGGCTCTAAGGCCTCTCTCATTCCTGCCTCTCAGTGGACTGTTAAGGATGTTGACTCTGATGCCATTGATGCTTTACAGGTATTGCTTAGTTTGTTAGTTTCATTTACTTGTTTAATATCAATTTTGGACTGTGAAATCATTATAAGGATGAGATGGAGCAAAAATTTGGGATTATTTGTAACATCCCAAACCCACCGGACTCCAAGAGCTACGTTTTTATCTATTGTTTGATTTTGCTGTTTTGATGCAGGTTGAGTTGAGTTGCAGCAGTGGAACTCTTGATATAACTTATGTTGTATCACTCTATCCACTGAGCGTGGCAACAGCAGTTGTAGTTAAGAACAATGGCAAGAAGGCAGTGACTCTAGCCAGTGCCATACTTAGCCATTTGAAGTTCAAGAAAAGAGGAGGGGCAGGAATTCAAGGCCTCAGGGGCTGCTCTTACTGCACTTATGCTCCTTTACCTTCTCCCTTTGAGCTTCTGTCTCCTTCTGAAGCAATAAAAACTGAGTCTTCTGGATGGTTTGGTTCTGAGCCTAATGAAAAACCAGGTTCATGGAAGGTGCAAGATGTGCCCTTTACAATATTGTCAAATAAGCTAAGTAGAGTGTATGCTGCTCCTCCTGCAGAGAGATCAAAGGAATTTTACTACACTACACCTTCAAAATATGAGACCCTTGATCAGGTAAACCACTGATTTCACAATTAAGATACTTTCTTTTGAAAGATTCCACTAAAATCCCTAATGACTTAAGCTTTTACTTCGAGCGATTATTTAACGTGATAACAAAGTTAACAACTTTCGTATGTGTTTATCTTTAGATAATGTATATCATTAACCATTAACTGCATCGTCACAATTAAGATACTTTTTTAGAGAGAGTCCATTAAAATCCTTAATAACTTAAGCTTTTACTTCGAGCTATTATTTAACATGGTATCAGAGTTAAAATCCTGTATGTACCGTTTTATCATACAAGTAATAAAGTAATAGTTTTTGCGCGTATTTATCTTTAGATAATGTATATCATTAACCATCATTTTCATCTTTTGATAGTTTATATTTTTGTTATCCTTCAGGGGCGTGAGCTATTCTTTAGAGTGATAAGACTTGGGTTTGAAGACATATACTTGGGCAGCCCTGGTTCATTCTCAGAAAAGTATGGGAAGGAGTATTTTATATGCACAGGCCCTGCTTCAATGCTGATGCCTGTGGTTGTGCAACCTGGTGAAAAGTGGAAAGGGGCACAGGTTATTGAGCATGATAATTTGTAAATTACAATTGTCAATTACATAATTTTTTTTTTTCTGAGTTCTTCTCAATTTTCTCTGTGAACAGAAATTTTCTTTTTCTTTCTCTTTTCTGGGAAGTCTGATACTGTAATCACAAAGTTGAATTTTTTTTTAAGGGATTTCACATGGAGATCTCTTAGCCTTGTGCTTGTAAAAAGAAATGTAACTCATCAATCCAGCTTACTAAGTGACTGCTCAAGAAGAACAGGATTCTTATTCAACATAGAGGATTGTAAAAACTTGCTGATATTGTGTGACAAATTCTCATTTGAGACATTTAAACCAACTCCTGGGTGGTCGAGTGGTTCAATAGGGACTCTTGGGTGTATTATTCAAGAGGTCTTAAGTTTGAGTTCCTCCTCAGTTGTTAATAGGGGTGACCATTGGAGCTCTTACTTGATCGGTAGTTCCAGGGTCCTAAAGAATTACTTGAGATGCACATAAACTGGCCCGGACACCTTGAGTCATAAAAAAAAAAAAAAAAATTACTATTATATCGATATCTATTGGATAGGTTAATCTTTTAGATAGTTGTCAAGTGTCTGGTTCATAACAAAATATGTATAAATTTGTTAAAAAAAAAGAAGTTGAGACTTTTTTTGTACTTCTATGGTAGGTAGCCCCTTGATCCAACAGCTTAAGATAATAAATAATAGTTTAGTAATAGCATCTAAACTCCAAAATAGAAAGTGCATAAAGTTAAGAATTCCCTCTCTACCATCTGAAAAGATAAGGTTGAATTCTTGGCCAAAAACTTGCCATTCATATACCAGTAAAATAGGAAGGAAGGTGGATTTTATCAGAAAAATCTAGGGCAAAATATGGATACTTGAAAATATCATTGGAAAGTTCACAACCATACAAAGATAAGTGGACCCATATTCTTCTATCCAAAACCATGTGTAGTAGAAAAGTAATTCATCATCTTCCTAACAATGTGAAGAACAACAAACGAGCATGGCATGTAGTTCAATCTTCTCACCCAACTTGTTATCAGGTTTCTCCACAGGACCAACTAAACTTCTACTATGTTATCAAACTAACCATCTTGCCTTTAGTTCTCTTCAATGCAGTAACAAGAAGAGAGACTTCCCATTGCCAAAAGTGGCTTCAATCCCCTACCAGCCACCTATCAATGTGGACTACTTGGAGGGAGAATTTAGTGGCCATGGAGTCACATTTGAGGATGTCAACGGCACTTGTATGACCAAGATGGTGCTAGAAAACGGAAGTGTAGTGACCCTGATGCTGCCAAGTGGCTTGATCACTTCATACAAAGCTCCCATGTGGCATGGGGGCACAATGGAGTTGCTGCACACAATAGTCTCTGAGGGGGAAGATGGTGATGCTCTTATACAAGGAGGAGTTTCCTTAGCCTTTTTCTGTGGCGCAAGTGATGATGAAGTTCCATGGTCTCCTTGTAATTGGAGTCTGCTTGACATTAGAGGAAATTCTCAGGATTCTATTCAGGTCTGAGTACAATTCTCCATTGCTATGGTTTCTTTAGGCCTTCTATAGTTGTCTGCAAGTTCTGAAAATAAATAAATTCATAATCTGCAGGTTGAACTAATTAGCAGAGATAGAGCAGACATGGTTGAAGTCAGATACATAGTAACTCTGGACGAATCTGTCCTAAGCTCGGAGCTCGTTGTCTCGAACTCTAAATCTTCATCTCTTCAACTGACAGGATGTTTTTTGAGCCATCTAACAGTAAGCACACCGGATGCCACATATGCTCTTGGATTGGAAGGATCAGATTTCATCAAGAAGTCACCATTTTCATCAAATTATGTCATAGTTCCTCCAGATATTTCCCAGGAAAACAAATTTAGTATTAGCCAACTATGGAGTCAGATGAAGTTTTTGTCTGGGTTGGGAGCAAGAAATGAGCAAACTGCTGATGAAGCCGATAGCACCTCGAGAGAAAGTGAAGAAGAAATGGAAGGTGAAGAAGATGATAACTACAAGCAGTTAACTGAGCAAATGAGCAGAATATACACCAGTGCACCAACTAACTTAACAGTTATAGATCGGGTATATATCTTACAAAAACCAAGTTGTCTAAATACCTGTACATGAATCTTCAGAGCCTGATATCAGTGGCATTTTGTTTTTCTTATTAACAGGGGAGAAGAAATTCAGTTGTAGCTGGAAGACATGGATTACATGAATTGTACATGTTCAGTCCTGGCTCAAGACATGAATTCTACGGCAAGTATGCTTATATATGTGTCGGCGCATCAGCCATGCTTAAACCAATAATTCTGGGACCTGGAGATGTATGGAAAGGTGGACAGCAATTACACAACCCAAATATGTAAATCAAGCTTAGGCATGTACCTTTTCATCTTGTCTGCATAGAATTTCAATAGGTTGTTTAAAAATGCATATTTTGAACCATTTTAAAAAGATAAATAAATACTGTTAACTTCTGATTTTATGCAAGTGTCCTTCTTTGACAGATTATTTATTACCAGTAATGAGGCTGTTTGATTTGCAATCAAGATACTATTCTTATTCTAAAACAGGGGAGATAATTATCCTGAGATCAGTTAACAAAAATAGAAATTTAGGGATTTCTATGCTGAAATAACAAAAAAGTAATCATGTAAGGGGAGAGAGCAACCTCAGAAACAGAAACTTTACTTCTATTGAGAGCTAAACATCCGACTCATGGTTGGATCATTTAATACTAAACATTGTTACAGAGAACACCAAAGATTGTCATTGAGATCAACTCTATTGAGAAATGTTTGACTGATTTAAACCTAATTCACTAAAACTACAGATTTTTGGTACGGCTAAATGACTGACTGAATTAAGTTGGTACGAGATGATTGCCTTGATTCTGACCATCATTCCACATGAGCATAGAAAAAACTGCAAGGAGAAAAAAGAAGAGACCCAATACTATTCTAGAAGCAGTCTTCGGATAGGTTTTCTTAACACAGCGTTTCTGCATTTCAGTCTTATCTTTGGGAACCACCTCTTGAGACACTTGCATGTCAGCACCAGCAAGGTCATCTGTTGATGACACTGATTCAGAGACACCTTGAACTTGCTCAGCTCCATTGCATGCTCCATTGCATAAGTTCCCATTTCTTTTGTCATCATAGAATACTTCACGTGAAAAGCCTTTTCTGCTTGGAGTAGGGCTCTGCTCAAATTTGACTGAGGCAGGACTTCTATACTTTCTAGACTGTCTCTCAGAGAAGTCTGAGTTAATATCATCAGCCTCCTGAAGAGATCGAATGAGCTTTCTTGGAGTTGTAAAAAAGCTAATGTTATCAACATTAATGTGAGAACGAGATCTCTGAAGCAGAAAGGAGAGAGGCAAATGCAGTTTGTATCAGCACTTAGAATCAACAACACAAATAAATAAACAAATAGCTATTTTGTAATATGGACACTATGTGATATAGTTGCGTTGCAATTAATAGCAAAAGTGCTACAATAGATAGCACATGCAAGCAGAAGACCAAGAAAATAAGGTTGAAGAATCAATTGATTTGAGACTAATATCTTATGTATAACCTATAAATTTGGTCACCTTGACTTGTTAGAAACTATAGTTAAAGGCCATGGTGAAGTTGAACTTTCATCCGGAAAGTATTTATACTCCATTATGCTCCAAGCAGCTGTTGCAGCTAATGGTAACAGATAAGTTCTTAAAAATTGTTTGTATAGCCAAGGTTCCCTTTTGTATTTAGAGAATCTTGCTACCAGTTTTTGTCATATTATTTACTTCAATAAAGATTACAAAAGCATTTTCTTTCTGATAGAAATACTAATTGCAAAAACAATTTACCTCGGTTATCATTACTCATTTTAAAGCATCTCAGTCTAATCCTTGGCTAAATTAATGATTAAAACAAAACATATTCAAAGCAGTTTCTGAAGTATGTGTGAGAATTTTACCTGTGGACTGGGTGTAGTGCTTCTTGGTCCTCTGTCTCGAGGGCTTCTCTCATAGAACCCTGCAAATTCATCCATGTAATCTCCTCCATTGTCAGTGAGTTCATGATGACCACAATATGAATTACTATAGATAGGACTTCCTGAAACCATCTCCGAAAATAAACCATCCTTCAGAGATACATCCACTCCTCCATTCTCAAAGCTCCAGAGCTTCCGATTCACACTCCTACGATCATATTCAGAGTGACAAGATTGCTGAGTTACAGAAATTGGTGACTCAACCATAGAATCATATCCCACAAAAGAGTCAAGCGTTTGTGATTCAGGTGACATGGGTGCTGGAGATCTATCACCCGCACGCAATAAAATTCTCCTACGGTTATGTTCTCTTCTCCCAAAATTTGATCCCGTAACAGAACCAGAACTCTTCTCAGATTTCAACCCTTTCTCGGCAGCTATTCTCTTTGCAGTTTGCAAAGCTTCAAGAGAAGCACCTCTAACATAAGCCATCTGATCAGATTGGCAATTCTCCATTCCCTCGATAATCAACTCAAGTTCAGAGAATATGCTCCTGTGATCTAGAGTCTTCATCAAAAAGTTCACCATTTGTATAGCCAACAACCGTTTCTGAGAATTGGCCTCCCCAGCACCAGCATTCAGTATGCCCAAGCCAGAATGTATCAACAACCTTGCATATGCTTCAACAATTAGAGAATTATGCTTTGCCAGTGCCATAACCAAGCCCATATGTGAACTGGTCTGAGTTGACTTCTCCTCCAAAGCCGCAGCCACATTCTTGCAAACCTTATCCACCATCTCATCTGAAGCAAAACGCCAATTATCCGAGTCCACAAGAGCCTTCAAGCAAAGGGCAGACCCTGCAGTTAGGCTTTCTTGTGAACCCAAGAGAGAATCCGAGAGAGGCTGGCAGAGAGAATGAATGATATGCCTCTTTTTGTCCTCTGGGGTGGTTGGGTCCATTCCATACCTTGCAATTGCTGGAACCACCCTTGAGCATGCCTGTTGAAGAGGGAAAGAACCTGCACTTGAAGCCAACGTCTTGATTATGGTCGCCATAATGCTGTCAATCTGAGGAACTATGTTGACACCATGATTACGGGCAAGAACTTCATATAATGAAATTGTGTATTCCCCAGACACACATCCATTTTCTTTGGTTTCAGAGACCTGAGCAAGAAACAGTGGAATTGCCTTGGAATCCAAGTCTTTCACATACGATTTCAGTGCCTTCATTGCTGACTTACGACTATCAGAATCTTTGTCAAGATTCGCCAATTCCCGACGCAGTATCGGACTGAGACATCTACCCATGGTTACCTAAACCCAATCAAGAAAATAGGTCATTGAATAACCAAAATCAAGAACATTTGAGCGACAAAATTTAAGATAAGTTCAACAGTAACCCATTAATCCGTACCAAGTGTGAAATTATCCAAATAATAAAAAGAAAGTAGCAAAGGAGCTCCGGAATTAGTGTTGAACCTATATTTTTCCCTTCTACTTTCCCGAGAAACCAAACAGATTTTAATGAGGAACATTCCAACAAAACTCAAAAAAGAAAGTAGCAAAGGAGCTCCGGAATTAGTGTTGAATCAAAAACACAAATCTTAAAACCAGAACTCAAAAAGGGTTTTGGTTTCTAAGAAAATAATCCAAAAGAACTAAAGATACCAGGCTGGCATCTCAGATTTTGTGCTAAAACCAAAGTGCCGATAAAACAAAACAAGAACTCAAAAAGGTTTTGCTTTCAGCGAACCAGACCAAACAAAACAAGAAGCAAAAACACCAAATGTGCATCTGAGATTCCGTTCTAAACAACAACACATAAAATCAAAAACCTCCAAAAAATAAAACCAAGAAACACCAAATCTCCCAGCAACAACTCAAAAGACTTCAAAAACAAAAATTTATCCTCAAGAACTCAAAAGACTAAACTTTGAGCAAAAAAAATTCAACAAACATAAACAAACAAACAAACAAACCCACCTCTCCAAACGGTCTATCCCTTGAACTCTTTTTGCTCACACTTCACTTAGTGACAGTAGATCAAGAAACAAAAAAAGATTCAAACTTTTTACAAAGGTGAAGAAGACGAAAACAAAAAATAGCGAGATGGGTTACTGTTTTTAGTGTTATTTTGTGCAGAATTCAAATTGGGCAAGTCATTGATGATGGGTGTGGGGTAACAAGAAATTTAGGGTTTCCTTTCAAGAATTGTTTGAATTTAATGCTTAATTAATATTCCTTGTTTTTCGTCATCTTGTCTTATAAATTTTCATGTTTTTTTCTGCCAAAATTTCAAAAGTTACCTTCAAATTCAAATCTTTCCTTTTAATTCCACCGCTGTCCCTAATTTTGATTGGTCCTACTGTATAATTTCCCTATTTGACGATAATGCCCTTCCTTTTGGAAAAAATAATTAATTTAATAGAGATTTTTAAAACTATGGTCAAGGTGACGAGCTGTTCATTCGAATCTGAACGTTGAGATTTTTTTTCTTTTCTTTATGGTAATTAAGATTTTAAAATAATATAAAATAAATATTTAAAGAATTATAAATTATTTATATTAATTAAATATTATTTATCATTTTGAGTTTCATGAGGATCCAACAATTAAAAGAAAAAAAATCAAGTCTTTGATATCCTTCCAAAAATATAAAGATTGAATTAAATCAATTTCTTAAATTTATTTTTGGATATTGTTTCTAGAAGAAGAAATCTTAAAATATTACATGAGTTTAAATGCTTTATTTAATTTTAGGAAATATCAAAAACCCCTGAAGTTTGAGCTACTGTCCCAAATACCCCTCAGATTTTGGAAATAACAATTATTCCCTTGTCGTCAGAGTGTCTTTACGAAAATCCTGTTAAATTGAACGGTTCAAAGGCGAAAAAGTATTTATCGATCTGTTGTTGATTGAAATAAATAAAAAGAAAACAAAAGGAATTAATGTTTTTTAAAAGGAAAGAAAATACCCTTTTTTTTAAGAAAGAAAAGGAAAAGAATTTAAAATAAAGGAAATTAAATGAATTCGATGTAAAAATTCGGTGCACAGTCCCAATGCCTGTAGCATTATTGTATAAATAAACAAACACGTATTCTTTTTTTTTTTAACAAATAGGGGCATAGTCTTTCCAGCTTCCCTTCGCCCCTTACCCTCCACCTTCATTTCTTCTTTTTTCCTCGCCACCCATTGTTTCTTTCATCTCTACTACTACCGACCTTCCTCTATTCGATACGCATACGATGGTGGGTCTGGGGTGATTGGTTTAGGTGGATGTGTTGGTGGGTTTGTTTTGATTTAATATAATTTTTTTAGAAAAAAAGAAGGGGGCAATTTAGTATTTCTATCTATTCAGGTCACAAAGTTCATAACAGTTACTTGACGTAAAGGGTATTCAAGGGGATTTTTGTTATTTCCTTAAACCTGGAGGGTGGTGAAAAAACCCCGTCATTTTATCTTTTTATAAATACGGGTATTGATAAAATCAATGTAATTTTTATTTTATCACTTTATAAATATGGTGGGTATTGATAAAATCATATTTTTATTTCTTTATATCCCTATTTTAATATGCATCCATTAATCACTTAAAAAATACAAATAGAAAAGCAAGCCCAATTATTATATCATACAATTTTTCTATAAATATAATAGTTGTCTGAATGTTACTCTTAATTAACAGACGAAAGATTTGACCATATCTTATTTTTCTATAAATAATGAGTTAAAATAATAAAAAAAATCCTTAAAATATTAAAAAAAAACCCTCGTACGGTGTTACTATAAAACAATCTTACAAGATAAAATGATATAAAACCATTTTAATATTACAAAATAATCACATAAGTTTTTCGTATTTTGTCTAATTTGTTTTAGCTTAAAATTAAAATTATTTTTCCCATAAAAATATATTATTTTAGAGAAATTTGCATACAAGAAAGGACAAAACAAAGGCAAAACTAATTATAACATGGCAGTTTTATATCAAATTCCTTTTTTAGTATTAGGACAAAAATCTTTGGATCCTGTGCACAGAAATTTTTTAATACTAAATTATATGATAGGGGTAATTTGGTCATTCAAACCCTTTTTAGTTTCCAACGTTGGAGTTCAACAGAGGGAAAACTTTCCCGCCTGAAAGAGGACACGAAACTAAAGGTCAAAACTCAAAAGAGCTAAGTGACCATTATGCCCTTTATTATTGGACCACGGCCCACTAGCCCAAACAAAGATTGGACACAGGAATATTATAAGCAGGTCATTACAAATTTACAATAAGACAATGAGAAACAATTCCATTTGGGGGCTGCACATAATATTTTTTTATTTTCAACCAAATCAAAATGAGAATTTAATGCCACACAATAAAAGATAAGATTGCTCAGATAAGATCTGGTCATGTTCATGGAATCATTGATGGTTTATTATCATTTTCTTTCTGGAGTTTTCCCTCTAGCTTCAGGTATATGTAGTGTTTTGTCAATTATAAAACAATCCTATTACCTGAAAATCTCCCAATCCGCTTAGTTGAACTTGAGCTCAAAATAGGGTCCTATCACAATCTTTGAGAAACTATGAATCTCAGGATTTTTCATCAAGTAGATAACCCTGAAGAATGTAACCTTAACCTAGTGGGAGCAAACCATGAGCCTAAGAATCAACTTTTGATCAAACAATAAAGATTGACTCATAACTCATTCTTATAAACTTTCTCTCACAACCCCGACGTGTTAATTTGCAATTGGATAGGTAAAACCTATTGCGAACTAACCAATTGTGAACTATCATGTCGGGATTGTGAAAGAAAGTTTGTGAGATTTGATTGTAAGTGTAATATTACCCTTTGATCAAAATTTCAATTCACTAGGAAAACTTCCATTATTTTATTTTTCTAGGCATTTACTCTCTTTTTTTTTTTTTTTTTTTTTTTCCTTTTCTCTTCTTTTCCAACTTCATTAGATGACAACTCTCAGATCACAAACTTAACTACATTGGTTAATTTAGAGAGATAATTTTCCCCCATATCTTTCAACATGAAAGAGATTAAGAAACAACACAAATAAAAAATTCACTAAAGCAATTTAAGTCATACAATATGTAGGATCATTGAGATTGAGGAAGCAATCTGCAGGTTGGACAATACCACTTTCCTTTAAATCTTGTCTCTGGCGTAAGTCCAACACACGAGTAGTGGAACCATTCACCTCCTTGGCACTGTGAAGGAAATAAACATGTTGAATAAATGAAAGGGAAAATGTGCCAAAATATTTAAGAATTGGACAAGGTACTAATGAACCTTATTTATTTATTTTTATAAGAAAAAATAAGATTATTTCTTTAAATATGAATGATTCACCGCAAATACATAAAGAAGCCAAGAGTTATAAATAGAAAAGTCAACAGAAGGAGGAAATGACAAGGAGCTTACATTTTCATTGTCACAAGCAATCATATCCCCAAATGACACCTAAAGAATCAAGAAGTTGCAATAATTTAATAACGTGCAGAGCAGCTGAAGCATGACTGAGAAAAATATCAACCGTACAGAAGAAGAGTTGAGTTTGCAATTGCAATAGTAAAAACGGAAGCAAAACCTGATGACAAACACAGTAGGTAGGTTCATTTGGATCGATGGGTTGATCAACATCCATGGGAGCAGAGAAATCCTTCTTATGGCTACCTGGAGGCGGCATGAGCTCAAAATCTCTATCCCGCTCTCGGTCCCATTCTCTGTCCCTGAAATCAAGCCTCTTTGATTGTGGTGTCCCATATACGGTGAACTTGCGTTTCTCACTCTTAGGAATAATGGGTAACGGTGGAAGAATTGCTGGCTCATCTGGTGCTATTTTACCCTCTAATAACATTGGAAAAGTAGAAAAAAAAATGAAAAATCAATAGACTACCTCAAGTATTAGTGTCTTCAGTAAAGTACTTTATTACCTACTTGTTGCTTTATTATATTAATTTAACCCATATGTTGAGAATGATAAAAAATAGGCCCCAGAATACACCAGCACAGGTATTCATGATGAGCCTTATTGATTCAAAATAATAGTATACTACACTGGAAAAAACAATACAGTTGAACATCCTAGATGCAAAGAAGATACCTTGCTTTAGATCTTCTGCAAAGTTGTGCAGATCCTCATCAAGTCGTTTTATATGACTATCTATCTGAAAAAAGAAAAATGTGAGATACAAGTTTCCATCAGCTCTAACCATAATATGTTTTTCTAAATCCCACAGCATGCAAAGCTGAAAACAGAAAAGAACCGAGATAAATGGCTCTAGACTCCAATTCATCAGTACACATACTTTAGCTGATGTACATGCAGCATATGACATTTAATTGGCCTTAAGACAGGAAGGTGGTCCAAGATCTATGAAGCATGAAAAAAGGTTTACTCGTCCTAAATAAATCAAGCTCCTTCAAGAAACCATGCCTTATGTGTTTTCAACTGAAACCCTAATTGTCCCCAGTAGTCAGATAACTTGTTCACAGAGGGAATAACACTATAATGATTGTGATAGCATTGGAGTATTTCTATGTTGTTCACAGTTGGTTTAAAGCCAACATAATAGGTCAGAAAGCTAATTGGATCAGTATCTCAGCCTAAGTTGATGTCAGAAGTATGTCCTCAGGGAGGATTAAAGAGGAGATGTAAAGCTTGTATTTGATGCTACATGGCCTTATTGTGGCCTCAACAATGAGGCAATCCTACAAAATTAAAAACTATCAACTATTCTCTGATATATATTTGTTTCAGTAATCAGTTCAAATCTTGCTTTCGTGCATAGGATCTGATTTATGGCTTTAGACTAATCAGAGGTAAAAGAAGAGGCAACAAGACATGCTAATTGAACATGATGTCTGCCACCAACACTATTACCATTCTTTTCACATTTTAGGCTTGTTATTGTAAGCGTTGTAATGTGATTCCATTTTGGAAAAACAATGAGAGAACCTACCACTACTGAACTAATGCGCTCTTACTTTCTTTTAAGTTGAGAAGAGCAATTATTGTTCAAAACCAAGATCAGATGGTCCCCAGGGCATGGAGTACTCGTCTACCTTGGCACAAGCTTCATATGCCTGTTACATAAAGAAGGCTATTATATAAATATCTCTATTATCCTATAAGGCTTTAATAATTATTTTTCATAGTAATTTCCAGTAAAGTGCTCTTAACGGCTTTAACCAGAATGTTGCATCATCCAAACCTAAACACCACATCCCCAAATAAACTCAACTTGTACTTGTGGAACAGTTATCTCCAACAATGCCACCAATTGCACTAGGATAAAGTGTATGAATGTCAAATAAAAAGCCATTGATTAAAAGGAAGCTCACAAGTTCATAAGCTTGCCGTGCCAACAGAACCTTCTCTGTGCATAAATTCAATGCATTATCCTGATTTGCCTCAATATCTTTTCGCGTTTTCTCCATTACCTCCTCTTCTTCATTACCATTACTACCATTCCCTTTCTTTGGACCCTGCGTAGCCAATCCCAAGCAGTACTTTGTCTGTTGCCTTGTCTGGTTTACCATTGCTTCCACCCCAAAAAAGAAAACAACCAACCAAATTAAAAACCAATAGAAAAACTACAAAGCATGCTATACAGAGTTGTAAACACACAAATGTACATATGTACACATGCATATGGTCATTCTTTGATATATTGATATATCAATTCAGAGTAGTACAGACCATTGGCTGAGAATCACATCCCTTATTCAAAAGTTCTGATGTTTAGCCAGGTCTACAAGGATTCAGTATCTATAATGTCCCATTTGGTAGACTTCAACTGAAATATACCCCTATAGCATACGTATACATATTCATATACAAGTCTGTTTACGCCCGTATACATTGTAGTATCCCAACAATAAAAAAAAAAATTGCATTAATTCAAATAAAACCCATGAAGAAAGATAAAAATCTACAACATACGCACAAGTGATATACCAGTACATCTATACCACGATTTCATGCATAAATGTGTGCATTTATGCATCTATTTTGCAGATAATTGTGTATGTAAATAATTCAAATTCTGAAAATGCATCATAGTTCACAGCACATACATAACATGCAAGCATGCATACATATATGTGTATTATGAAGGTTAAGACTATCGAAAAGGGTTTTACAGTGGGATCTTTCATCGAGTTCTCTGATCGTATTGAGAAGTCTTTGGAGCTCAGCTGGCAATGTACTTGCATCTATAATTATAAAAAAATTAAAAACAAAACCTAAATTTAAGCTCAAATTAAATCCGCAAAAAAAATAAAAATAAAAATAAAAATAAAAATTTGATACGAATTTGAGGGACTGTGGAGAGAATTACACTCCAAATAGTCGTCGACGTAAACTCCGGTTCGTGCGATTGCCATTGCTGAATTGGGGAGCTCGGGTTCTAGGGTTTTGATGCGAGAATTTGTTCCTGATGTCTGGTTTAAATGAGAGGGAAGTGCGAAGACGGCGTCGTTTTAGCTTACAGGAGTGAAAGGGGTTTTTGATTTTGACCGTGAGAATGGCGGGGAGATGTGAAATAAAGTGGGGCTCAATTGTCAACGGAACCTAACTTATTATAAGGACATTTATCAGCCACCTCCACCAAGATTTTACAAGACCCTATAAATATTGACAATTACATGAACCCCCTCATATTTTGCAAAATCATCCGTTACCTCTTACACCACTTAACTTATCATAAAGTAGGGGTGACAATTTTTGACACACACTATCCTAACACGACTTAAGCAGGATAAGATTGTTTTTAATCGTGTCCATGTCATATTCAAGTTGAAGAATCCAACCCGTTTATTAATCATGCCATATTCGAGTTAAGCAGTCTCAACTCGCGAACATGTTTAGTGACATGATTACTTAAACGAATAGTATAAACTCGTTTATAATACAATAATTTGGTATGTTATTATGACATGATTTACTGTTTATGATGCGATTATTCATTTATAACATTATTAACCGTTTATGACACAATTTATTGTATATAGGATTTGTCTATTCTTTAGAGTTACGAAACACCCTATAAACTTAATGAATCAAGATGATTGTACAAATGTGATAAATAACTTTCTTACGACTCGAACATAAAATCTTTTAGATATAGCTAACCCTAGTAGCGAAAGGGTTTAGCATCCGGGGGTGGAGAGGTCCATTTATTTGTTTCATCTACATTAAGTGGGTTAATTTATAATTAAGTTAAACCTCGATAAAATTAAATGAATCTTTGAATACTCTGGCGCGAAAGTTAACCGTAACCCAACAAATGCTTAAACTGTAAACAAGAGTGAAGAATCTGTAGAATCCTTTCCTTTGTACTCAATCTCTCAGATATTTTCCCGCTCTTTGATGCTCACCCAAATACAAGAATTCATGTTTCTGAAGCTCACTTCTCTTCGTTTGTCTCTTTCATATCCCTTCTCTTATTGTAAACTCAAACCGAAAAACAAAATCTCCCAACAGAAGTTTCGCGAGGTAACTACTAACTCGTTTATCATTTATATGTAAACTTTAAACAAAACCCTTTTGCTTATTTATTGACAAAATCTTTTTTTTTTTTTCTTTTAACTTTTTTTGGGGGTGTTTTTGTATGTTACAGTGCTTTTGCGGGAATTGGAGGAGGTTGAGTTTTAATGGGTTTAGTAACACTGCAATTTGTCATTCATTTGAGGAGTTTGATGTCCAAGAAAGTGAGTGGAATCTCAAGGGATTTGAGATCCTCCATTTGATGGAAAAGCGTGGAATTCTTGCGAATTGTCAGACGTTTACTTTTCTTTTGGATGGTTGTTTGAATTCTGGATCTTTTATTGAAGCTAAAAAGATTCAAGGGAGGATTTTAAAGTTGGGTTTTGGTAGAGAGCAAGTTTTATGTGATAAAGTTCTTGATATTTATGTACAAAGTGGTGATTTTGATGGTGCAGTCAAGGTTCTTGATGATATGCCTAGTACAATTGTGTTTTCTTGGAATAAGTTAATTTCTGGGTTTATTGCAAAGAAGTTGAGTGATAGAGTGTTGGATGTGTTTTCACAAATGATAAATAAAAATGTGAAGCCAAATGAAGCAACTTTTGCAAGTGTTTTGAGGGCCTGTAGTGATGGTCGTAATGCTGCTTTTGAATATGTTAAGCAGGTTCATGCTATGATTATTTATCATGGTTTTGGTTCTAATACGCTTGTTTGTAATCGTTTAATAGATTTGTATGCCAAAAATGGGTTTGTAGATTCTGCTAAAAAGGTTTTTGATAACTTAGTTTTAAAGGATAGTGTATCTTGGGTGGCTATGATCTCTGGCTTTTCTCAAACTGGACATGAACAAGAAGCTATTCATCTGTTTTGCCAGATGCATATATTGGGAATTTTACCTACACCTTATGCTTTATCAAGTGCTTTAAGTGCTTGCACTAAGCTAGAGCTATATGGCAAGGGAGAGATTTTTCATGCACTTGTTTTCAAGTGGGGATTTTCTTCTGAAACATATGTGTGTAATGCTCTTGTGACATTGTATTCTCGTGCGGGGAATTTTATATCTGCTGAACAAGTTTTTAGCAAAATGCAGCAGAGGGATAGTGTTTCATATAACTCGCTGATCTCTGGGCTGGCACAGCGTGGATTTAGTGATAGAGCATTGGAATTGTTTGAGAAAATGCAGCTTGACTGCTTGAAACCAGACTGTGTTACAGTTGCAAGTCTCATGAGTGCCTGTGCATCAGTTGGGGCTCTAAATAAGGGAGAGCAACTTCACTCTTATGCAATAAAATTGGGGATCTCTAAAGACATCATTGTTGAAGGCTCCTTGCTTGATCTTTATGTGAAATGCTCGGATGTAGAGAATGCCTATGAATTTTTTCTCACAACGGAGAGGGAAAATGTTGTTCTTTGGAATGTGATGCTGGTGGCTTACGGGCTGCTAGATAACCTAACTGAATCTTTTAAGATATTCAGACAGATGCAGATTGAAGGTCTACTACCCAATCAGTACACCTATCCAAGTATATTGAGAACTTGTACCTCACTAGGAGCTCTTGATCTAGGAGAGCAGATTCATACTCAAGTCATAAAGACTGGCTATCAGTTTAATGTGTATGTTTGTAGTGTGCTCATAGATATGTATGCTAAGAATGGAAAGCTAAATACTGCACAGGGAATTCTGAGAAGACTATCTGAGGCTGATGTTGTTTCCTGGACAGCTATGATTGTTGGGTATTTACAGCATGATATGTTTGCTGAAGCACTTAAACTTTTTGAAGAAATGCAAAACCGAGGGATTCAATCTGATGACATAGGATTTTCAAGTGCAATAAGTGCATGTGCTGGTATTCAAGCACTCAATCAAGGACGACAAATACATGCTCAATCCTATGTCTCTGGTTTTTCAGATGATCTTTCGGTTGGAAACTCCCTTGTTAGTCTTTATGCTAGATGTGGTAGAATCGAAGAAGCATACTTAGCATTTGAGAAAATTGGTGCTAAAGATAGTATATCATGGAATGGACTGATTTCAGGATTTGCACAGAGTGGATACTGTGAGGAAGCTCTGCAGGTCTTTTCCCAGATGAATAGAGCCAGAGTAGAAATGAATTTATACACATTTGGTTCTGCAGTTAGTGCTGCTGCCAACATAGCAAATATAAAACAGGGAAAGCAAATCCATGCCATGATTATGAAAACAGGTTATGCTTTAGAAACTGAAGCTTCTAATGCTTTAATCACATTGTATGCAAAGTGTGGCAGCATTGACGATGCCAAGAGAGAGTTTCTTGAAATGCCCAAAAAAAATGAGGTTTCATGGAATGCCATGATCACAGGCTTTTCTCAACATGGATATGGTATCGAGGCAATAAATCTTTTTGAGAAAATGAAACAGACTGATGCAATGCCGAACAATGTGACCTTTGTGGGAGTTTTATCAGCTTGTAGCCACGTAGGTTTGGTGAATGAAGGCCTTGGCTACTTTGAATCCATGAGCAAAGAATATTGCTTGGTGCCTAAACCTGAACATTATGCCTGTGTTGTTGATCTCCTTGGTCGGGCTGGCCTTTTGGACCGTGCAAGGGAATTTATAGAGAAGATGCGGATTGAACCAGATGCAATGGTTTGGAGAACCCTTTTAAGTGCTTGTAGAGTTCATAAGAATCTAGAAATTGGAGAGTTTGCCGCTCATCATCTTCTAAAATTGGAACCTGAAGACTCTGCAACTTATGTTCTTCTATCAAATATATATGCAGTGGCTCAGAAATGGGATTCTAGAGATCAGATGAGGCAAATGATGAAAGATAGGGGTGTGAAGAAAGAGCCTGGCCAAAGCTGGATTGAGGTTAAAAATTCAATTCATGCATTCTTTGTTGGTGATCGCCTCCATCCACTAGCAGATAAAATATATGAATTTTTGGGAAATCTGAATGAAAGGGCGGCCAAAATTGGTTATGTGCAAGACCGTTATAGCCTTTGGAGTGAGATAGAGCAAGAGCAGAAGGATCCAACTGTATATATTCACAGTGAGAAACTGGCTATTGCCTATGGTCTTCTTAGTTTGTCTGATACGATCCCTGTACGTGTAATTAAAAATCTTCGTGTATGTAATGATTGTCATAATTGGATCAAATATGTATCAAAAATATCAAATCGGACTATTGTGGTACGAGATGCCTACCGCTTTCATCATTTTGAAGGTGGTGTTTGTTCATGTCGAGATTATTGGTAAATGAAAGTACATGCAGTGATTGAGAATAAAAAAAATGATCTCATGAGGCCTGGAAATTCTCTTTAAGCTCAGAGGAGGTGTTCGTCTCCTCTGCTGAATTCTCCTTTTGGAAGATTATGGTAATGAGACAACCTTCACTTTATTTATTTATTTTTTGTTCAGTTGTAGTATATTTGCTTTGAATTTGATTTGGTAATTTTTTTTACCAAAATTGGATTTTCTCCTTCCATAATGTTCTCTGCTTTGTTGTGTCTTCATCATAAAACCTTCTCCAAGATATCTGCCTCTATCAGTGTTAGCTTCTTTTTTTTCCATTTAGAGATTATTGTCAATTTCTCATGTATTTTTTGGGTTATCCCAGTTGGCTTATGAATGTTTTTTGATAATTTCTCCATTGTTCCAAAAAAATATGGCAACATCCCACGTCCAACCCTCTTGATTCTTACCGTCTTTTGGAATTTGCCTTAAATAGAGTTTGATATGTTGCCCTTTTTGGGTCTGTATAAACCTTGGTTTAAATCCAGTTTAGTTGACATTTCATCATTAGTTTTCTGGAGTTTATGCATGACCTTTTGATTTTAAGCAACTCAAGCACTTCATATTTGATACCTTTTTCATTATGTTTTATGAACTTTCAACCCAGTTTTTAATTTGCATTTCTGTCTCTCTCAAATGATGGGGTCATTGCCTACGTATATGCATGTATTTAATGAATTTTCTCCCCTTTATTTTTTGAGTTTGTTCAAACTTGGCTGCTGAGTGTTCACTGTCAAGTGTCAACTGCTGGCCTTGTGTTAATGACCTTATTCCTCTTCTCAGATTGTGTTTCACATAAGAAATACGGGGCAATATTGCCATTCTGACACCGACACCTTTGTTTATGTGTGGATGCAGCTTCCCCAAGAAGAAGACAATTCTTATATGTTAATTCAGATGCTTGAACCACTTCATTTTGTTTAGTCAAATGTCAACGCCATCTCTTGAAGATTCCTCAGGTATGCATACTCTTCTTCTATAAATATAGCAGCTACATACAATCCTCAAAATATCACACATTGAATCTCTATCTCATGGCTGGGGAAACTGTGCACAGGTCTCTCGACGGCCGGATAGCTATAGTCACCGGTGCTTCGCGTGGCATTGGCAAGGCCATTGCCATTCACCTCCACTCCCTTGGCGCCAGAGTTGTGATCAATTATGCTTCAAACTCCACCCAGGCTGATCTCCTAGCTTCCGAGCTAAATTCTTCTGGTACCTCTTCCCTGCCTCGAGCAATAGCTGTTAAAGCTGATGTTTCAGATACTGATCAGGTCAAGTTCCTTTTCGATCAAGCTGAACAAGTGTTCGAATCAAAAATCCATATACTTGTAAATTGCGCCGGAGTCCTGAACCCCAAGTATCCAACTCTGGCCAATACAACAGTAGAAGATTGGGATGCAACATTCAATGTGAATACCAAAGGCGCTTTCTTGTGTGCCAAGGAAGCCGCTAATCGCCTGACTCGCGGCGGTGGCGGGAGGATCATTCTGATATCAACATCGGTTATTGGATCACTCCCGCCTGGATATGCAGCCTATGCTGCTTCCAAAGCGGCCATTGAGACAATGGCGAAGATCCTGGCGAAAGAGGTGAAGGGTAGTGGGATAACAGTGAATTGTGTGGCTCCGGGGCCGGTGGCAACGGAGCTGTTCTTTGCTGGTAAAAGTGAGGAAATGATAAACAGGTTTGCAGATGCGTGCCCTCTGGGAAGACTTGGAGAGCCTAAGGATGTGAGTAAAATTGTGGGATTTTTGGGGAGTGATGATGGGGAATGGATCAATGGCCAAATCATTAGAGCTAATGGTGGATATGTGGTTTGACTTTGAAGATTTATTGATTTGATGTTAATTTTTCTGGGAAATTCAAAAAGGTTGAATCTTGAAGCTCTCATTGGATCGTCATGGCTGACATCATCTTGATCTTGATGTTTACTTTACTTGTGAAGTACTTTAAGCGGTTTACCATCGACCGTTGGATGCATCAGTCGACATGATCAATGAGTCAGAACAATGCCATAATATTAGATTTGTATCCTGTGCTTATCCAATAATCAATATACACGTGAAGTCATTACTTTATTTGAATTTTTTGAAAAAAAAATCTTTACTAATGGGTTTTATTTAATTTAATTACGTTGGATCGTATAATCTATTAAACATAATCGGTGGTGTCCGTTTTTTTTCTTTTTTAATGATCGGGAGTATCTGGACAGTTTATATGCACCTCAGTTAATTTTACAAGACTTTATAATCATCGGTTGGATAAGAAATTCAGTAACTATTCCTATTAGCAATCGAAGAAGGACTTGGACTGATAACCTCTTGAATAATATATAGAGACGAAAATTGAGTCGAGTCGCTCACAAACCATTCGAGCTTAGCTCGAATTCGACTCCACATTAGTTAAGTTGAGTTTGAGTTCGAATAATTCGAATAATCTCACAAGTCAAGTTTGATTACGGTACAAAAAACTCAAAAAATAGGGCTTAAACTCAATTAACCAACCTCGAATTCGACTTTTAGGAATCAAGTTCGAAATCGAACTCAATTCATCGGGTTTCACCAAACAAATATATTATATATACACACACATACGAATAGGTTTTTCTAAATTAGGATTAATTTTTATGTTCTTATTTTATAATTTAAAAAATTATGTACATTTTTTTATATTTGATGTTGACATATATGGCCCTACAAATTTACTATAAATTAGAGTAAATAACAGACCTTGGGTGGGAGCATCTCGTTTACTCTTATAAATTATTCAACCTTTTGCGTTATTTCATTTCTACAGAAAATGGCTACCAACTTGGAGACTCACTCACTCCCACTGAAAGACCGAGTCGCAATTGTAACCGGTTCATCCCGAGGAATCGGCCGAGACATAGCGATACACCTCGCCCAACTTGGAGCCAAACTCTTCATCAATTACACCTCCAGCTCTGCTCAAGCCGATCTCGTAGCCGAAGAGATTAACTCCTCCGCTTCTCCCGACTCTCCCCCTCGAGCCATCGTCGTCAAAGCTGATGTTTCGGACCCAGCCCAGGTTAAGTCTCTCTTTGACTCGGCTGAGCAGGCCTTTGGCTCACCGATTCATGTCCTGGTTAACTCAGCCGGGGTGCTTGATCCCAAGTACCCCTCTATAGCTGATACTTCTTTGGAGGATTTTGATCGTATTTTCAGGTAATTTTTATGTTATCATCAAGCAAGTGTAAATTTTGGAAGTGAAATGTTGCTTAATTTGGTTTTGTTTTTTGTGTTCTTGTTTTTAGCGCGATGAAAATGGAAAACGGTGAAAAATTCTGCGTTTATTTTTCTTTATTTTAGAAGTAGAAACAGAGAATCCTTTTTATTCATCTAATTGCAATTTGCAAATGTTTGAACAAGAATATGGAACCTTGAGCATTTTGAATAGTGTTCATATTGATATTTCATCAATTTCAAGCCAAGGTAGATAATGGTTAAATATAACACTTGGATAGCCGAGTAGTTCGATAGGGACTCTTAATTGTATTACACGAGAGGTTTTAAGTTCGAGTCTCTTCTCGGTTGTTAATAGGAGTGGCCATCGGAGCTCTTGCCTGGCTAGTAATTCCACGGTCTGGGAGATTGGTTGAGGTACCCGTGAGTTAGCCTGGACACGCTAATCATCCACAAAAAAAAAAAAAATAATGGTTAGAAGTTAAGAATCTAAACGTTTAGGAGGTACATTTGAATTGTTTAAATTTGTTTTGCTTGTGTGCTTGCATTGGAGTGTCAGGTCTTGATCAGTAACGACTGTTTTCTTGAATCATTTATCTTCGAACATTCAATCTGCAATAAAATCTGTAAACACGAATTAGAATTGTAGTCCAACATATACTTTTTCTTTTATACCTTCATTTTGGACTGAAATAATTTGAGTTCCTGTCATGTGATTTATATATGGTTACAGTGTCAACACAAGGGGTGCATTCTTATGTTGTAAAGAGGCAGCAAATAGGCTAAAGCGTGGTGGTGGAGGCCGGATTATACTTCTATCATCGTCACTGGTTGGTGCATTGAAGCCGGGGTTTGGCGCATACACAGCATCCAAGGCAGCTGTGGAGACAATGGTGAAGATACTAGCAAAGGAGCTCAAAGGAACTAGTATAACAGCAAACTGTGTGGCCCCAGGGCCAATTGCGACTGATATGTTCTTTGATGGCAAGACTAAGGAGATGGTAAAGAGGGCAATTGACGAGAGCCCACTTTGTCGGCTTGGTGAGACCAAGGATGTTGCGCCTGTTGTCGGGTTCTTGGCTACTGATGCTAGTGAGTGGGTTAATGGGCAAGTTATTCGTGTCAATGGTGGTTATGTCTAGGAGCACTTAGTATATATCTCTAATCTCCTTTACTGAAAGCATTTGTTGAATTTGTAACTATAGAAGATAACAATTAAGCCTTCAAGATGAGATAGGCATTTGATATTGTGCTGTGTGTGCTAAAGAACCCTGGAAATTCAACTCAAGACAAAGATTTGAAGCTGTGGTAATCTTCTACAGGTACCACATGGATGCTCATTTTATTTTTGAAAGTTCATTAGTTATCTTTAGGAGTGATAGATTTGATGAACTCTTCTTTTAAGGGATTTTGATCCCTACAAAAATGGTGGCCGAGTTCATGCTGGTGCGACACGATGGTTATTCAGTATCAGAGATGCAGTCCTGTAATAGTGGCATAATGAGCTTAAGAACTTCCAATGATTTTCACAATAATTTGCTAATGGTGAAAATCAATATGACTTTTTCGAAGTTTGGTTACGTTTTATATAAGTAATACTACACATATAGCATTTCTTATACAACATGATGTAATAAAAAATGATTTGATAAAAGTATATTTTTAATTTAAAATAAATCAATCATCTTTTGTCAAATTATGTTGTATGAGAAATGCAATGTTTTAAAACCCAACCCGGGGTGAAACCCGGCAAAGCTTCCGGGTCCCGGGTTGACCGGTTTAATTGGTTTGACCACTAGTCAAATCGGTTGACAAACAGTTTTAAAATTAAGCAAATATATCCCTGAAAATTACAGTGAAGTCCCTATAGGTTTGAAATTATCAAACACACTCCAACTGCAAATTGACCGGCGACTGATTAGTGGCGGCAACACCCCAGATGCAACCTCAATTGTCTCTTGAGTCCATTTCCATCAAAATATACCCAAGATCTGGCCGAAATAGGTTCGATTTCGGTCAGATCTCATCGACGTTGACGTCGGCATTCCAGGCCAGATCCCATCGATTCCAGCAACGACAACCCTCCCCATCACCCCAGAATTACTCCCCTTTTCCTTCCGACCAAAACCCACCTCACCCCACCGCCGTTAGCCTTGTCAATCGCCGAAAAAATCTCATCGTTGCCACTGCCAGTTTTGTTCGATTTCCCGTTGATTTACTCACTAGAAATCAACTCTTTCACCACCATTACATTCACCGGACATTGATCTTCAAAAGCTCCAACATGCCGACAGTTAATTGTTCGTCGATCATCACCGGAAATTCTAGGGTATTGGATGAATAGGAAAAAATTAAACCCGGCCCGTTGAAGCTTCTGGGTCCCGGTTCAACCGACCGGGCCGGGCCGGGTTTTAAAACATTGGAGAAATGTTATCTGGCTCGAGGGCTAAATTGCAAGGAAATGTTCGTCTCATTTGCTCAATCTTCAAATTGTAAACATAAATATGGTCAGTTGATACTTGATATTTGTTAGGCTTTTTTTTGTGCCTATCTATAAGGGGACACGCATACCTAAAAGTTTTTGCCTATATATAATGAGCAAACGACGTGTTCCAACCCAAGGTTTAGTGAAATACAGTATAAGGTTTTATAAATTTCATCCTATAAATTGACAAAAACAGTTTAATATAAATTAGTGCAATTTAACAAGATTTAATTAACTTTTTTAGTGATCATTTTTTTTTTTTAACCAAGGTATTCAAGCTAATTTACTCATACCTCAACTAAGATTAATATAGCAACCTATTGTTATAGTCTCTCACTTAAATTGTGAATGCTCAAATGAGAAATTAAACCTGATATAGTGCACCTGTTAACACTATCCTCAATTCGTCATAACCAGATTATTATTATCTAAAGTTACATAAATCCGGATATTGAATATGCTAGGAAATAAATCTTTAATATTTTAATTATTTTACTTAATTTTGTTAGTATTTTTATCATTTAAAAGAAATATGATATTTCTATTTTTATGTATTAAAAAATTCGATGTAACAGCTCATAATTGGTTAGTTCACAAATGGGTGGGTGAGACTCATAGTCAGCAAACGAAAACTCATTTGTGAGCTAATCAATTACAAATCGTCATTTCAAAATTGTAAGAGAAAGTTTGTGAGATTAAGTTGTAAGTGTAATATAACAGTTCGTAAATGGACGAGTAAGACCTATAACGAGTAGGCGGGACTCATTTGTAAGTATAATGTAATAGCTCACAAATGGACGAGTAAGACCTATAACAAGTAGGCGGGACTCATTTGTAAGATAACCGATTATGAGTTTTTATATCAAAATTATGAGAAAAAGTTCACGAGATTGAGTTATAAGTATAATAGTAGTTTAAAATATATCCACAATCCAAAATATCTCTTAAAAAAATACTCTAAAAAATAAATTACCGACTTTATATTTCACTTTCTCAATTCTACCCTTCTAGAACCTTGTACTGAAAACGCCCCGTATTGGTTAACCGGTTCCACCCGGTAATACTTTCCTAATACCGGCTCTCCGCCACTCTACCCGGTCATTTCTATATATAGTCTATCTAGGGTACAAAAACTCACCGTTTAACCCCCGCTCCTCTCTCTTTATCTCTCTCTCTCTCTCTCTCTCTCTTTCATTCAGACCACACCAAACTCGAACCCCAAATCTCCCATCCTCAAGACCCAAACATCCCTTCACAATTCTTTAAATCAAAACCTATAAAAGACTTCTTACTTCAAAAATTTCCCCCTTTAACCCCTTGATTTCAACGCTTTTCCCTCCAACTCTTGGGTGTTTCTCTTCTGGATCTCTTTCATAACCCTAGATTTCTCACGATTTTATTCTAATCTACCCCCAATTTTGTATCAATATCGTGTTTTGTTGTGATAATCTGGATCTTTTAGCTTGGAAAAGAAAAACCCAGAAGCTATTTTTTTTGTGATTTTGTACTTTTTTGTCGTTGACTTGAATAGGGATCAAAGAATTTAGGGAAAACAATTTTCATTTTTGTTCTTGAGAAGAGAAACCCAGATTTTGTTTTGATTAAAGGAAGGGATAAAAGCGTGAAAGTTGTTAAATTTGTGTATAAAAATTTAGGGATTTTATTGATAAGTGAGGAACAAAGCAAGATATGGCTGAACAAGGTGGCTTGGAAGGGAGCCAGCCGGTGGATCTTTCCAAGCACCCGTCTGGCATTGTTCCCACTCTTCAGTAAGCCTCTCTTTTCTACGTTTATACGCGTATTTATTAATAATAAATATGTATAGCTACATATATGTATATGGGTTTGTTGTTTCAGGTGGTTTAGTGGATATGGAGGTTGTGGGTGGACGGTTTGTGATTTAGATATTGTAACTTTTGTGATTAGTGAAGATGTGTGTATGGATATGTGAAAGTGTTGTATTGTTAAAGAAGAACCCAGTGATTTGGATATTGATGAATTTGTGATCTTTAGTGTTTTTATTTGGATTTTCTTGTAGATTTGGTTTTTGAAGCTGGATTCTTTTTTTGTTTGTAAAGAGGGGATATTGGGGAGGTTGTAAATTATTAAAGCAAAAGGATTGGATTGAAGATTTGGGTTTGTGTTCGTATGTGTGTATATTATTTTTGGATCAATTGATTTTCTTGGCCGCAGACTTATGGGTGTTTGGATTATGTGGATTTTGTAATAGGATTTATAAATGAATTCGGGTTTAATTGATTTGAGATTGAGCTGCTGTTGTTTTAGGAACAATAATATGGAATAAGAAGAAGATTTGGATATTCATATAGTTCATGTTGTATTTTGTATAAATGTAAAATAAATTTTCTTCAAATTTAAGACTTATGTTGAAATTTCTGTAAATGGTATTTTGTGATTATTGATATTTTGTTGGATCCTCTTGGGTTTCAACTGGCATAAACTTTTTTTTATGGTGAACAAATTTGTTTTATGTGCTTTTTCTGTGCAATAAGTTCAAGCAATTTATGATTTATGGCCTATTGTTTAAAAAAAAAAAAAAAAGGATCCATGGAATATGTTTGTATTCTGCATACAATCACTTTTTATTATAAGCCAAAGGAGTGTTTTTAATTGTGAAACGAACAATTTAAGACAATGTTTACCAAACAGGCAGGGAAGCAATTTGCTAATTTCATAATTTTCATTAGAAAACATTCTACCCGAAGAAGTTTTATGTTTTACAGCATGGAGTAGACTTGGGCATGAATATAATTTATTTATTTTGACAAATTTAATTAATCAGAATGTGACATTTTAGGCTGTGGTGATTAACATGATCTACAACTTTAATGGGCTCCTTAGGTCAGTGTGTGGATTTGTCGAAACCGATTAAATTGAACTGCTTATATTGTGCTTGATGTTGTTATAGGTGTGATATCTTTGTTGGTTGTTATGTGATGTATGTCCAACTGCCAGCTTCTGTTTTCAAGTCTCAGATATAACCCCACAAATCCGGTGGTGATACATGGTTGGCCACAATCACATATGTCACTTTGTATTTTTTATTGGAAATGTCTCATTCTGTTTGGTTGCTATGTATTTAATTTTTTTTTCGTTCTTTCTTAAAATTTATGACTAAAGGGCTGGGAAAAATATCCACTCCTTATTGGTCACTTATATCTGGCTTTTTCCTTCAGGTGCTCTTAATCTTAATATCTACGTTTATTATAACTATAAAAATTATATATATGGTACACACAATTTTTATTATTATTTTTTCGTTTAATAAACTGGTGAAATAGCAAACGTTTGATTAGTCTTTTTAAATTTGAAGTCCTAACATTATTCTGAATGGTTACTGTTGTTCAGGAACATTGTATCAACTGTAAACTTAGATTGCAAGCTGGATCTGAAGCAGATTGCCTTGCAAGCCCGTAATGCCGAGTACAATCCCAAGGTATGTGGTATATTTACTAAAACGCTGTTCAGTAGTTTGTGAAATATGAATGAGTTTGATTGCTTACCTGGGTATCAGGCATGCCAGGCATGGCACCTAGCCTCTCCACATTCTTTCTGCTTGTTTTTGTGTGTATCTTGTGGATTGTCTTCTTTGGTTGCGCATACACTATTTATTATTATTATGATGTTGTGCGTAATACTGAGACTTGTATATTTATACGTGCTGTATTTGATCAGTGACCCTTCTTTTAATGTCTCTACAGCGTTTTGCTGCCGTCATTATGAGAATAAGGGAACCAAAAACTACAGCTTTGATTTTTGCTTCTGGAAAGATGGTTAGTTATCTTTACTTCCTTAATTTATCATCTTTATTGTCATAATATAACTACCGATAAGCTTGCTTTACTATCATGTTTACTGCTGTCATAATAATCAGTGGTTTGATGCATCTTTCTTTATCTATTTGGCTTGTATTCATTTTCGCATTCACATTAATAAATGTTTCTGTTTTGATCATGCTTCCATAAGTGTTGAAAAGATCAGTCAGCAGATACACTGTGACACATCAACATATTAATTTTTTATTGCAGAACAGTAGATTTTTGTTTCTATAGGTGTATCAGAATATAACTCTTAGGATGCGTCAAATGATATGACCTTGGTTTACATCTAAGAGTTTGTTGATTACTAAAGGTTTTAAGGTCCACCAATAGTCCCCAGTTTTGAACTCAATGCATGCAGTTAAGGATTTTTTTTTTTATATGGTAAAAAATTCTAGTCAAATGCCACGTGTGCATACTAGGTGTTCCTTTATATTGGAAGTGATGTAATTTATCTGCATTGCCTTTTAGCTTATAGAGTTTTCTGTCTTGTTTCAGGTCTGCACTGGTGCAAAGAGTGAACAGCAGTCAAAACTAGCAGCAAGAAAGGTTTGTGTTGGCCTGTGAAATGCTTGTAACTTTTAACTATAGCCATGATCATAGTGGCAGATGTGATAGATATAAAACAAAATACTGGACTTGTTTTGAAGATAAAACACGATCATAATGCATTCCTCAATCTAGAATTATGTTCTAAAATTTTCCATTATTGAACTGATGAAGAGTTATGGATGTTGAATGAACATAAGATTTAGTATACGTAATAGATGCTTATTTCATTTATTATCTTCAATGGAGACTTAAATGAATTGATCTTTTTAGTGGGGGCATATTTGTAGAGTTTTTTAGTTTGAAATCTTGTTTGTGTTTTTCAGTATGCTCGGATCATCCAGAAGCTTGGTTTTCCAGCAAAGTTCAAGGTATTTGCTTTCTCTGTCTCTCTCTCTCTCACACACACACACACACCCACACACCCACACACAGCAAAAATTATCCCATGCTTGTTACTTCTAAGCTGTTATTATCATTTGGAAGATTATTTATATGTTTTGCCTGCTTTATTTTTCTGATGCAGGACTTCAAGATTCAAAATATAGTTGGTTCTTGTGATGTTAAATTTCCTATCAGACTTGAAGGTCTTGCATACTCCCATGGTGCTTTCTCAAGTGTATGTCATATCATCTATTTTTCATTTTCATTTTCCACCATGTTAATGGATTAATTTCATATTTATCTTTTATTAATTTTCAGTTTCCACCATGTAATGGATTAATACTTTCTTTTTGGGTTGCTTTTTGATATTTATGTTTGTGGTGTTTTGACACTTTGTATGTAACCTTGTTATTTATATGGTTTGGTTGATGTAAAAGTGTTCCTACTTCATACTCTTTTTATATAAGTTCTGAAACGATGGTATGGGAATTTACTCACTGCTATATATTGTGCCGTCTCTTCATTTTTATGGGTGGGGACTCATATTGTCTTTTCTAATACAGTATGAACCAGAACTCTTTCCTGGCCTTATATATCGAATGAAACAACCAAAAATTGTGCTTTTAATTTTCGTCTCCGGAAAGATTGTGATCACAGGAGCTAAGGTGCTTTTGAGTTTCTTCATTTATTTGTTCTTTTTGTTTTTCCAATGTGCATGCTGTTCGCCGACAGATTTGCTTACTGACGAGCCAATTTTCTTTGTTTGATACCATAGGTAAGAGATGAGACCTACACGGCATTTGAGAACATATACCCTGTGCTTACTGAGTTCAGGAAGGTCCAACAGTGGTATGGCTTCTCTCTCTCTCTTTCTCTCTCTCTCTCTCACACACACATAGACATTCATGTATGTGTGCATATGCATAGAAACACGAGTGCACATCCCAGAACATCTAGATTTTTTGCCTGGTCTACTTTTGTTTGATTCTTTCAAAAGCAATTCTGAAGTTATTTATTGAAAGAAAATAACAAAAACCTGATCATGAAAAATTTTGTGATCCCTTTTGACGAAGAATGGAAAATTGTGCTTGATATTTGGTGCAGACAAGCAGATGATACGTATTTGAATTGAGAGCTTCTACTCTGTAGTGGATAGTTTTCAGTTCAGAAACTGCTTTTTTTTAATCGCTGGGTGTTGGAGGTTGATTCAAGTGTGAATATATATGAAGCATGGGCTGAGAGAGCTGGCTTTTACGCTTGTGGCTATGGTTATTTCATTAGGGTCATTGTAATTTGGTCCTGTTCCTGGTCAGACACCTTCCCAAAAAATTGGTACACGATGAGCTGAAATATCCTGTGTAATTACTCATTTGGTGAGAGGGAGTGAAGCACATATATGTTTCCTGAATAATTTAATGTGAACCAAAAAGTTTTTGGATGTTTTTAGTAATAAGAACTTTGTTCCAATTTTGATTACTGATGAATAGTTATACTTACCAGCTTCTATAGCATAAACCTTGTGGATTTTGTGTGGTCATTTTAATGTCTATTTTTCGCTCATCTGTAATATCAATAGTCAGATGGGAGCTACAGCAGTGAAATTAGTTGTTTTAGCTTTTGTGTGACCTCACCAGAAATGAATGGGTGGATTGCTGCACATTTGAAGTGGGTTTTATTATCAGTTAAAATATATTTACACAAACAAAAGGGTCATAAATGGTGTCTCTTATCTCCTTTTCTCAAGACTTAGAACTGTGAATTCTTATTTTCTTGTACTTTCTCAGTAAACAAACACTAATTTTTAGTTCTGCCACTTCCTCAAAGGCTATACATTTCGATTTAACTTGCAAATCACCTCTGAATATTCTTCTCATTTATTTATTTTGAAGAAAGACTAATTAAAAGTTATTAATAAATGTTATAATTTTTGTTATCCCTAAAAAGTTAAGGTTGACGTAAGTATACATGAGCAAGTACGAATTAGAGTTCAGGAAGATTTTGCGATGTTTGGGAGTTGTCATGTTGTCTCAAGACAAAAAGAATATGACTGTCATCAATCTAGCAGATTCAGGTTTTATCTATAAGTAAATGGAGATTGCACACATGCCTAAACTCCATATAATATAAGGATATTTCTTAAGTTATCAACCAATGGGAGGCAAGGAAAGACTTGCACGACATTTACCCATTTGTAGATTTGTAATCATTACCTTGAATTTAGTTACTATAAATAGAGGATTCTCCCTCTCATTTTCAGGATTTTGATCATGATTTTCATAACAATCAATAGCAAAGATAACATATAGGAAAGAAACTGACTTGATATTCTCTCTGAATACTCAGTTATTGTACCTCTGCTCGCTGTTCACTGTTCACTACACAAGACCTCTTGTAACACTTATTTATATAAAAGAAACAGTGGATGTAAGATTCGTTTTAAGCATCTGAACCACTATAAAAATCTGCTGTCTTATTTATTATCGTGTATTTGCATTCGATAGTATTGTTTAACCTTGTCTCAACTCTAAAATCATATCACGTGTAATTTCTAAGACTTTCTTAACATTTTACAAGTGCAAAGTTGTTGATGTCAAAATCAAGCATCAACAATTTTAATATTATCAATATTATTGATATTTTCATATAATTGCACTTTTGAAAATAAGAGAAAACGACATATTCTTAGCGAAATCTCAAGTTTATGCTTCTAGTTGTAATTATTTTAGATTCTTACCTTTAAAGTAATGTTGTTTCTTTTATTTTAACAGACTTTCAACTTTTCATTGTAGCGCAGCACACATGCCGACGTTTTTCTTAGGCATACGATGGGCTCATATTAGCAAAAAGCGGCTCACGTTAGCAGTGTCTAATCTAGTGGTTTTTGGCTTTTTTAGTTGATTTTGAAGTCCAAAATCACTTCCGAGATCACCATTGGACTCTTGTCAACCTTCTCTACAAANTATTTTTCGCTCTTCTGTAATATCAATAGTCAGATGGGAGCTACAGCAGTGAAATTAGTTGTTTTAGCTTTTGTGTGACCTCACCAGAAATGAATGGGTGGATTGCTGCACATTTGAAGTGGGTTTTATTGTAAGTTAAAATATATTTACACAAACAAAAGGGTCATAAATGGTGTCTCTTATCTCCTTTTCTCAAGACTTAGAACTGTGAATTCTTATTTTCTTGTACTTTCTCAGTAAACAAACACTAATTTTTAGTTCTGCCACTTCCTCAAAGGCTATACATTTCGATTTAACTTGCAAATCACCTCTGAATATTCTTCTCATTTATTTATTTTGAAGAAAGACTGATTAAAAGTTATTAATAAATGTTATAATTTTTGTTATCCCTAAAAAGTTAAGGTTGACGTAAGTATACATGAGCAAGTACGAATTAGAGTTCAGGAAGATTTTGCGATGTTTGGGAGTTGTCATGTTGTCTCAAGACAAAAAGAATATGACTGTCATCAATCTAGCAGATTCAGGTTTTATCTATAAGTAAATGGAGATTGCACACATGCCTAAACTCCATATAATATAAGGATATTTCTTAAGTTATCAACCAATGGGAGGCAAGGAAAGACTTGCACGACATTTACCCATTTGTAGATTTGTAATCATTACCTTGAATTTAGTTACTATAAATAGAGGATTCTCCCTCTCATTTTCAGGATTTTGATCCTGATTTTCATAACAATCAATAGCAAAGATAACATATAGGAAAGAAACTGACTTGATATTCTCTCTGAATACTCAGTTATTGTACCTCTGCTCGCTGTTCACTGTTCACTACACAAGACCTCTTGTAACACTTATTTATATAAAAGAAACAGTGGATGTAAGATTCGTTTTAAGCATCTGAACCACTATAAAAATCTGCTGTCTTATTTATTATCGTGTATTTGCATTCGATAGTATTGTTTAACCTTGTCTCAACTCTAAAATCATATCACGTGTAATTTCTAAGACTTTCTTAACATTTTACAAGTGCAAAGTTGTTGATGTCAAAATCAAGCATCAACAATTTTAATATTATCAATATTATTGATATTTTCATATAATTGCACTTTTGAAAATAAGAGAAAACGACATATTCTTAGCGAAATCTCAAGTTTATGCTTCTAGTTGTAATTATTTTAGATTCTTACCTTTAAAGTAATGTTGTTTCTTTTATTTTAACAGACTTTCAACTTTTCATTGTAGCGCAGCACACATGCCGACGTTTTTCTTAGGCATACGATGGGCTCATATTAGCAAAAAGCGGCTCACGTTAGCAGTGTCTAATCTAGTGGTTTTTGGCTTTTTTAGTTGATTTTGAAGTCCAAAATCACTTCCGAGATCACCATTGGACTCTTGTCAACCTTCTCTACAAAACTCATACCTTCACTTGTCGATCTCACTCATCGTTTCCAACTACCTTTAATTGTCACTAATGGTATGTGTTTAAGGGTGGGAATCTATAATAAATAAAACCAAAGATACTAACTTAGGATTTTGCTAAACCTCGGGTGAGTATATGTCGTTCACTCTTAAAATTTAAATAAGAGTAATACTATGCGTATTCACGGATCTTACTAATCTTTGTTAAAATTACATATGATACTCGTACTATGTTTATGGTATCCATACTATGCTTTATATTTATAAAGGTTAGTATAATGGTTACTACATAGTAAGTATGCATAATATTATTTTTTATATTTATAAAGGTTAGTATAATGGTTACTACATAGTAAGTATGCATAATATTATTTTTTAAATAATAACTTGATTTGTAATATTAAATTATTAACTAAATCAATCCAAATTCTAACATGACCTCTTCTTATCGGTTGGTGTAATAATTTACAATAAAATTATACTTACTCATAATCTTACTAACCATCTTACTATCTTAATAAATATAATGGTATAGTATGGATACTATATATATAATATCCATACTATATATTATATTTTTCAAGATTGTAAAATAGTTAATAAGGTTGTGAGTAACCATAACATTAATCAATAATTTGAGACGGAAATAATGAGTACGGCAAATCTATCATTTAGCTAACACTCCAACTGAAGAAGATATTCTCAAAGCATATGTTGAAAAACATGTGGCAACGGTTTTTTACGTAAACTGGATGCTTTTTCTTTCTTATTTTCTTGCTTCCACTTCAAAAACTACTCTTTTCTTGCTTCCCTTTAATCTCTTGCATCTCTAAAATCTTGTATACACTGACATAACCCCACTGAAGTAGTTCTTTCCAAAGTTGAAACAACCCAACTATTTTCTTTGGTTTTTGTTTACATTTATGGCTCAATTCACAGCGCAAGGTCGTTTAAAGTTGTTTTTCAATGGTGATGGAGCGTCATTTGGTGTGGAAACAAGAGACCCTTTTCACAACAAGTTTCGAACTTTAAGATCAATTCAAGCTCACAGGAGAAGGCTCAGGTTTCTTAAGTCTACCACAAGAGTTGACTCTTCTTTCAGTGAGAAGAAATCGAGACTGTTCAATGTAGAGGCGAGTATTAATTTGAGTGATGCAGGGATTCATGATGAAAGCGAAGAGTATGACGGTGATTTTGAGACTGATGACTTGGCTTGTTTTAGAGGACTGGTTTTGGATATCTCTTATAGGCAAGTTGTTTCTGGAACTTACTTCATGCCTTAACATTTTTGTTCTGTTTTGATTCTTTTAATGTTAGTTCGTACTTGTTTATTGAGAAGATGGTTTATTTACTACATGGATTTTTGTTAGATTTTGATTTGGGTTCTGGGTTTAGAATTTTTTCTAGCTGTTTGTNTTTTTTTTGAGTTAGTTATGACTTTGTGTATCTATTTATATTAATATTTTTTTTAATAAACATAGTTGATTGTTGTGAGCCAAAGTAAACAAAAAATAATATTAACAAGGTTAAGTTTTAGTGAACCCCCTGTAGTTTTATTTCTCATAATTAAACCTTTTATATATATACAGTAAAACCTTCTTATAATAATATTCTATATAGGAATAATACCTATATAGTTATAAAAAAAAATTTAGTCTTAACTTGGGATAGTTATAAATAGAAATAAATTTCAAATTGTAATAAGTTATAATTTTTTTAATTCACGTATTAAGAAAGTTGCCTCTACATAGTAATAATTATTTGTGTATTGCAAAAAAATATATGTTATGTTATATTCAAGGTTTAAGATGAAATCAAATATTTATTTAAAGTTGTTTGAGACAATGATTTATACTTTAAAGTCATTGTCACATTTTTTAACTTGCGGGTACGTAATAACTCGCTAGCATTAACACCTTCTTGTTGAAGCCAAAATATTTACAGCTTCTCAAGCATGTTTAGTTTCTTAGCACGAAACGTTTTGTAGTATCATCATCAATATTATTTCTTTTCTCTTATTGTCTAATTGCAGCAATGACTACTAAAACAATGAATTGAAATCCTAATGCATACTATAAAACGTGAATTATAAAATAAAAAATCAAAACAGTAATTTGTGTACCACACCTCTACTAAGTTATATCCTACTTATAGTAATAAATTAGTTTGATCATTCCATTATGACTGTAAAAAAGTTTTATTGTATATATATCCAAAGTTTTTCACCCAGTGTTTACCTTAATGACACTTTCTCACCCCAAAAGTTTTAAAATACAACTTTAATATTCAAAGTTTATATTTCGTTACTACTCAAAATACACTTCGGTTTGCGATTAGGCGACGAATAAAGAGAAAACACGGTTTACGATGTTGGGGCTTTTGAAGAGGGGAGGTCGGTGAGTCTTTTGATAGTGATAGGTTGGATTTTGGTGGTCGGGATTGGTTGGAATCTGACTTAGGATGGATGGCTCTACATTTCACTCTCTCTCTCTCTCTCTATATATATATAACAATTTTTTGTTTCTTTACATAAAGAGGGAGAATAATATTGAAAGATTGAGTGACAGAATAGGCTGATAAGATAAAGAAATGGTTATTTTAAGTAAAAAAACAGAATGATGGCATGGTGAAAGATAGACAAAAAAAGAACAGAAAATGAAGCAAGGATTATTAATAATAATAATTAAAGAATATGGAGTTGATGATGATGTTGGTTTACTCAATGATTCCATTTCACCTCTCAAAAGCTTTCTCTTCTTTCTCTGCACCAATTATATTGAAAATTTCATGGCTGGTAAAAGCTGTTTTCAACCTTTCTATCCTCCCTCCCTCTAAAGAATCTCCATGCTCTACACTCTATTCTTATTCCTATACACGGTCATTTCTTCCACATCACTACATAAAGTATACCATTATCTCATTCATATTTGGTGTATAGGGTCAAATACTCTCTGTAACTCTAACTTATACAACTTCAACTTGCTCTGTTACTAATGAACAATAGATTTATTTAAAATGATAGATACAGAGGAGAGGTGGACCAGTTTTTTAGATCATCACATATTCTCTTTTACAGTAGGAAAAAGGAGAGTTATGGCAGGCTGAAACAGGCAGGCAGGCCTGTAAATTTCGGCCCCACTATTGACATCTCCCAACTCCCTTTTTTAATCTTCACTCAACCATTTTTTTAATTATATTCTTATTTCATATAAACCCTATAATCAAACGATAAAAAGATTAATGAACTTTCTTTCACAATCCTGATGTAATAGCTTACAAATACATAGATATGACCCATAGCAAGTAAATAAGACCTATTTGTGGCTGACTAATTATGAATTATTATGTCGAGGTTGTGAGAGAAAGTTTGTGAGATTGAATTGTGAGCGAAAGTTGTTATGGTAGGCAGGCCTGTAAATTTCGACCCCACTATTGACATCTCCCAACTCCCTTTTTTAATCTTCACTCATATATTCTTGTTTCGTATAAACCCAATAAACAAAATATAAAAATTGGCTTATCTTACAAATTTTCTCTCACAACCCTGATATGACAACTCGTAATTAGTCAGCTTACAAGTATACAGATGTAACCCATTTGCGAGCTGACCAATTGCGAGTTGTTATATCGAGGTTGTGAGAGAAAGTGTGTGAGATTGGATTGTAAGTGTAGTATTACCCATAAACAAAATATTAAACCAGTTGATTTGTGATCGGATGACAAGACTTTAGGATGTGTGACTCGCCATTAGACTTGTAGGATTTTCAATAGACTCCCGAGTTGTAGGGTGTTTAATGACCCTAGGGATTAATAGGGTGTTCACTGGACTCCGGGGATTAGTTTGAGATTAGTAGAGTGTTCCCCCGATGATTAGTTTAAATACATACAAACTGGTCCAGATATCTTAGTTAAAAAATATATTTTAATCTACAAAGATTTATAATAATAACCACCTATAAACAAAGTATTACTATATCTCATTATATAAAAATTAAATAAAATTTCTTTTTGGTTTTATGTTAATATTAAAAACAAGGAAAATGAAAAACGAGTTGAGTTAGTGAATTTTATTAAATAAGTGTGAAATGTGTTTGTCAATTATAAAATGTGAGCATGTGCTATAGCATTATTATTATTTTTCTTAGACCATAGTTTATATAATTAAAATGTTATCATATGTAATGCATTACTATTTATTATTCTCTTTTTAATGTAACCTAGGCTAATTTTTTTGACCTTTTCTTTATCGGGTACACACTTCTAGGAACATTAGATTGGGATAATACGTATTATTTAATCATTTTTTCAAATAAATAAAGTCACAAAATTGAAGCCAACTTTTTTATTAATATTCATACAGTGTTATTTTCCCAATCAATCAGCCTTTTGCCTCCAAATAATTGAAGCCAACTTTTTTAGCATTATTTTTCTTTAGCAGACTTTATTGCTCTTTTATGTCATATGAATAAAGAGTAAAAGACTATTTCCCACCCAAATAGTGGCGTATTGACACTTTTTCACCGTATGCTTTTAAAATATAATTTTATTACTTAAATTTATATTTTATTTTCAATTTCGATATCGTTGTGACTCTAAGTCATCACCATTCTTTTCTTCGATCATTACTCACAAAACCTCTCAAACTTACTCCCATCGACCCAATCGCTAGAAATTGAGCGATTAGGGTTTGCACAGCCACCTCTCCCAAGTCAAAGTCCAATCAATCACAACCAACAAAATCCAACATTTCACTACCAAAAGACTCATCGGCCTCCCTTCCTCAAAAACCCTAATAGCCTGGATTGAATTTGTTCTTTGTTTGTTATTGAAATATAAATTTAGATAATAGAGTTGTATTTTAAAAGTATGTGAGTGAGAAAGTGTTATTAAACCATTATTTAGGTGGGAAAAGATCATTAACTCTATGAATTAAAGGGTTTGGTTACATTATTATTATTATTATTATTATTATTATTATTTTGGTATTTGAGGGTGTCCAAGCCAGCTAGCATGTACTTCGATTATTCTCCCGGGGCCCTAAAGTTAATGGTCAGGTAAAACTCTAGTGGTTATTCCTTATTAGTAGTCGTAAGGATTTGAATTCAGAACCTTTTGAATAATATATTAAAGAGTCTCAAGCGAACCATCAAACTACCTAGAGATAATTGAGTTTGGTTACATGATCGTTATCAAAAATGTAGATAAAACAAGGGCCTCATTATAACATCAACTTCAATAACGTTTTCAAAATTGAAACGTTAGTTATAAGCACCATTATTGAACGGATCCGAATTAAATTAGTTTGGCTTTAGCATTGACATAATATGGATGGTAAAGAGTGATTCGTTTGGTAAAACCAAGAAAATGAAGAAAAATTTAAAAAAATAAAGGGAGAGAGAGGGTGTGCGCTAATTTTTATTTTCCTTTGGGTTTGATTGTTACTTTTAGCTTTATCTGCCGACACAAAATCCAGGCCATAAAGGGTCACAACTACTGCTCTGCTTAAGACACTCAAACTCAACACAGCTTTGAGCTTCTTTTCTTCCTCAACGCAAAGTCTTTTTCTCTTGGTTTTTGTCACTAACTAGTAACAACGTCCATGGACTGTTGCCGGAATGTCTCTGTCTCCGGTGAGTACCACCACCAGCAAGAGCAAGTGCAAGTGCAAGTGCTTTCTCCTCCTTGCTCCAAGCTTGGTTCTTTAACTAGTACCACTACTACTCATGCCTCTTTTGACGACCTTTTCCCCGCTCAAAACACGGTCTGTCTTTCCTCTTTCTTTCTTATTTTCGCCTCAGTTTTGTTGCTTTGTGTGTGTGAGTTTGTGTTTCCCTCTTCTGGGTTTGACAGAAGAGTCTGAAATGGAAATAAAGTTTTGAACTTTACTTAGTTTTTCACTGTTTTGGTTCTTGAATGTTTGTGTCTTGTGCTCAAAATATGTTTTTTGTTGGGTGTTACTGATTTTTTTTTTCTTTTGGTGGAAGTGCAGGAGGTGGATGTGAGCTTGGAATGGCTGTCAATTTTTGTGGAGGACTGTTTTTCAAGCACAGGGAACTGTCTTCCAGCTACAGCTGTTCCCAAAACAAGTGTTGAAAATGGAAGTACAAAAACACCAAAACCCTCAAAACCCTTGTTGCGGAATAATAAGCTCCAACAAACCCCACCTTCTTTACAGAAGTTTGTAGTTCCAGGCAAGGCCAGAAGCAAAAGAAAGAGATCACCACCAGCTTCCATTTCCAAAGATAAACCTTTAATTTTTCACCCGTTCACCACCTGGAGTAGTACTCACCACAACCAACTCCTTAACTTGCCCACCTCAGACTCTCCTTTGCTCCACCACCACCAGGCCTATTGGCTGGCTGACAGTCAACTCATTGTCCCCAAAAAAGAATCCACCGCCCCCACCCCCACCACCACCACCACCACCAACAACAAAGTGAAGGATTCTGATGTGCAAAGTAAAGAAGAGGAGGTGGAGGAGGGGGTGGAGAAGAGTTTTGTGGAGGGGAACATTGGGGGACAGCAGCCAAGGAGGTGCACCCATTGCTTAGCACAAAGGACCCCACAGTGGAGGGCAGGACCATTGGGTCCAAAAACTCTATGTAATGCATGTGGGGTGAGGTACAAGTCAGGGAGGTTGCTGCCTGAGTATAGGCCAGCCAAAAGTCCTACTTTCGTGAGCTATTTGCACTCTAACTCTCACAAGAAAGTTATGGAGATGAGAATGGCCTTGCTCCCTTCGGTCCCCAAGTGATCTTCCCTTGGAAATTTCTCATTTTTCAGTATGTAAATTAAAGTTTAGAGTTTTAGATATAAAAATATGGAGAAATTTTTAACTACTAGTAGTAGTAGTAGTAGTACTATTAGCAGTGCTTATTTGTTTAGGCTTTAGTATCAGTCTACTTTTATGCTTCCACTTATTAGTGAAAATTCAAAACTTTAAGGCCTTCTTCTTCTTCTTCTTCAGTTCTTCAAACATCTCTCTCTTGAGCAAATTTTATTGGGGTTGTTCCAAAAAGTGCTTATGGGTATTGGGGCTGTGCAAGAGCCCTAGCTTCTTTTGCTTTTCGTATATTGTTTATGATATTTTGTTTTGAATTTGTATATAGAATCCAAGACTGATTAATCAATTAGAGGTTTTTGTCATGGATAGGAAAGCTTCTTTGATAGATTTTCTCGGGAAAAATGAATGCATTATTATTATTATACCAGTAAAGAAAAAGGCAAATGGAACATGCCACTGCTGCTAACATACAAACAAACAAAGCAGTGAAAAGAACATTTTAATGATGGTTGTCCATAGCGGAATATTTTGACCCAGAAAGGTAAAATTAATAAATAAATCAAAAAACCTTTCTTTTCTTAGCAACTCAATTAACTAAACAAACACCATAAGAATCATGATAATAACCACTTAGTGTTTTGATGATAAAAAAAGTTATTGAGTTTCTGAATTCGAGTCTTTATATGTCCTAATAAAGGTGGTTATTGAAAGGTTTATCGTTCTTAATTTCAGAATGTTGAAGGATTAATTCGGAGTGTGTATAAACTGGCGTTAAAAAAAAAAAGAAAATAATAATGATAATTGAAGCTTAATTAAATTAATTGAAAGAGTAATTCGGCAGTACATGAAATAAGGAAATAAGTGGATGATGGATTCCAGGCATGCACGTGACGCCTTGTACTAATGGCTTCTCCTGAAAATGGAATACAGTTTTGAGTGATTCTTTGTCCTTTCTTTCTTCTTCATGCATTCATCTTTGCTTTTTGCTTTTAGATTTCCCTCTGTTTCTGTACATTGTTACTAGTTTCCATGCCTATAGCTCAGTCTCCTGAGTTTCCCTCCTTTCTCATTTCAGAAAGAAAACCAAACCCTTTTCTCACTAATCTTTGCACAAAAGAGAAAACTTGACATAACCTTTGATTTTAAAATAACCCTTATGCATTAGCCTTCTCCAAAATTCTTTTGCCTCCATTTTTTCAAGATCAAATTTTAATTAAATTTTTGTTTTTTTTTTTTTAAAGTGTTTCTTAATGTAAACTGTGTATTGGTGTTATCCACCAAGGTTCTTATTATGAAAGAATGTATGTCTAACCTGCACTGGGTGGCGCAATGATAAAAGAACAAAGAAAAATCTAACATGATCTTCCAAGTTCGAGTCTCATTGATAGTAAAAGAGCAAAAGAATGATCGAGTTTAAACCCCTACGACCCTTAATAGAGGTAATCACTGAAGTTCTTATTCGACTGATAGTTCCAGGGTCTCGAATGATTAATTGAGGTGCATGCAAGTCGGTTTAGACCACTCTAATCATTAAAAAAAAAAAAAAAAGTACGTCTTCACGAGGAATAATTCTTCCGTGCATATGATGTATATACAACCGCCCACTAAAGATTTAATATGTACAGTTTGGAATTAATTATACACATATCCATTCAATAAAAGTTAGGCTACTTTTATGTAATACGTATGTGAAAATAAATTTGAAAGTTCAAGTTTAGCGCTTAGCGCATTTGGCAAGTTTTTTCTTTGATCAAGAAGTCACCCCTTTCACATAAATATTTATATTATATTTTAAGATAAAACAATCGAGAAAACAAGAAAAAAAATCCTAGTACTCAAACATAAAGTTTCGTGCAAGCACAATTAATGGACCAATTGGTATAAAAATTATATGAAGGTGATGAGATGGCGTTGCCCAATTGGATAAGATTGTTAATAGAGATAATTAACATTGACAAAAGCATGCATTTTTTTAAGTTTTCAAAAGAGAAAACGACTTTTTCCCACTCAAGGTTTGCCTTGATGACACTTTTCCACTCAAAAAGTTTCAAAATGTCATTTTCCTACCTAAAGTTTATATTTCATTTACTATTTAGAATACATTTTCCGATTCAATAGCCAATAGAGAGTAAACTCGATCCAAACTATTGAGACTTTTGAAAAAAGGGTTCTAGTGAGTCTTTTTGTGGTGGCAGGTTAAATTTTGGTGGTTAGAATTGGTTAGAATCTAACTTGGGAAGGACGGTTGTGCGTTTCACAAATTGCTTGATTGTTGGAGATTGACAGGGTTGACGAGAGCAAGGTTTAAGAGGTTTTGATGAGTAATAATCTGGGAAGGGAATGGTGGTGGTTTGGGGTTGCAAAGATGTCAGAATCGGTCGACGATTAGTCGGAATATAAACTTTGGGTGGGAAAGTGGTGTTTTAAAAACTTTTTGGGTGGAAAAGTATTAAAGCAAACCTTGGGTGGGAAAAAGTTGTTTACTCTTTCAAAAATTACATTGCTTGAAAGAGCACGGCTTAGATTAGGTCATTTGATTGATTGATTGATTGAAAATTTATAAAAGTTAAAGTTAGGTTTGTTGATGGATGGGGAATCTTATATTATATTTGTATCATAGAATAAAACTTTGAATTTAAGTGTAGGGTAATTGGGATTGGTTAATGGGTAGTTAAGATAAATTTAGGATTGTCATTTAGTTGTCATATTTTATTCTTCTTACATGATAAGTAGAACCACCATACATATCTCTTGTAATAAGTTAGAATGCTCCTATATTTCATGCAATTAGTGATTTAGTTCCCATATACAAATAAACAATTCAGGAGCAACCTACTGCCACTGCTTCTGATAAATCATAGACAAAAATATTTCTTTTATACCCAATAAGTGGTCGAACTTAAAGACTATAGATTGAAGCCATGCACAGCCCTCTAGGTTCGCCCTTACCGTTGGACTACCTATAAATGGGTTGAACTTCTTTTTTATATTTTTGGATTAGCAAAGATAAACAATTCAAACTACTACTGAATGACTTGATGGTAAAAGAGCAAATAGGGATCTAACATGGTCTCCTAAGTTTGAGTCCTCTTGATGGAAAAATAATAAGAAGATGATCTAACATGGTCTCTTAAGTTCGAGTCTCTACGGTTGTTAATAAAGGTGTCCAGTAAAGCTTTTACCTGGCTGGTAGTTTTAAAGTCTCAAATGATTATTTGAAATACACGCAAGCTAGTCCAAACATCCCTAGACATTAAAAAAAAAAAAAAATGTAAAAAAAAATTATGCTACAAATTTAATTGATAGTATTCCAAAGTGGTTTTCTGCTTTTCTTAATTGCCCAAATGAAGGCATTGATTGAAATAAATGAATAAAGAAAGGACAAGTGAGAATAAAAACATCATGTTCAGTGATTTGAATCAACCATATGTATGCTTGTATGCATGACAGATACACACACCCAGAACCAGAAATCTTATCTCTCCCTTTACCCAAAATTTTCAAATTTGAATCTCAAAATAATATTAATAATTAAATAAAGTTGAATCTAATCTATTAAATCATCTTAATTTTAGGTGGTGGGTAGTTGTGTATTATGGCCTTATGGGTCCCTTATCTATTCTATTGCCTATTTTGTCAACCATTTCCTCCTTCCTTTTCTCAATTTCTAATTTCTTCTTCCTTTTGATTTTATATGCTTCCAACACTACTTAGATTCACTCAAAAATGTTAATACCTTCTGTAGGAGAATAAATTGGTAGGTGTTTGAGTACTATATGAGGTAATTCTTTATATGAAATAAGAGCTCTAAGAAGAAAAGTAAAAGAAAATTAGTACATATAGTCCGACTGAAAGGAAAAAAACGTGTCTCATGTCAATTTGGCATGAGTTTCAGTGTAATCTGAGGTGATTCTGTATACTGAAGTAAGAGCTCCAAGAAGAAAAGTAAAAGAAAACCGATACAGATGGTCCAACTGATAGGAAAAAAACGTGTCTCATGTCAACGAGGAATAAAGAATTAACAATTTTTATCAAAGGGTTTTTAAAATTTTCCCTAGACTATGAAAGTAGGTCATGTTTAGGTAAAAGGGATCAAATTCATGTTTTTACTTTTTAGAGACTTATGTACGTAATTTACTTTTTATAGAATTCTCTAGAATTAATACAAATTTTCACTTTTTTAATCTTTTTTTTTTAGATATGGTAATTGGCCGCCTCTTAGTACAACTCAAACTGAAAACTGGAGGGTACATTCAACCATGCGCCTCTCTATCCATCCGGCCACAAGTGGGTGGTTTTTTGTTTACTTTATTTAGAACCCGAAAGAGTTTGGTTTCATAAATTTCAACTCTTCAAGATCATAAACCTTTCTTATCCGAAAGATTTATGTTTTCCATATGAAGTTGCAAAATTCCCACCAACATTCATGTCTTAATTTTCATATATATATAAATGGTGACCGACAAATTTGGTGTAAGAGTGAATTGAAATGAGTTGTCTTGAAAAATAAATTGGTTGATTTAAATTAAAGGTTAGATTTGAGGTTGGTAGTGTGATGTGGGTCAGAAAATTAAACAAGCCAAGCTTGACCTAAGATTTTGAATGTTCAGCAAAATAGTGGGTCTAAATTAATGGTATATGTCTCTTTCTTTCAATTATTTGTTTTTCTATATTTTTCCTTCCTCCTCCCATTTTTTTTTTTTTTTTTTTTGAAGAGTATTTCGAATAAAGAAATGACGAATATATATACAATCAACTAATCATGGGGTAGGAGTATTTTATGTGTCGACATAATGTTTTTATTGCTGGTTGGTCGACTTCTTTTTTTTTTTTTAATACTTTTAAAGACGTTATTAATGCATTTTGAAATGAATTATATGTGTATATTATAAGAAAATCTTGAAAATCTTCCACGGAACGAATGTCACACATGTTGATGTAATACCTTATAATTGATTTTATATAATCCATTGTAGGAAAGTGTTTTTTTTCAAAGATTTATTTTTTGAATTTTGAGGACTTATCTTTTGAAGACGAAGATGAAGATGAAAATTGATCTATAACTAAAAGAAGAAGAAAGAAACGAAAAAATAAATCTATACTCAATGTCACCTAAATCCACTTCTATAATAATCAATCAACTCACTCAAAGCCTCTCCATATAAAAGTATTATTATGATTTTTTTTTTCTTTCTTTTTGTCTTTATCATATGTCGAAAATTAGAATAAAATATGTAACCCAATGGTAAGGGCAAACTAAGAGGGTTATGCATGGCTTCTATCCATAGTTCTCGGTTTGATTCCTCATTGATTTACCTAAAGAGCCGCGACAGTGAGTTTTTGTAGAATAACTTTTCCTGTAGCTCTATAGATTAGTCAAAGTGCATTTAAGTTAACTCAGATGTCTTACTTAACCAAAAAAAAAAAAAAGAATAAAATATTAAACAATAAAGTTAGATGATGAATTGTGACATTTGATTAGTGATAATTAATAAACAAAAAAGAAATTCAAGAATCATTTAAAAAAAAAAGAATAAAACGAATTTGATTGATTGGATACTCCCGCCATTAAGTGTTCAGAGCATATCTTGATATAAATAATTAAAACTTTTACTTTCCCACTAATCAAATTTCGAATTTTAAAAACAAAAGTTAGTCAAAGATGAATGACTTATTTTCATGATTTTAGGTATAGCTTACAACTTGTCCATTTAAAATATGCCCACAAATCAAAGTTTAGTTAATGAATGTGTTAAGAGTATTTTCTTGATTGTGGGCTAACATTAAATATAATTTTGTTTTAATCAAAACCGGGTAAACGAGTAGTCTAAATAAGATATCCTGATGGGTTCTTTGTGATCGTTCTAGTCTTTTGGAATTGCTCAAATACCTTTTATTATAATAATATGGATTGAGGATTGGTGTAGGCTTGAGCCTATAATGAGCTTCAGGGTTTATTGGGCCTTTAATGGGAGGGTCCAAGCCCAATAAACCATTATTAAAATTAGTTAGATCCCCTTTCGAAACGCAATATAGAACAACTTAACTCATTCGTAAACTATTATACAGAACACGTTATTAGAAAGGAAGGCTTATCGCTCTCTGTCACTTTTATCAAGATTTCAAGAAATGAATATTATGGCACTAACAGGTTTATATATAATCATTGATTGTTAATTCAATATTTTATAAATTTAGAATTTAGAATTTGATTGATTGATTATCGTTCATAATTGATTGTGATTTCAATTTCAAAATTTTTCATGTAGAACGAATATCCATTGATAAGGAGGTTTCACTAAAACAAAAATTTACAAGCAATATTAATTTCAATAATATCTTATTATTTTAAAAATATTGTTATGCGTTAACTAAATATCATCTAATGTTATTAAGATATCAGTATTTATTAGAGTTTATTGAATAGTAGAATCCTCTTAAGGTTTTTGAAATAACAAAAATCCCGTGAACAATATGAGGACAATTAAGTAATTTTTCACCTACTCATAAAAATGTAAATTCTAACAACTTACAAGCGGTAGGAAGATTTTTGTTATTTAATTAAACCTTGGGAGGTCAAATTTATAACTTATATAGCACATTGATAAGATTATTCTGGTGTTGTAGTATGAGACTCGATAAGAATAATATCCCATCCAAGAAACAAAGAAAGTGAGAAGCTATCAGAAATGGGGTTTGTTGTGTTGGGAGTAATGCTACAGTCACTGAAAGTAGTACACCGAAAGCATGCACCGAATGACGTAACAAAATAAGTATACACTGAATGACGTGACAGAATCCTGACCGTCGATTAATATTCAGTTATAATTAATCAACAGTCAGGATTTTGTCACGTCATTTGGTACACTACTTTTGGTAGTTGTATCATTTTCCGCTATGTTGGTAGGGGTTTGAGGATGCATAATTGAGAGGGTATTTTGGGTATTTCTCAAAGTTTTGTCTCCCTAATCAATTTCAAATGGTCACGATTCCACAAACATCCCACTATATACTTTCCTTCCTCAAAACAAGAAAAAAAAAAAAAGGATCAATAAATGTGAGTTGGGCCAAAAAGCCCAATGGGCTTAAGTACTTGACTAATGGGCTTTAGTAATAGTACAAAGATTCTTAATTGATGTGAGAGGTAGTGTTTGTTTTATCACAACCTACTACCACAAAAGGGTGGGGGATTCAACAATTCATGATATAGGCAATATTAACCTTTTGAATAAACCCATTAATTCAACTTTTTTCCACAGAAACTTAAGCATCATTCAATCACAAAATGTAGATGGTAAAGTAGAAACTCCATATTAGTAGATTAAGAAAAATGTAAATTACAAGTGTTCATGTTTGTACAATGTGTGTGTCATGAAACTGCTACTATAAAGCAGCAAGAAGATTGAGCACAGTATGAATGAGAATCCTACAAGATTTACCGATTTCATGGCATCATCACAAAAACATCATAAAACTGAAATTTAGATGAAAAATATTGAGGTTTACAAGCTAAATGAAGTGTAGTTTTATTGAATAAATCGGGAAAAATAAATATAGGCTCGAAGTATCGTACACGAAACTATCAAAAATAAATGAACTAGTGAGAAAGAAGTAGAAACAGAAGAAGATTCTATCCACTATCTAATAAATCTATCGCAACATAAATGTTGACACCATCATCATCAATGCCAAACCCACAAGTGAGGGGCTGAAAGAAGAAGCAGATGAAGCTAACTGAATGGGAAAACTGCATTGCTCTGTTGAAAGATTCTGTGTAGTAGTTGTGCCCAAACCTTGAAAACCACAGGCCAACTCATCCTGATCTTTGATTTGGAAGTACATGTTAAATGCATACGAAGCATTCCCATTCGCATCCAAATTGTTACAAGAAGAACCATATCCAAGGGTCGTGCAGTCAGAATTACTGCACGCAAAATCTATGGTAGCTGCAAGTTTGCTAACATCCTTGGCATTCGGATTAAACATACACCATCTGTTAGCAAGATATTTGACGCCCGTTGCACCAATAAGGAGTTTGTTTTGATTCTGACCGGACAAATCCATGGGGAATTTAGGCTGTCCATCGTACCTAAAGATTCCCCAATGACGCTCGAAATTACCAGGAGCAATGCTCTTCCCATCCTCATCAAGTAAAGCAAACAAGTAAACTTCAATGTATCCAGGCCGAAGAGGGGTGCCTTTATTGGCTGCAAGTCTAGGTAAAAGCCCATTATAGAATCTAACAGCTAAACCATTGTTCGCGTTCTTGTCCCCATCTGTTGGCCAACCAACCTCTCCTACCAAAATGGTCATGTCTCCATATCCAGCAGCTTTTAAAGCCGAAACCAAAGTATCAAAGTTGGCATCAAAGACATTGGTGTACTGGATTCCAGTTCCACTATCAACAATTGGAGTACCCCCATCAAAGAAAGCATAATTTACAGGGAAATCGTCATTACCGTAGAGACTTAGGAAAGGATAGATGTTTACGGTGAAAGGAGCTTTGTTCTTATTTAGAAACTCAACAATCTGGGTCATTTCTGTATTGATATCAGTACGGAATCTTCCAAAAGATGGGTAAGGATTGTTTTCTGGTGATTCATAGACATCGGCATTTAAGGGCACAGTAGCTTTTACGGAATCTCCAACTCCAGCTTCATTGAGGGCATTTTGAATGTTCTGAAGCGCTGGGAAAGTGGAATTTAGGAATGAATTATTGTAGGATGTGAGGAAAGGCTCATTCCCAACCGCAACGTATCTGTGGCAAGATTTAAAAAAAGAAAAGAAAAGAAAAATCAATGAGACTGCCTGTTATTTGCCAAGCCCCTTCCCCCACAAATCTAACAACAATACAAATACAACTAGAATAGCAATAAAATAATTTCATAAATCATGGATGGATATAAATTTCTTAACCAAGTGACATGAAAATAAGAACAATTGATAGCAATTGAGACAACTCAATCATATTCCTTAAGTCTTATGAACTATTATGTATATTGGAAGAAGCAACATAAGATACCATTTTATTTTAGTAATTAGCAACTTCAGAAGACATGCCTGGAATCTTGGTCCATTCCCAGCTCAGAAGAAAGGTTTACCTGGCTGATAAATATTTAACTAGTAGATTCTTTAACAGAGATCTTTAATATAACACCATGATGAAGAATCAGATTCTTCATTTAACTTGAAACTAAAAATAAATCAAGTTGACAACTAATTGTTCTATGATGTGTGATAATTTCACAACACATTTTATATGGTTCATACACAAAAAGAGGTCACAATCTTTCCATCCAAAATCTGTTTTCATTAAAAAAAGCATTGAAAAGTCCATGATTAAGATATTTAAACAACAAATCATAACTAATATTTCCATCGAAAAGATCTTGGCAAAATAAAAAAGGCTGAAATACGGAACTCATATGTCAGTTCTTTCATTATGCCACTGGCTATCAAGCCCAAGCAGGTGCGAAAGAGTTAAACCGTTCTCATCAACTATATCCAAAACTGTTAGATGAATTTTATTGTTCTGTTTCTCAAATAATTTACATGAATATTTCTTTTCCTATCTGATGTTATACCCAACAGTCGGCTTTAAGAGTGCCAAATATAAATGATTGTTGTTCATCCTTTTGTTTCCATACAAAACATTCACAGAAAAGCTGCAGTACAAGAATCTTATGCTCCTACAGACAACCATGTATGGAAAAAAGTTTGTAAAAGCAACAAATTCATATTCAAGATCCCAAATCCCCTTTTCCTTTTCTCAAAAGTTATCACCATGTGCAATAGTATAGAGAAATTAAAAAGATAGCTGAAACTTTAATCGAAATCAGATTTAGACTGCAAAAACTATGGTACTTGAAAAGCTGAGTCATAGCCGTCCATTAAATGCACATTGGATCCATAACAATTTTTTCCAATAAACAATTCTTAACCACTAACTAGTAGCAGATTAAAGAATTGAGTCAGCTAACAAACAGGTCTTACATGCTTTTCAGATTCAATACACACTTAATTCTGCTGTAAATGTGTAATGCACTGATGGAAGTCTTCTCTACCTATGATTCGGTGGATGACCACGATATTTTTATTTCATTAGAAAATTGGACAACTATTGTTATAGTTTGAGAAGTCCTTTTATCTGGGTTCTGTCTCTCGTTTTATACAATTAAAATTCTGGCAGAAAAGGACTTAACACAAAATGTAAAAATAGCAATTAAAGCATACAATCAAATTCTTCTAATAAGGCATCAGTAATCAGAATTATCAGAATTCAGTCACATAGTTGACGCATCAGAACTGAAATTTAACACATACACACAAAGACTATCATAAACTAAAATCACAAATTTAAACAAGTATCCAAAATCAATACATCACAAGCTCATACAAATAAAACCCTAAAAAAATTAGTAATTTCATTAGAAAAACCATTGACATTAGGTTAACTACATCAATGCCAGCTAGAACAAAACAACCCCACATCAACAAATCAACAACAAAAATAAAAATTTATAAACAAAAAATGGAACTTACTTGACATTAACACCACCTTTGAAATTGTAAGCTGTGACATTCCTCCTCACCCAGTCTTTGGCTTTATCATAATTAGTCATAACCAGAAGTTGATTATTAGGAATGGCCACCATTACTTCAATATTAGAACCAGCAAGAGCACTCATGGTGTTTTTATCTGCATCAAAAAGCTTCACTTTTGTAATTGCATTGTCTTTCAACAGCTGTACCACTGTCTTTGGCGACAGTGGGTGGGTAGCCTGAGTTCCCCAATTCACACCAAGACCATTAACACAACAACTCAAAATACCAAGAACCACTACCAGTTTCAGAAACCAAGAAAAACCCATCCTTTTCTATTTGTTTCCCAGGATTATAATTATTTTCCGGGAATGGGAAACAAATCAGGTAGACTAACCAGTATTAAATATAAGAAAAACAGAAGAACTAACTGAAGTAGAGGAAAACAAAAAAAAAAAAACTGTATCTGGTAGGTGGGTACGAGAAACCAGCGAAAATAAAGCGATTATAGATCGTGAAACAGAGAAAAAAGAAGTAAACAAAATCTAAATATATCCGAAATTAGGATATATAGTTGTATATTTAGTATATTATATTATAAAGCGAAAGTTTGGAGGGAGAAAAGGTATAAAAAACGGTAAAACAGAAACAGAGCACTCCAATGAAGGAAATGATCGTCTTTGTTTTAGCAACCAAAAACAGTATTACAACAAATTCTAGAAATATGGTTTGTATTAAAACAATCAAAACAAAAAGGGAATGACTAGAAGAGATTGAAAAAGGGGATGGAAAAACAGGGGGAAACAGAGGAGATTTTGTGGAAAACCCAGAAAGGAAAAGGGGCTCTCAATGGGAATATGTTTCAAAAAGGGAGTTGATTTTGATGAGAGAAGATTGAAAAGGAAGACCAAATGAATGTACCTGACGTTGAGTTCTTAAGAAGAGAGGATGGAGGGCTTAACGGCTAGATTTTTTGATAAATAATGTCAAGGGAGGTGTACTTGAAAGGTTAAACCTTTGATGGTTTCAAGAGGAAAAGAATAGAATATAAATAACGTTTTAATAACGCGTTCAGGTTTGTTAAGTAACTTTAAGAAAATTTTAAGGAATAATTCAATAAGGTTGATCAGATCAAATTTCATATACATATATTTGAAGACGATGTTATATATATATATATATATATATATACACGAAGTTAGGATCAACTCATACTTTAATCACTTTTGGATGGTCGAATAAGACGATAAAGATTCTTGAATGTATATAAAAATGATCATTTGTTTAGTTTAATTTGTAACTTGAAACCTTACAGACGAGACAAAAGAGTTCAAAAATACAAATAAGAGTTTAGATTTCTGATCTCACTTGCCGAAAGTGACTTTGAAAGAATTGAAATTGCAGTTGCTTTTTCTTTTTCTTTTTTCTTCTTGGGAATGGTCGGGAGTGTCTATATCAACTTAAACGTACTCTCTTGAGATCCTAAAATTATCGATTGAATAAGAGCTTCAGTGACTATTTTTATTAACAACCAATGAAAGACTTGAACTGAAAACCTCTTGAATAATACATCTAAGAGTCCCTATCGAATCACTCGATGACTTAAAAATAGTTAAATTACAATTCTAACTTCTGCCTAAATTTTATAACTTTTGAAAAACAAAAAATAAAGATCTTTGTCCATGTATTATGCTCCGTTGGAGTTATTTTCGTTACTCCTCTTCAACCTTATTTACTAATAAGTTGTCCAAATGATGGAGCGTTTGTGTTAACCTAATGATATTTTCTATACGTCGATGAAAAATCAAAAACCGAGGAAAAGAAAGGTCCGTGTAAGTAACCCTAACTTATTTTGTATGTAATAATTGAACGAATTTAGGAAATCCAGTAAATATTGAACGTTGAAGTGATAATGATAATAATAGAGTGAATAAAAGATCTGAAAAGGCTTGGCTCCGAAGCCCCCGCTCCTCCCTATCGTTGAGAATATCAAAAATGGATAACTCTACTTTTTCTTTTTTTTTTGGTCTACCAGTGTTTGATATTAGATTGGTGATGGCGTGGCCAGTTCTGACATCCCGCGTGTCTATATAGGATATTATTTATGTTAATGATAAATCATCATTTTTACCTGTTAAATTTTTCGTCCCACAAATTATGGTCACAGGATTATCTTTTTAACCTAATATTTTCTTTATAATTAAAAAAATGTTATACAATAGAAACCCATTTTAGGGTAATAGTTTTTTTTTTTTTTAATATTAGATGATAATAAAATTTAAATAAATAAAATACAAATGTTAAAAGTATTTTCAGGTGGTCGGCTGCCGACAAGCTCACTTTTTGAGATTTGAGAAGGAACCCTAGTTTTTGTATTAAGTGATGACTCATCTCATTCTTTTATAATTTTATTTCCATTTAAAATTAAGTTTAATTGAATTTTCACCGTCAATTCATCATGATGTCATCTCATCATCCATCCAAATCTGTGTAACATATAAACAAACCAATGAGAATGCAAAGGTCAGAATCGTTTATGTTAACAAGTTAAAGACTCGTATACGTTTTAGGTATGATGTAACAGTAAACGACATATTCCAACTAAAGGTTTGACGAAATCTTAAGTTGGTATCCTAAGTTTCATTTATTTCAGATTTTTACCCTTAAAATAACACTGTTAATAATTTTTAGGGTAGTGAGACTGCAATTAGCATAATGCCCTTAACCTTAAATTAATAAATTATGTTTTAACACCTAAATTACTAAAATTATAAAAATAACTATCTTATTTTGAAATTACTTCAATTACACCCTTAGTTACTGAGCACGGTCTCGATTTTTACCGGATCTTGGCTGTTTCCGATGGCGGTGAACTACCTTCATCACCTTCCCCATCGTCTGTCTTCCCTCTGGTTCCCGACTCATTGGGCCTTCCAATCGCTGGCGCCGTTAGGCTTAGGTTTTCGTCGTTCTTTGCTGGATTTCGGTCGATTTCGACGACGAAAATCCAATTGGACATCACCACTGCAACCAGCGTCTCCAAATCTACAAAACCCCTTTGTCCCCAGCAACCGTTTAATGGCCATTCGCCGGTGGAGACTGACGAAAACCAGTCGCATGTGGCGGTTATCGTGGCTAGCGATCGGTGAGTGATGATGGATTGTGAAGGGTAAGGTTTGGTAGAGGGGAGGATGAGGGTTCGAATGATGGTGACAAGGGTGATTTTGGGTGGAAGAATCACTAGAAAAGAGCGAAAAATGTCAGCGATGATATTGGTTAACGTGCGTCGGAGCTTTGTTAGGGGAGAAGATCTGCTAATGTATGCCTCCTCTGCGAAATGACTAATTTACCCCTGAGCCGTTATATCTAACCATTTTCTATTATTTTAAGGGTAAAAATATGGAATAAATGGAACTTGGGGTACCAACTTGAGATTTCGTCAAACCTTGGGTGGGAATATGTCGTTTACTCTATGATGTAATAACAAAACCTCGTTACGGTTTGGTAAGTATTATAAAATTGGCTTTTACCATTTATATTGACACCTAAAATTTTACGGTAAGGAGGCTTCCGTTAAACCTTAAGGGATTGGTCTGACGATTAAGAAAGTTTGCTCAATTCATTGGCTTTTTGGGTTTGAATCACGTGCCACATTTGTAGCTTATCTTGAAACATTAAGCTTGTAGGGTGTTCAATTAACTACATAAATTAGTTGAGAAACGCGCAAACTGGTCTAGACATCTCGGTCATAAAAAAAAAAAAAAAAAGATTATTTGAGGTGCTTATATGATGTTTAATGGGCCTCAATGATTTAGTTAAGGTGCACACACATACACACACACACACACACTGGTGCGAATACTTCGATCATAAAAAATAGATTAGTTAAGGTGCGTGCAACTGACTTAGACACCTTGTTCATTAAAAAAAAGGGGGAGGCTTTTATTACTTCTGAAACCTTAGGGAAATTTTTGTTATCTTATCATATCTTAGAGAATTAATGTACAACATCATAAAAATTGAAAAATATTGAGGTTTACAAGCTAAATGAAGTGTAGTTTTATTGAATAAATCGGGAAAAAATAAATATAGGTCGAAGTATCGTACACGAAACTATCAAAAATAAATGAACTAGTGAGAAAGAAGTAGAAACAGAAGAAGATTCTATCCACTATCTAATAAATCTATGCAACATAAATGTGAACACCATCATCAATGCCAAACCCACAATGAGGGGCTGAAAAGAAGAAGCAGATGAAGCTAACTGAATGGGAAAACTGCATTGCTCTGTTGAAAGATTCTGTGTAGTAGTTGTGCCCAAACCTTGAAAACCACAGGCAACTCATTGATCTTTGATTTGGAAGTACATGTTAAATGCATACGAAGCATTCCCATTCGCATCCAAATGTTACAAGAAGAACCATATCCAAGGGTCGTGCAGTCAGAATTACTGCACGCAAAATCTATGGTAGCTGCAAGTTTGCTAACATCCTTGGCATTCGGATTAAACATACACCATTGTTAGCAAGATATTTGACGCCCGTTGCACCAAAGGAGTTTGTTTTGATTCTGACGGACAATCCATGGGGAATTTAGGCTGTCCATCGTACCTAAAGATTCCCCAATGACGCTCGAAATTACCAGGAGCAATGCTCTTCCCACCTCATCAAGTAAAGCAAACAAGTAAACTTCAATGTATCCAGGCCGAAGAGGGGTGCTTTATTGGCTGCAAGTCTAGGTAAAAGCCATTATAGAATCTAACAGCTAAACCATTGTTCGCTTCTTGTCCCCATCTGTTGGCCAACCAACCTCTCCTACCAAAATGGTCATGTCTCCATATCCAGCAGCTTTTAAAGCCGAAACCAAAGTATCAAAGTTGGCGTCAAAGACATTGGTGTACTGGATTCCAGTTCCACTATCAACAATGGATACCCTCAAAGAAAGCATAATTACAGGGAAATCGTCATTACCGTAGAGACTTAGGAAAGGATAGATGTTTACAGTGAAAGGAGCTTTGTTCTTATTTAGAAACTCAACAATCTGGGTCATTTCTGTATTGATATCAGTACGGAATCTCCAAAAGATGGGTAAGGATGTGTTCTGGTGATCATAGACATCGGCATTTAAGGGCACAGTAGTTTTACGGAATCTCCAACTCCAGCTTCATTGAGGGCATTTTGAATGTTCTGAAGCGCTGGGAAAGTGGAATTTAGGAATGAATTATTGTAGGATGGGAGGAAAGGCTCATTCCCAACCGCAACGTATCTGTGGCAAGATTTAAAAAGAAAAGAAAAGAAAAAAATCAATGAGACTGCCTGTATTTGCCAAGCCCCTTCCCCCACAAATCTAACAACAAACAAATACAACTAGAATAGCAATAAAATAATTTCATAAATCATGGATGGATATAAATTTCTTAACCAAGTGACATGAAAATAAGAACAATTGATAGCAATTGAGACACTCAATCATATTCCTTAAGTCTTATGACTATTATGTATATTGGAAGAAGCAACATAAGATACATTTTATTTTAGTAATTAGCAACTTCAGAAGACATGCGGAATCTTGGTCCATTCCCAGCTCAGAAGAAAGGTTTACCTGGCTGATAAATATTTAACTAGTAGATTCTTTAACAGAGATCTTAATATAACACCATGATGAAGAACAGATTCTTCATTTAACTTGAAACTAAAAATAAATCAAGTTGACAACTAATTGTTCTATGATGTGTGATAATTTCACAACACTTTATATGGTTATACACAAAAAGAGGACAATCTTTCCATCCAAAATCTGTTTTCTTAAAAAAAGCTTGAAAAGTCCATGATTAGATATTTAAACAACAAATCATAACTATATTTCCATCGAAAAGATCTTGGCAAAAAAAAAGGCTGAAATACGGAACTCATATGTCAGTTTTTCATTATGCCACTGGCTAT